AAATTCTTGCCGACCAAAACTGCCAACCAGTTGATCAAAAATCACAACTACAGAATCAACGACATAACACGAGTCAAATCAAATATTTACTGTAACGATCTTCTTATTCGACTCGGGGTCTTCTGAAAACTCAAGTCACTTTCACTTCAATAGAAACAGATTGATTATTCTTTCAACACTTTTATTTTATTTTTAATGTTCACTCTTACAAAATGAATTTAATTAATCTTAAAGGATTGAAAAACTAAGAGCCAAGAGCCTCGAGCATGAAGTGCTCTCGGCTTTTATATTAAAAATGTTTTATCTCTCAGCCAATCAAAGGGCTGAGAGATTGTTTAGTTTATAATCATCCCCACTCCAAGGGATGATCACGAGGACAGTGTCGCAATCTCAAGTGTCTGATGTAGAAATTCCTGCGTACTATACGCAGTTTTCTACATCAACAGTTGAGATTGTTACATCTCTCCCCCCAGACTCTAGTTGTTTTTATGAAACAACTAAAGTCTAATCTTATTTTAATATGTTTGGAGCTTAAATGTTATTTATTTATTATCTATTTTTATATTTTTTGTGGAAGTAAGTCTTCCTTTTTTTGAAAATTTTTGTTTTTATATAAAAAAATAGTTAAAAATGTTTAAAATGTTTTAAAAATAAAAATTTTTTTGAATCAATATAAAAAGAAATGTTATAAATGAAAAATTTTTTTTAGACTTCTCTAATCTTCGTTTCCTTCCAATGCCGCTGCTCTTGTTCGTTTGTAGAGGTCATAAGACACTCTTTCTTCATGTATTTTCGCATCATCCTTGTGCAATATTTTGGTGAATGTCCTGGTACGATGTTTCCATTTTGTTGTATTTTCACCCAATAATTTCTCCAAAACCCATACTTTTTCTTTTTTATTATATTTGATGTGTTCATCTCCTTCTTTATATGGGTGAACCCATATATCATATGCTTCTTTAATAATGTGCTTTTCTTTCATCGGGCGATGAAAGTAATTATAGTCTTCTGATGTTTTAAATTGCAGCATATGTTTATATTTGATATTTGCAATTTTTCTTGTATCCGGATTTCTCATATCTGATTTTGAGAGCCTTTTAAAAATATTCTTATGATCCCATTTTGGAAACTTATCAGGAATTCCAGCGTTATTATCTATTACATCCCATATTTCTTCATTTGTTATGAATTTATTTGAAAATGGAGCGTCGTTGTCAGTTTCATAACCATCAGTTTCCACTTCTTGTAATAATCCTTTTGTTAGTCTGATATTAGATATTTCTGCTTCTCCTGAACAATCTTCATGTCCTTTTTTCTCAATTAGAATCAATGGGATTAGATTGTTTCCTTGAGAAGTTGATGGCAATGGTGAAGCAGATAATGATGTTGAAGCTGATGATGCTGTTGAAGCTGATGGTGAAAATGGAGCTAATGATGTTGATGGGGTTGGTGAAGATGGTGAAGCTAATTGTGAAATGTCCATTGAATCATCCGAAATGGTTATTATTGTTGACGTTGACTCGTTCAAATCCATTATTGTTCACTTTTTAATTCTTTTTAAATCACTCACAATTTTTAGTTCACAAGAAAAAAATTTTTTCTTTACTTAATTTTTTTATTTTTGATTTGCTTATTCCTATTTTTTTTCACACTTCTAATTTTGGTAAGAGTTAGCACAATTTTACTTTTTCACAACTTGAGTGTTTATAAGAAACTGATGAGATATGTGAGGTCCTTCTTGTAATCCTTTTTGTTGGAGAAATTCTTGGATGACGTCAGAGTGAAGATTAGGAGAAGTCTAATTATCTTAACTTAATTACTTTATCTAATTTTGTAAATCTTAGTAATTTTTAATTGTTATAAAGAATAAAGGAAAAGAATTTATTAAAGTTCAAATAGAAAAGATTTGTGACCTAATTTCTAGTGGAGTGCTTAATCTAAATAAATGTTTTATTACGGATTTCCGTTTTTTAAAAATTTTGCATGTGTTTTTTTTCGTTAAATTTTTATTTGAATTATGGGGTGTGAAAATACTAAATATTCAAATTGATCAAATATTTTCAGGGGTATTAACTAATGTTTTGTTTACATTTTTCAGAATAGAAATGAAAATTGAATAGATTTAGAAAATTTATATATTATTGATATTTTGATCATGATTATATTTGATTTATTGTATTGCTTTGGTAAGATTGTTTCGATTTGTTAATCTCATTTTATATGTTTAATTATTTCTATTATTTTTAATTTTAGAGTTCAATGAGGATCATGAAATGATTATTCAACAAAAACATGAAAGACATACTTTGTTAACTTCATAAATGAAAGGATATTATTTATTCGCTAAGACTGTTTAATGAGCCTCTATAGGAACTGTTATCATGTACCGAAACATTATTTTAATAATATTATTTTAATTTTTGTTTTATTAAATTGAATATTTTATTGAGAATAAATTTTGCAATTATGTATTTAATTGATTTTTTTACTTATCAAATCTGATTAAGTCTTTAAAATAAAGATTACTTTATTTATTTTGAAAATTTATTTTATTTCATTCAATTTCAGAGAATAATTATTATATTGAGGTGCTGAGGGCACTTGTTCAAGTTGATAGTCAATTTCATTTTCAGATATTTCTTTTTTCATTTCAATTTGGGCTTGTGTCATATGATTATTAATTTTTTTCATGTTGTCTAAGAATACTTTTGCAACTGAATTCCAGAAACCGAAAAAGATTCGCCATGTGAAGCCAAAAACTTGATATAATGCATATCCATTGATGATCCAATCGACGAAAAATTTGAGGATGCTTAAAATGCAAAAGATAGCCAGAATTGCAGAGAAAATATCTCCTAATATTAAAAGATCTCCATAAAGTGAGGATAATATTTGTTTAAACCAATCACCAATTTTAAATATTTTTTCATACTCAACATCATCGATTGAATTAGCAATTGAATATATTGGGGCATTATGTTTTTTTGATGCTTCGCGGTCATAAATTTTTTCAAAGAAACTATTTTGAACTGCTTTTAATACTATTGGTTCAGTGATAGATCTCTTATAATTTTCAATGTCTTCTTTGGAATAAATTCCTTTATGAGAAATTCCACTAAGAGGTTCAAATGTCCATTTCTTTATTGTTTCAACTTTAATTGATTGAGGAGCTTGTGCTTGTATAAATTTTCCATTTACTCTTGAGTACCATTCATTTCCAAAGTTAAAAAGTGGTTGGAAAAAATCATCGCATGAAATTTCCGTTCCAATATCAATAATTAACCGACTTCTTGGACTTAAAAATTTTGGCTTATTGTCATGATAGATAGGGATATCTAAGAAACAATTTTTAGTTTGTCTAAACGAAACTTCACTTGGTTTACATTTAATGATATACGCAATTTCTCCTCTTACTTTCGTTATGAACCCCTGAGTATTGAATATAGATAATCCAAGACTATTTGGATCAGATTGGGCATTGGATAATGTAGCTGCAATTATCTTTTGATCGGAGAGGCATTTTTGAAATTGTATATTTTGATATAACCTCGTCATTTGAGTGGATATATCATTGTAAAGCATACTTAAGGACATGCCATGTAAGATAAGAGCATCAATATTCTTGATGCTAAAAAGATGATCTCTTTTGAAATTTTGGTGATAGTCCATCACCTCAGTTATAAATATGTTTGGATGTTGACTAATTGCAGCTTCATATCCGCATATTCTAGTTTTATGTTGAGCTTCTATATAAAAGAGTCGATCATCTTGTTGGTTAAAGTAAGAAATTTTTGTTGTATTATCATCTTTGTATTCAGTGGTTTTATTAACTTGTCCTCTATAAATTACAAATAAAGGCTTTGTGCGGTCGCAATATTCATTGCTCAATCCCATCGTCCAGTGTGTGAAACCTTGAAGAGGATCAAAACAGGATTCGCTCGTATATTCGCAATTTAGACCATTGGCTAGTATAATTTTTTTCTCATCGATATTTACGTCAGCCAGTCCTTTGTTTATTACAACTTTTATATCATAAAGGGCATATGCGTGAGGATATTTCTTACCGTTGTGATCAATAAAGTTTGATCCTTCACATGAGCCACCATTGTCTACATTTCCCTCAGCCAGACCATTATAAGAACCGTGATTGTCTTTAATGTGGATAGTTATCCATCGTCTGGCTGGGTCTACGAAGATATTGTGACGATGCATATCTTCACATTGAGCTCTTGTGATTGGTAGGATATAATTGTAGCTATTGAGAAACGTGTTACTGGCCATCCATCTTCCACAATGATGTACGGACACGAAATACCTGACATAACATTGGACATAAGCTTTCTTATCATATTGCTGCGATTGTAGCACCTGGACTTCAACAATTTCATTCGTCACATTGACAGTCTTCAATGAACATGAATCTGAGTTTAACAGGCTTACTGTTGTTTGATCCGATGAAAAATCGGTACAATCGAAGCCTGTTAGAACACTGTTACTAGCATATTCGTTTTTATGATTATCTTCCTTTATTGGATGTGCACTTGCCAATAAGGTTGGTATTCTGCAATTTAGAAATGAGTCATTAGTTTTCAGTCTTTAAATAAAAATTAAATTTTTAGGCCTAAATAAACTTTTTCTTCTACTAAAAACTAGTGAGTCATTAATATTGCAGAGTATTTTTGAGATTTTGTATCATAATTTTGCATTGTTCATGTTCATTTTTATGTAATATTCATTATTCAATATTTTAATATTTTTAATGTTATGAAGGGTATTCATCTGAGTGATCTTTAAATAAAAATTTAATATTTTGAGGGGTATTTAAATACATGATTTTATTTATGGTACATATGTACGTTCAATAATGGTGTAAATTGCGCGCTTTTTTTTAAATTTTGTATTTAGTAAGCAAATTTTTGTGAACAATTTTTTCTTTATTGTTCATTCTAATTTTAACGTTTTCATTGTTCATGATTTCAGTGACGGTATACGGCCCTTTATATTTCGGCTGTAACTTTCTTCCTTCCCCAATTAGAACATTTTTTAATAAAATTTCGTCACCTACTGAAAATTTTACATTATTCAATTTCTTATCATACTGGATTTTGCTCTTTTCTTTAGCCTGTTTTGTTTTTTCTATTGCGATTTCTCTCATTTTTGTTAAAATCATTTTTTGCTGTACAACGAAATCGTCATAAGTATAGTTAACAGCATTATTCATATGAAAATTTGCTTTTCTACCGAAAATCAATTCAAAGGGTGTGTACCCTGTGGTTTCCGAAACTGATGTATTATGAGTAAAAACTGCATAAGCTAATAGTGGATACCAATTATTTTTATCTTCTTCAATAAATGATCTTAAATAACAATGTAAATCTCTATGATAACGTTCAACTTTATTAGATTGGCTGTGGTAAATGGATGTGTTCAGTTTTTTGATTTTGAATAATTTATAGAGTTCATGTAATAATGCGCTATTCAAATTATGCGCATTATCTGCGACAATTATTCTTGGAACAGAGTGAATGAGAATAATATGCTCTACAATTGCAGCTGCAATCAATTCACTTGTTTGTTCTTCAATTGCAGTTGCTATGATGTATCCTGTCAAGTCATCTCGTGCTGTTAAAATGTATTTAAAGTTATTGCTTAGTGGCATTGGGCCAACAATATCAATAAAAATTTTTTCGAACGGAATTTCACTTGAAGATGTTAACTTTAAAGGAGCTTTTGTTCCTCGTTTAGTTTTACTTAAATTGCATTTAACGCAGGCATTAACAAATGATGTAATATTATTCTTCATGTTCTTCCAATAATAATTTTGTCGAACTCGAATTAAAGTTCTTTTAATGCCGCAGTGTCCTGAAGAAAGCGCACTATGCGCTTGCAATATGATTTCTTTTTTCTCATGATTGTCCGTTACTTCTCTTACACCATGATTATGTATATTTACTTTTATGAAAATGGGTGTAAAAAGACTTTTAATCATTTCTCTAAATAAAAATAGAGGAACATTTATTGTATCAGGCGATACAATTGAAAATTTATATGTTTTTGTACTCAAAAACTGCTCTTTTAATCTTAATAATAATGAGAAAATCGTCTTAGCCTCAACGGTTGAAGTTTGAGTGTTTCTATAAACTAAGAAATGAATTTTCCCACAACTTATCAAATTGTTTGTTACAATATTTTTATTTTTCAATAAATTTTTATGATTTGTATTTACATTGAAAAGATCCTGATTAATGAAGTAGACACAGTCGTCAGCATCATCTTCGTTAATTGGATCATTTGCCATTTTAATATTATTGAAAGTTTTATTTACAACGTCATGAGTAGTTAAAAAATTATCAAAAAGTTGATCATCTGAAAGTCTTAGCTGCTTTGAAGCGCTTCTTGTCAAAGCAAGTAATTGAGGGTGTATTTCATTTTTCCCTACTTCAGTAATTTTATTATTTTCTATAATTATATGTTTTCCCGAATCTTGAATACGAGAAAGAAAATCGGCAATATTTTTCTTTCCTTCAACATATACAACTTTCATATTATAGTGGGAAAGTTTTATTTTATATCTGTTCAACCTATCATTATTAAATTCGAGAGGTTGTGCGATTGCATACACGAGCGCCCTCTGGTCGACAAAACATGTAAACTCTCTCTCGCCGAGGAGATAATGTTTAAAGTGTTCTACAGCATATGTTAAAGCCAAAAATTCTCTGTCAAAAGTGCTGTATTTTCTTTCAGCAGCATTTAATGTTTTACTAGCATAATGTACTGGATGAAGGTGTTCACCATATCGCTGTAGTAATACTGTGCCTATGGCGAAGTTGCTCGCATCAGAATGGACGTAAAAATCCTTCTCGAAATTGACATGTTTGAGCAGGGGCTTTGTTATTAGTCTTTTCTTTAATTCATCGAATGCTTTTTGTGCATCTTCATTCCAAGAAAATCTTGGCTTTGCATTTTTAATATTTTTATCTTTTTTAGGAATCCTTAAAATTTGAAATAATGGCTCAGCTATGTGAGCGAAATGTTCAACATGATTTCTGAAAAATCCAACGAAAGCTAGAAAGGCACGAAGATCTTTTAAATTCCGTGGTCTTTCATAATTTTTTATTATTTGAACACGGCTTTCATCTAATGAGGTGCCTTCAAAACCGACTTTATGCCCAAGGAACAGAAGTGATTTTTGAAGGAATTTGCATTTCTTGGGGTTTAAACTTAAGTTATTTTGTCTAAATTTAATAAAAATTCTTCTAAGTTTTTGTAAATTCTCTTCTGGAGTCTTACTTGGACAAACCAAGTCATCAATATAAGCTAACGCATCTTTTCCATAAAGCTCATTTAAACACATCATAATCATGCGTTGAAATATAAAGCTCGATGATGCAAGGCCTTGAGGTAGGCGGATAAATTGGAATCGTCCAATATCTGGGATGGAAAAAGCTATTTTATGTCTATCTTCTTTTCTTATTCGGATTTGGAAAAATGATTGAGAAAGATCTAGTGAAGAAAAGAAAGTGTTGTCAGATAATTGATCCAACATTTCATTTAATGTGGGAAGAGTAAAGAAAGATTTCTTTAAATATTTATTTATATTACGTAAGTCTACTACTAATCTAAATTTCTTTTCATTATTTATACTTTTTTTCTTTATGAGGATTACCGGTGAATTAAAAGGTGACATTGTCTCTTCAATGATTCCTTGATCTAAAAGAGATTTAATTTCCCTCTTCATATGTTCTTTATAATTGTATGGGATTGTATATTGTTTATTGAATATGACTTTGTCAGTAGTTAATTCAATCTTGTGTTCAACAAGATCAGTAGACTTTAATCTGTCTACTCCCTCAATATGAAAAATGTCATTAAATTCTAAAATTAAATCTCGCAATTCATTTACATATTCCGTTGGAATATCTTCAAAACTTATTGAATTTAAAAGTTTATTAATTCTAGTTTGTTGAACGCACTCATTCTGAAGATTATAGTTAAAATTTGCTTCATATTTATTAGTATCAATTGAAATAATCATTTTATCATAGTCAATTACTGCATAACGGAGAAAATCTATTCCTAAGATGGAAGGGACATTTTCTGAAAAAGTATCATCTTCAACAACATAAAAATTAAACGGCAATGTTAATCTTTTCATGTATAAGAAAGATGAAACTTTGCCTATTGTAGTGAAAGTGTTATTGTTAGCTCCAGAAATTTTTCTGAAGGATTTGTTTATCATTGTCTGTTCCTTAATAAGAGATTTTTTTATAAACGAATGGCTTGAACCAGTATCTATAAGCATAAGGATTTTTTCATCAACACAATCTATGTTTATATTTACATAAAAATATCCTTGTTTGGATATAATCTGAAATTTTATTGTTGAATGCAGCTTTTCTTCGGACTCCTCTTTATTTTTCAAGAGTCCGACTAATCGTTTTTTTGTTTATTATAACTTTTATTATTTCCAGGCATGGAAACATATTTCTGATTTTGTGAAGATTGTGTAAACTGTCGATCATTTTGTTTACTTTGTTGATCATTTAAAACATAATTTTGTTGATAATTTCGATTGTTTTCATTATATCTCTGCTGGTGATTATCACCATTTGTTGTTTGGAAAGAGCGATTAAAGTTTTGTTTATTAGAACCATATTGAAAAGCATTTGTTTGGTTTGAAAAAGGATTATGTGGCATCCTGTTTTGAAAATTTTGTTGATAATTTTGTGAACGGCTGTAAGCATTTGCATTCTGTTGATAAGCATTTTGTTTATAGTTATTCTGACGAAAGAATGGAACATTTTGTCGAACATTTTGATTGTTCGGAAAAGTGTTAATTTGAAATCTTTTGGCTGATCTGTCAAATGTGAAATTATTATTAAAACCTTGAGGATTATTGTATCGGGGATTTTGAAATTGATTACGTGTTAATTGATTATTAGGGAATCTGAAATTATTGTTCTGACGTTGATCTCTATTAGCATTAAATCTATTTGAATTATTAAAATTTGATCCTTGACGATCATATTGAGTGTAAAATGGTTTATTTTTGTGAGCAAATAGCTCATGTTTTGAATTATTCATGAAAGTTCTCAATTCTTCTTCATCAAGATTTTCTTCCGCTTGAACCTTTGCAGCATACACAGGTTTAAGACCTTTAATTGTATTCTGTTTCATGAAATTATTAAAAGGTTCTCCTTCTTTAAAGAAAGGTTGCTGGCCTGTTGCTTTTATTGCAAGTAAATATTCAGTTTTTAAATAATCAACTCTTGCTGAATAATTTTTTAAAGATTCATATTCCCCTTGTTCTAAGTCATGTATATTTTGTAATACTGTATTTGGCATTCTATCTACTGTTGCTCTTGAAATTATAAAATCCAAGAAGCCATCAAAATCAGTGAAATTATGTTGGGAAATCGAAGCCAAATCTCTAGGATTTAACTTGGTTGAAATGATATCAGTTATGTAAGTTATGTAATTGAAATAAAACAAACGTCTTGTTTGTTTAAAGTGTCGACTCAAACTGAGACTCTTTATTCATTTTCTTATTCTCACTTACTTATTACTTCTTATTACTTCTTACTTGGGGAATATGGGAATAAGGGAATGTGGGTTTCGGGAAGGGTTGGTTGGGGAACTTGTTCTAACTGGGGAACCTGTTCTAACTTATCTATAATATCTTTCAATTCATAATGTTCAGCCATCATTTTATTATACTGCTTTGCGCAAGTAATAAATGTGATTAAATTATTTCTTGTTAGCGGGACTACTAACGATAAATTTTTAATTAAATCTGGTTTTTTATCGCCCATGGTGAAAGATTTTCTTAAATTGTTAGTTATATTTCGAATTAGAGGATTTTCAATTGTATTTTCAGTTGTATTTGGTTCTTCTCCAGAATTTTCTGTATGTTCTGAAGTATTGCTTTCGTCAGAATTTCTTAAAATACCTCTAGCTTGCCGAGCTAGAGTACTTAATGCTTTAACTTTGGACTGACGAGGATTGCCAGCCATTCAATGGTTTGAAAAGAACAGGAATAATCTTTTGAAAAGGTTTATCATGAATTATTTAAACTTATATTTTTTTTTTTTTTTTTTTTTAGATTTCGTAGTTAATTAATAATAANAAAGTCATTGAAATAAATTCTTAAAAGGAACTTTTAGCAGACGCCTAATCCGATTTTATTTTGGTAGACATGAAAATATTCTAAATTTTAAGGAAAATAAAAGATCAAATGGGAAGAAGCCAAACAAACATTTTAGGCATAAATAAGTTATGTAAGTTATGTAATTGAAATAAAACAAACGTCTTGTTTGTTTAAAGTGTCGACTCAAACTGAGACTCTTTATTCATTTTCTTATTCTCACTTACTTATTACTTCTTATTACTTCTTATTACTTCTTACTTGGGGAATATGGGAATAAGGGAATGTGGGTTTCGGGAAGGGTTGGTTGGGGAACTTGTTCTAACTGGGGAACCTGTTCTAACTCCTCCCTTGTTAAGCTGGCAAGTCCCTTTGACAGCCTTCTACGAACTATGATGACTGCCATTATTACTATGAGGATAATAATAATAGTGGTAGTTGTAAATCCTGTTCCAATTATGAAATTGTTAATCATTTCTTGGTTGTCTTGCATCGCTTTCATTTGTTTCCTGTTTTCAACATGTAAGTCTTGTATGTCATGTAGTTCTTTCAACGGCTCGATGTTTCTCTGTTGAATTATATTCTCCATAAATGGGAATATTTCAATAGGTTCCTGGAAAACGAAGTCGGTATTTTCGTAGACTTCGTTGTTCAACGATATTGTACAATTCTTGAAGACCACAAGAAGGGGTCCTTGCACCGTGTGGTTCGCTGCACCACACGAGTTAATTAATTTCATTGGTTTCGTGTCCTTGATGATGATTGTCCCCGCTTGTATGACTTTTATTTCTGAGGTTCGTTTTGCTTCCTTGAAGACGCAATTGCTCTGTTTGTCACGAGCAATTGCGGGTACACATTGATTTTCGCTTATGTCTTCGAGTTGCCCTTGTTTGCATATTGTATTTTGTAGCGTATTAAAGCATTCCCCATGAATAGCATACGTTTTCTGATCTTGAAGAAGTATTTCTGCAAAGTCTACCTTGATGATTTTGGAGTTGACCGGGAGTGGCTCTAGATGGATTCTTATGAAGTTTCCCTCAACTTGTGGAATTTCGACAATGTAGTGGATTTCATTTGCGATGTATTTTACTGATGGTTTAATGTAGTTTAGGGAATTATGTAAGGAGGGGATTGATAGATTCTGATTACTTAATGTATCGAAAATATATGAAATTTCTTTTTCATCAAAAATGTTCTTAGAAGCAATGTTAGATTTTGCTAATGCAATAGCGTCAGTAATACTATCAATTTTGTCTTTAACTAAATCAATGTTGAAAATTAAATTTACTATATCCAATGATTCCAAAGTGGAATTTAAAATTTTTGAAACAGAAGTTCTTAAGATTTTAGCCATCTCATTTATTTTATCTTCAAATACCCTGTTTGTTTCTAGCTGTATGTTGTTATTTCTTATCAGTTCCCTATTCTTGATCTTAAGTTTATAAATTTCGTTTTCCCATCGTTTTGCGTCGTCAGCGTCAGGGTTACCAGCTAACCATTTTATTCCAGAACCCAACGTCTCCCACGCGCGTTTGGTTCTTCTTTTGGGTTTCAAATTATCAAAAGATTTCTCCAAAGTAAACAATTTGGCTTTTAAAATATTAGCCATACTATTTTCTAAATTCATTTTTTTTACAATTTGGTTAATTTCGATTAATGTAATTTCAAAATTTTGAAGTTTAATAACGTGGGTGAGCTGGTAAGTTCCTTTTTGCACGAATGCTGTTCCTTTCTTCATTTTTAACAGCCCTGGGTTTGAAGACAAGTCGAGAATATGAATGTCTGCATAAATGAGTCCTACTAAAAGCCTAAAATTAAATGAAGGGTTAATGTAATTGTAAAATTAGGTTGAGAAACTTTTTCTTGTTGTCTCAAGTGTTGTAAAAGTTTCTCTTTGTTAGTGGTATTAGAAAAAAAAATTTATATAATGTTAGATAAATGTTAATCATTAATTCTTTTGAGATTTTCCTTATGCAATTTTCTGTTGCTACTATCAAAAAAGGTTTTATTATTATTCTGAAGTACTTTGACTGGTTTATATGCATCTTCTGTCTTCGAGCGTATGCCCTGACGAGCTACATATACAGTTTCGTCTACCTTTAATTCTGGTTCTTTTTCACGACCTTTGTTGATAGTTTGCAGTTCTTTTTCTTTTTTCATAAGCTGAAGTATAACCTCATCGTACACCTTATCTCTATTAGCCAATATTGCCATTGGATCAAGAGGCCTTTCCTCATTATTTTTTATTCCGAAGAAAGCCTCCTTGGGCGTCATTTTGGTGACGACATGGATTGAGTTATTATAAAGAGAGACCGATAATAAGAAAATTTCTTTTGTTTGTAGATCAGTATGTTTGCTTTTTATGCATCTAAAAATTTCAGCAATTGTGGAATGAAAACGCTCAACGATACCATTTACTTCGCTTCTATTTGTTGGAGTGTAATACGTTTCTATGCCCAAACTTTCAAGGAGTCCTCTAATTTCTATACTTTTAAGAGAAGGCTCGTTATCAGACACAATAAGCTTGGGCTGGCCAAATGTGCTAAAAAGCTTAATCAGACCTCTTTTCACATCTGCTATAGCTCTAGATTTTATGGGAATAAGCATGCCGTAACGAGATAATTTGTCAACAACGGAAAGGAATCGAATTTGTCCGGATATAAAAATGTCAATGTGTATAATGTCCAAGGGTTGTTTGGGTATGGGTGTGCTGGCTATAATTAATTTGTAGGGTTTTCGATCGTACTTTGCTTTTTTGCAGCAACTGCAAAGATTGATGAATTTTTTTATTTTCGAATGCATTTTAGGGAAATAAAATTCTTTTGAAATAACTGCGAAATTTTCTCTAGATCCACGATGGGCTCTTTTATGAACTTTTTCGATGATAGCGTCTTGTTCTAGCTCATTCTTAACATCATTTAATAAAATTTGAGACATAACAATTTTGAAAGATTTTTGATTTGATAAGAATTTTCTATACACTTTTTGTATTAAGGATATGACACTTTCAGGACATTGTATGCAATTAACTCTTTTATCATCTAAGTGGTTTCTAAATGTTTTAAGTATTTTGTTTTCATCAAATGACTCACTAGAAATCGTAACTCTTATTATTTTGGGGAAAATACTTTCGACTTTTTGTTGGTCTGTTTTGCCTAGTTGAAAAATAATTTGATTAGAAAATGAGTTGATAGGTTTTTCCGTCATTGGGATGTATTGGGAATCGTCCGTGTCTGCCGAATGAGTCGTGACATCATCTTGCAAGCTCGCGTTATTCTTCATTGATAGTCCGGTCATACTACATATATTTCCTTCTATGGATCTTATTCTAGAAAGTCCGTCAGCTACTACGTTTTGTGAGCCTGGTTTATGAATAATTTCGTAGTCATATTCTTCGAGTCTAAGTCTCCAACGCAGAAGTCTTCCGCTCGTTCCACTAATATTTTCGACATATTGTAAAGGCTTATGATCGGTTACGAGAGTGAATTTTCGGCCGTAAAGATATGGTCTGAAATTTTTGCAAGCTTCCACGATTGCTAGCAGTTCCTTTTCAATAATCGGATAGTTAGTTTCGCTTGCTTGAAGTGTTCGAGAGTAAAAAGCAATCGGTTTATCCCTTCCAATAGGGCCCTGAGAAAGGACACTTCCAATCGCGTAGTCACTCGAATCACAAGTAACATTGAAAGGTTTACTAAAGTCGGGGTATTGCAGTATATGACTACTGCATAAAAGATTTTTGCATTTTTCGAAGGTGCTTATAAATTCTTTAGTATGCGTAAATGGTTGATCTTTCTTTAGCATAGTTGTGAGAGGTTTAACAATTTTTGCAAAGTCCCTAATGAATCTTCTGTAGTATCCTAAAAGCCCGAGAAACCCTCTTAATTCTTTTTCGTTATTTGGTAGGGGCCAATTTTTTATTGATTCAATTTTCTTTTCGTTTGGCTTGACTCCTTCCGGAGTAACGATATGCCCTAAAAATTCGACTTCATGTCTCAAAAATTCCGATTTATCTAACTGAATTTTTAAATTGTTTTTATTAAGAATTTGGAAAATTTCTTTTAAATCTTGGATGTGTTGCTGTAAAGAGGATGAAAAAATAATAATGTCGTCTAAGTAGACTAAACAATTTTTCCCTATTTGCTCTCTTAGAATATTATCCATTGCTCGTTGAAACGTGGCTGGAGCATTTTTCATTCCCATAGGCATTTTTAAAAATTCATAATGCCCTCTTTCAACTGTGAAAGCCGTTTTTTCTATATGTTTGGGATCGACCTCGATTTGATAAAAACCTGAAGCTAGATCAAGAGTTGTAAAGTATGATGCATGCCCTAATCTATCGAGAATGTCAGTGATATTTGGTATTGGGTATTTATCATCAATGGTTTTTTTATTAAGAGCTCTATAGTCTATGACAAGCCGCCATTTCTTTGTATTTGATGCATCAGCTTTTTTTTCGACCACCCATACTGGAGCTGAGTATGGTGAAATGGAGTGTTGGATTATTCCAGTATCTAACATTTTCTTTATTTGTTTTTGAATCTCGTCTTTCAAAGCAAATGGATATCTGTAATTTTTTGCGTGAACGGGAATATCATCATACGTATTTACTTGGTGTTTAATAGCATTCGTGAAAGTTAATTTATTATCTTTTAGATAGAAACAATTTTGGTTTAAAGTAATAACTTTGAGCAACGCTTCTTTTTCTTCTTTATTTAGATGATTTAATCTCAATTGATTAAACAAGTCTTCGTTCAAAGGTGAAATTTTTTCACAAAAGTCTGGAAGACCAGTCTCAAAGTTATTTAAATGTACATTGATATAGTTAAAGGGAATTGAGACTTTTATATTACTTAAATTTGAGAACATTATTGGGGCTTCCCCCTCTGAGGCATGATATAAGCCCGCAAGGGCACACACGGAGTCTGTAATCATAATGTTTTCATTCAAAAGAAAATCACCATCGGGAATGGTGACAAGGGTCGATAATGGCTTCGTTTCTAGGGAGTTTAATTCAATTTTGTTAGTACACGGAAATTTCCGCTTCATTTTTATTGTTAAACCGGGGAAAATTAATTTATTTTCCTTACAATTAATGACGGCATTGTTCTTTTGTAGGAATTCGTATCCTAAAAGTCCGTCAAAAAATTCATGAAAGTGAAAAAGATAAAAAATTTCTGCTTTTGAAAAATTATACTCTGGGAATACATTTATTTTTATAGATTTATTTAATGAAAATTTTCCGTTAACGGTCGATACGATATGGTTAGCTTTTTTTATAAACTCGGTTTTCGTATGTTCTGGTTTTATATAGCTTTTATTCGACCCGGTGTCGATTAAAAACTTTAAACATTTTTCTTTTGATTTTAGTTCTATGTATGGGACGCAATCAAACATTTCTATGTTTGATCCGCGTCGAAACCCCCCAGACAAAAATCCAGTTCTTCGGATTTTTGTTCGCATTCATTAGCATCGTTTTCGAAATATTCAACCTCATTATTTTCGTAATTGTTAAAATTTTCTTCGTAACTCTCGATATTTGTAAGTTGATCATTTCGCATACGAATCGATTCGTTTGCTTGTTGAAATGATCGACGTGAACGCATAGAAGCGTCCACATCCATAGGAATAGGTTGCTGAATAATTGGTTGTTGAACGTTTGGTTGTTGGACGTTGGTTTGTGGACGAAATTGTGGACGAAATTGTGGACGGAAATTCGAATTATATGCTGGTCGAGGCTGNTATTGAACTCAAAATAAAAAATTTCTAAATTTTAGTTTATTTTAATTGAAGTAAAGATAATAATGGAAAAATGACACTGAATCATCGCAATTCAGATAGAAATTTGGGGCTGTTTTTATAGAGTTTTTCCATCATCATCATCATAATCAAGTTTTGATGATAACAAAATGAATTTTTTTTTGTACATTCATTCATCAATGAAATAATCCTCATGAATTAAACAACAACAAAACGGCAAATGATAGATATTTTGTTATTAATTTTTAAGAAATAATTTTCAGATTAATCAGAATACTTAACAATGTCTGATTCAATTTCATTCATTATTATTTCAAAAATCTCGAATGAAAGAGTTTTCAAACATTTTCCACTCGACAATAACTTTTGGTACTTTTATGATTCACACTAAAATTTGGGATTCTGTTTTGAGAGAAACAACTTTGATTTTAATTTTATAACACACGTGGATTGAACTGCGAACTGAACTTCTGAAAATAATTTTGATGAAAGCTTTCCGACATATATGCTGCCGAGTTTGTGACCGTGATTTGCATTCGTTTTACTTTTAGATTCAAATCTCATTCTGAGATATTAAATGAAAAAGAAAAATTGAGAATTATTTATTAGAGATTTATTTATATATCTATTTATTTATTTATTTATTTATGTACATAAATGGATATTTTATTGATTATGTATATAGTTTATATTGAAGGGTATCGCCGATTTCATCAGTAAGGTGGGATCTAAAGAATAAATCCTCTAGTCGAGGGATATCGGATTTCGTTTAAGCGCAGACACATTTATGCCCTTCACAACGTCCATCTGGTCTAAATTGGACTTTCGTGCACCAAGTATGACAAGCAGCATTTCTTAGAGGTTTAGGGATCCATCTACAGAGTTCTCCAGATCTTCCCATGCGTTCTATTTAACGAGTTTTTTTTTTCAAAGAAATGTTAACAGAATATAAAGCAAAATATTACCAAAAATCGTTTCGCCCTCATCGCTGTCGTTGGCTGAACAAAACGAGAAAGAGAAATTAAAATAGCAAAATTAAAGAAAATCTTCTTTGTCAGTTTAACTTTGAATGTTCAAAATTTAGGAATATTTTCGAATCAAAAATTACCTGCAGGAACATCTTCGACTTCGCTTCCACTTTCAATAGCATTTGCTGAGCAAAATGCAAAATAAGCCAAAGCAAGAAAAACGAATAAAATTATTTTTGCCATTTTGTTTTTAAAGTTTTCTTTTTCTTTTTTCTTTAAAATAAAGATTTTCAAGTAGATAAGTTGAGAATAAAAGTTTAACTGATGATAAGAGTCAATTTCAAGTTATCTTTTATACTTTCTTTAATATCTTATCTTATCAAAAGAAGAAGAACCCCCTCCTAGATCATGATTTGTATTAACATGTCAACATTTAATTGTTGTTTTTAATCTGTGCGAATGTTTTCTAAACAAAATATGAATTTTTTTAAGAAAGACTTAAATAATTAAACGTCTTATCAGTTGACATGTAATGAATATCTTGAACCATATTGTGAGCCGTGCCATGATCTATATGGAGCGTATTCTTCAATAATGGAAGGTTCTTTTTCTATAATCTGTTGTGAAAATATCAATCCTGAAGGCTTTGAAGTCAATCAGCCACTTCAGAAAGCTCCACCATCGGAACAATTTGTTGATCCACTTAGAAACACAATGCAGAAGAAATTGTCTACTTTAGGAAATCTTTATTATCAAATGTTTATTTTAAGCCCAACTAGCGACTAAAACTTTTAAACTTTCATTCATGAATTTTTGTTATAAAAAGTTAAATTAAATTTATGAGTCGTGTTCTGAAAAGTTTTAAATTCTACAACGCAGTTTGATAAAGATGTTAGAGACTGATAACTTTTTTTAAGTGGAATCATGTGAGTTTTCAGAGATGCTCAAATATTTACAGCTACTGGAGACTGAAGCAAAACCCCCGATCTTAACCGGTGTAATCAAGACGGACTGAAAACAGTCGCACTGATGTTTTTATTTCCTTGTTTTCGTTCGAAATTTCTTAAGAAAAATGATAACCATGAGTAAATATTTTTCACTTGCCTATTGCGCATCTATTCAATTTGTTTTTTGTTTTTGTATAATCAGATAGAGGACGGAGATCAAATGAATAAGAAAACATCTTACAAATGCGTATATAAAGTTCAAGAAATTGTTCTCACTCATCATTTCACACCTCAACACAAATTAAGAGAAGTTTGCTTAATTAAAACACTAAGATTTTATTCAAAACAAGAAAATGAAGAAATTTGTTTTAATCACTTTCATTATTCTAATCACGATTACATTTTGTTCTTCAAGCAGCATTGGGAGTGCAACTGGAGACGATGAAGGTTAATTTGCTAAATCAAATGTAACGTTTAGAAATTTCAAAGGAAAAAACTCTTCCAAATTTTCACAGATTTAAATCGATCAGCTCGTCGAGTTGGTGCCTGCACCGAGACCTGGATTAAGTTTTCACTTAGAAATGCCGCTTGTAACACTTGGTGCAGGCAGGTATTAAGAAGATCAGGAGGATACTGCAATGGTAGTACATTGATCTGTACTTGTTTTGCACGTTGAAATGTATAAAATAAATAAAATTAAAAAATGAAAACAAGAATTTGAAATTTTCGAGTGAATTTAATACGGTGGACCACCAAGTGATCTCCGCATAATTATTTTATTTACAGAAGAATTTTTATCATACAATCAGAAATTATTTAAAGTGAAATTAGAACTGATTAATATTTTCGATTTTTTTTAATCAACAAGTTCAATCATCATCAGAATTAATCTTAACAAGTACAATTATCAAATGTAGACATTACATAATTATCTATTAAAGATTTAACATTTTTAGAGTCGCAGATCTTAAGAGAATTAATTTCTCTTCCTAAGAAGAAAAGTTACGATTTTAATTTGTAGTTGAATGTCAATGCTAAGCACTTAATTCTAAGTTACTTCATCCTTCTACGAACATGCATCTATTTATTTGAATACAAAATGACTGGTTAACGCTTTCATAATTGTTCATCTAAGTCTACATTCCTCTCCTTCCTTGAACTCCCGAGTGTCTACTTCCCGGTCTTGAATGAACAATCGCGTAATGATCGGAGTCGATTGGTAAAGATCGATTGGAATGTATCGTTGAACCGCCACTTGCATATCCTTTATTCATCCCATTGCCATTATGTAATGAATATCTTGAACCATATTGTGACCCGTGCCATGATCTATATGGATCGTATTCTTCAATAATGGAAGGTTCTTTTTCTATAATCTGTTGTAAAAAAATATAATTGATTAAGTGCTTTTCTTCAAATGTAAATCAATGTTTAACTTACTTCAGTTCTGGCACAACTACAGCTCATGGCAGTACATAGGAAGAGATTCATCAGAAGCATGATAAGGAATAGAACACCAAGAACGATGGCAAGCCATAAAAGCCATGGTGGTCTGATTCCAGTTTGATCACAAATTGGTGAAACCAAAGGAATGTCAGATGGATCTAAGACAAAGACTGTTGTTGCTGCTAGAAGTAAACCATCGACTGGTCCTAAAGAGCGACCGCCTTTCACATAAGCCGAAGAATCACCAACACACTTCTCATCATCAACACATTTTCCATTGCACATTATAATGTCACATTGAATTTGAACCTCAGCACCTTCAGGGAATTTAAACATCGAGGTGATCATTGATGTAGCGGAAAGGCCATCAGCAGATGGAATAAATCGTGACATGACACCATCAACTGAACATCCACGATCGTCTATCAATGGAATTGTTACGTTTTTCTTGTTGAAGCCAAAACAATTCTTAACTTTTATTCCATTTGTTCCATTCGGATAATTTACTTCTGCTTTCAACTGATAGTCTCGGCCGAATGCTAATTCTCTAACACGTCTGTCTTCATCAAAGAACTTTAAGACGACGTTAGAATTGTCGTCTCTGTTGGCACAAGAAAAAAATAATATTAATTAGATAATTAAATATTTAAATGAAATAATCGTGATTTGTTGTTCTTTTCTTCAATCTCAAGATTAAATAGAATATCTAAATAATTATAATCATAAAGTTAATAAATTGGAAGATCTTTGATTGACTTACAAGATATCAAATCATTACAAATCTTAATCATTAGTTGCATTTCAATTTTCATATCAAGCATGATAATAAAAATCTCAAGGTGATGATTTTACTGAACTATCGGAAATATTATATAAACCGACAGGTTTTCGTTAATAAAAAGGTAATAGAAAGGGAATTGAACCTTTTTTGCTCATAATTTTATTGCTGCAAGATTTCTACAATAAATTTATAAGATAGCTCTAAACCACGCTTCTTTTGCATCAAGAGAAACTTTTATGATATTTTATTAATTGATATTGATTTTAATATTTATGAGTCTTTGTTCAGTAGTAATTTAAAAATGATTTGATATAATTCGTAATTTATCCAGATATCGGATGAGCTCAAAATTCTCCATTTATTGTCAATTTTAGAAGAAACAGAACATGTGAAGATTTTTTTCTTTTGATGTTTAATTTAAGATCTGAAAAGTTACGACACGATTTATTTATCATGTTTTTGGTCATTCGTTTTTTTATTATGTATCCATCAATCGATAATTACCTTGAAAATCCCGTTTTGCCACATGTTATCACAAAAAACTTATCATCTGCCAATTCAAGAGTTTTATGAACCCGAACTGCGAGTTGAATTGAACGTTCTTCAGTTTTCTGTTGGTAATTGAAACGAAAGCAAAATTAATTATACGTTTGTATTCATCTATAGAGAAGGATTTTGATTTTCAATTTAAAAAGATTAATGCGAGAAAACATTGATGTTAAAAGGGCGTGAAATATTTTTCGGCCATTGCCGTGTCGATGTTAAAGTTGTTCGTGATTAATTGACTTTCAGTATACTCCATTATTTGATCATCACAATCAACGATCACGCTTATGTCTCGTCATATATTTTCATAGTATCAAACGGAATTGAAATTAGTTACGCAATAAAAACCTGTACGAAAGCTTTCATAAAATTTATTAAATTAATTTTCTGAAGATGAACTTTAAAGTCTGAAGAGTAAAGCCTTAAATAGAAATTCATTCAACAGACAGCACATAATTGTCGTTGCATTGTCTGCGGTACCGCCACATGACAACCTAAAGGAATGTATTGGTTGCGCAACGACGTTAATTTCGCAAAGCCTACTGATGATATGTTGCATATAAATAAAGAGATGAGTAAAAGTGAAAGCAATCATGAAAAGACTCTCACTTATATTCTTGTAATCTTGAACAATTGAAGTCGCGTCATGATAAATCGCTGATGATTTAATTTAATATTTGCTTTCCGCTCTGCTGATTACTTGCGATTTGAAAACCACAAAACATGATTGTCATAGTTTTTAGTTTCATAAAATGGAAAAGAAGAAGTTTTCAGAAAATTACGGAAGTTTTCTTTTGAAATAAAGTTGAATATTGGAACTTTATCGTAATATCCCGGTAGCATTAATTCGAGACGGCTTAAACTGTTCAACCTTAATTCTTTGTGTACATTGTGTATGTTGGCCTTAATGACAGCATCTTTGGCTGATCCTCCTTTTGTAATATTTTTTCTTTAATTAAATTTTAAAATTAAAATCGTGATGTTTAAGATCTTTGAGGTGAAAAAACTTATCCAATGTTAGTTTAATACATTTTATTTCCTATTTGGTTTTGCCCCTAAAGATATTCTCGATCTCACAGCGAGACATGTACACAAACATTTATTTAAAAAACATGTTTGACTTTCTCCCACAAAGCGTCAACAATTTGGCCTCGAGATAAAGTTGAGCTTAAGTCTCATTTCCGTATAATAAAAAGTAATTTTCAACAAAATTGCATAATACACGTGGGTTTAGGTGCTTTCATGTCGCGGAAGCCTTTGAATGACTTTTCAATATGTTTTGAAAAACGATAGAGGGAAAGAGAAATAAAAAACCTTATTTGCATGTTCAGATCGCGATCTCATGGTTATTTATTGATCAAGTATCAAATGTTGAGTCATTGCACTTTAATTCTCGTGATCAATCAGAAGGGAAATGTTGTGTTAAGAAGAGTATTGAATCTTTTTTTATCTCACTCTAATCTTTCAATTGTATCTTCCGCATTTTATTTCTAAACCTAACATTGACCTTTAATTTTAAAATCTATCGCTCACAATTGTTCTTTATTTATGTATCCATGCAAGTACTTCAATGCTTAACAAAGAACTGTAGCGAGATAATGAAATTGTTTTTTATTATTCGTGAAGCATAAAATGTAAGAATTTGCAAAAGAAAAAATAAGGAGGAATTCAACTCAGCATCCGTCAATTACACATACGGATCGGACAGATTGAAACGAATCGTTTAAGTGTAAGAAGACGCAATAGAAGAGAACGAAAATAAATTGTTGAGTTATCAACGGAAACCGAGCAAGATAGTTTCTAAAATTGCACATGCCAATCAATTGCGTTGTTATAGAGTGTGAAAAATATAAGTTAGTGCAAACTTAAAAGGCTTTTACGGTTCACGGTAGAAATTATCGAGATTAGCGACTAGTTTCAAGTCCAAGTATAAAGCAATCATTTTCCGCCTTCAAAAAATTATACAAACCAGAAATCATTATTCAGAAATAAATGATGGATGAATTTTTATACATTCATAACATTTCTCTTGAAAGAAAATGAAACTTGTGGTTTAAACTTTAGCAAATTTATCTTTTCAATCAAATTGATAACTTTTCTTTATTATCAAGATCAAGAAGTAGTTCAAGTTTGTCTGACTCAGAAATCTTTTTATTCCATAAATTTCCAGGAAATTTTCTTATTGAAGCAATGAAAACATTTCCAGAGAACATTTAATTGAAAAATGCAATTTTAATTATCTGAAGTTGAGGTGAACGATGAGAAATTAAGAATTGGATGAAATATGTAAACATTAAAACAGAAAATATTCACTTAAGTAATCTATGAGAAATTATAGGCTTTTTATCACTTCTGTGTTTCTTTGTTGTAATTCATGTTTATCCTAATGCTTTGCCAAGAGCTTTTGAACGATTAATCTAATTGGGAAGTACATTGGAGAAAGAATAGTTGAAAGGAAAACAAAAAGATGCTTTTTCATTTCTTGCTTCTGCTTCATAATTACATTCACTAGAAATTTATCGCTTTGATTAACTTCTTCCACATCCCATACAACAAATCAGTGAAAACATAAACAAACTTTGAATCAATTTAAAGTCGAAGTCAGCTGAGAGCGGAGTTGAATGGATGGGAGAACTAAAAATAAGCCTCTGATGTTCGGCCTGTGCAACAAAACGTTTTTCATGTAACGGTTCATGCATCTTCAATGACTATTTTTTATCCACATCGTGCTCGTTGCAGAATAAATATTATGTAGCTTGAAACGAATCGTACATTCTGGAAATTGTAACAGGCATAAAAACAGTTTAATTCGTAACATTTCTGTTTTTGTGATTAGCCTGTCTGCCTGCGTATTTCTTTATTTATGTTCAATTCTGTTGGGATTTTTAATAATTGACCTGGATCCTACCCTAAAGCTACGACATGATTATTGATTGCCGACGATGTGATTAAATTTTAAATTAGCAGAAATAGTCATCGATGAAGAATCACTTTTCGTTATCATCTTTTTATGAATAGACAATAAGGAATGAACTCGAATAACAAAATATTTTAAGATTTTTCATTAAACAACATCAGCATAGTTGATGTCAACTTCCCGCTACTTCAATCGGTAAAAATGTGCCAACAAAAAAGCCAATTGAATTAACTCGTTCGATAATATCTTCTTGACTTAAGTAGGCCACAAACCGTGTTCTATTTATCTGTTAGTTAACGATCTTAATCAAATGAAAAGAAACATTAAAGTTTGAATGAGAGTATTGGGAATTGAAAAGATCGCATTGTGATGATCCGCGTATAAAGCATTAATTTTATGCTTCTTGCACGAACATAAATTGTTCATAAAGAGTTCTGTTAAGTAAACAAAAGCTTCTTAACTGCTACCAAAGTTAAAGGTATGTAGGCAAGTTGCTTGCTAGTAGTTAACATAAAGCAAAATGTTGTTATACTTAGTATTGAAATTAATTAAGAGGCGTAAGAAGCTGGCTTAATTAATCATTTTGCATAATTAGATGGGATACAAAAAGAACCGTTAATTGATTTGTTTCACTTACGTAACAAATGTTTTACCATCTTAAAACATTTATGCGTATACGAAGAGCATGTGGATAATTTTCATTATATTTTGAATCAACGATCAAGCATGAATATTTTTCAAAAATCTTTGAGTTTGTACTTTGAAAAACATGTAGAATGATCGTATAAAATTAATAAAGTTAATAAGCAGAATAAGCCAATCTTACATTTGGACTCACGTTGCTGACGAGAACACCGCAATAATCTGGTGATCCTTGTTTTGCTAAAAGATTTATACTCATCGTCACGATGTTGCTTCCATTACCGAATGTCATGCAGTTTGGATTTCTGAAATCACGAGCATGAACGGCACCATTATAAGGATTGTTGAATAAGACTTTGATATTCATTTGTCCAGCCTTGCAGGTAGCAGAAACTGAAGTTGCAAAGTCAGCTGTGTCTTGAGACTGAGCCTGAAAAATTCATAAAAAGAAACATTAGATAATTTATATTTTACAATATCTTTTATTGCTGTTTACAATGGATGAATGTGCCAGAGCACGCTATGAATTTCACAAAATTGAAAAGATTGTCTTTATGTAGAAAGCATAGCATAGATTGTTAATTAAAAAATTTCTTTAGATATCATAAACATTTAAGTGGCAATCTTAACAACATGATCATTCATTTCATTATTCAACATTATAAAAAATAATAAACAATTTCCGAATCAACGCACTATTACTTAACAAAAATTTAGTTCCAATGCGTACGATATTTAGTGAAATTGTACAATGAACTCGGGGGGGTTTTAAACATAATAAAGTTAAATAGAAATCGCTCACTGCCACCTTCCACTAGAAATTTATTTACGCATGATTTTCGATATAATTTAATTTTTGTTTTTGAGTTTTGTTCCATTCGCTTCTTTTGAAGTATTTAGAAATTTGACTGCACGATTATTAAGTGAAATTGATTGAGTGTTTAAAAAGGCGGTTTATGATCAATGATCATAAATGAGTTTTTCATGGTTTTGACAAGCGATGACTTTATTGCATAAGTTTTTCTTTTATTTTTGACACTTATATAAATTGATAAATTGAACAAAATTCAATTATAAATTCGTGATGCTTTGATATGTTTATGTTAAATTGTCTTCTTCATAATTTGCATGATTTAACATTTAACATGACAAGTTATTGATGGTACGTTTCGAAACCGAGTAATCATAAATAATTATCATTTAATTTATGCTTCATCATAGCATAACTCGTGGAAACTTTTGACATTTGGCTTTTGAAATTGCAAAAAAATATGCACTTAGATAGATAATTAAATTTGAAAACTCTAGAATGGCCTGTGTAATAATCTAGAACGTCAAATCATTTGTTCGACTGACATAAATTGTGGCATTTGAACTCTCCTGTCTTTTATTATGCAAAACAACATTAGAGAAATGTTTAATTACATCACAAACACAAGCATGGAAATCTGTATCAAAAAGACAAATTTAAATTAATTAACTAGAGCGTAGCAAGATCAACAACGTTTGCTTTTTTTGCTAGTGAATTGTGCAGCTTCAATTCTATTCACCCAATGCTGAGCTTTATACAATCTTGAAACATTTTTAACAACAAAGTTGTGCGATCAAAATCATAACAAACTCATCATGGAACAATGAACTTTTGGCTTACACCATCTCGTTTTTTTTCAAGCTTCATTACTACTTTTCTTTTTTACTTTTTCTATTTTTGTTGTTGTTCCAATTAAAGTTGTCGCTTCACAGCGCGTTTGTTGTCTTTGCGAAGGAGAAAAAGGTAACCAAATTTACGATTTGTTGTGGCTAATGAAAATGTGTACTTGATTGTGTCTCCAATTTCACACACAGAATTTAAGCTCGGGGCTACTGAAAAGTCAAGTTCGAGTTATAAAGAGCGGAAATTGGCGGTCATTGTGAGAGAAAACACTTTTAGACAGAGAATGCTTTGTGAACTTATATTGTTATTTTCTGCTTCACAAACAACAATAATCTGTGGAAGTTTGAGAAAAGAAGTCTGATGCTTGTTGAACTTCTTAATGATATCAATTTCCTTTTAAAGTAAATTTAATGGGTAATGTGGGGTCAAATTGCGGCTAAAGAGTAAAACAGAAACTTCAAACTGATGATCGTATGTGGTATCTAACATAATTGTCTTAATGCACTTTTATAAATAAGCGAGCTTCTGCGTAGAGTTTATCGACTAGATACCGTTTCTACTTATCATATTTAATCAATTTTTTATTAACATAAAGTAATTAACCTATCGTTAAAATGACAGAAATCGAAGACAGGAAATTAATAATTTTCATAACTTGCATGCTGCATTCAGGAATTTCTTTACAATATCGATCGTTTATAAACTAACAACAGAACTTCACATGTTTACGTAACTTTGAGTAACTTAACAGATAAATAATTTCAGTATATCCAACTCGCAAGCACAAAGAAAAATCAAGCTTTGTAGATCACAAGAAAATATTCCTGCCATAAACATTCAATAAAAACAACAACAGCAGTGCAAACAGGAAAAAACCTCCATCAAGACAAATCAACCAGCGCATATCGTATCACGAACAGATCAATTGCAGAGAAATTGCATAATGCTGTGATTTATGTGTCGAACATTGTTCGAACTGACCATATTTTTATAAGCTAAAGTGAATTAAAAAAAACTCCGATTAACGATTCTACGATAAAAACGATCTTAAAAAAATCTCAGAATTGTTTTTTTATTGCTGCTGTCTCCACATTTTCAAAAGAATTTTATTTTCTCCCTCCCTCTCTTCATTCTGCTCAACAATCGTGAGTGAAATAGAAAAAACTGCGCATTGTCTCGAGACATTGGAAAATCATAAATTTCGATTCAGAATACAAATAAAAATAAATCCGTAATTGTCGTTCAAATTGCCTGCAGCCTACATCTATCGACAATAAATTCGAAACTTCATTTCATGGCTAATTGAAGTTCATTTAAATTCATTTTTTCACGCCTTGAAACGTTTGCTATCTTTCACGACGCAACTCTCTTGTCGGTGTGCATGTAATTGCACAGCAATCCAACCATAAATTAAACAAACTTTATGACATTTTGACATCAATAGTCTGGCCAGTGGCCAATAAGCTAGTGCGTGCTAATTCCAGCATTATAAAATTATTTTCTAAAGATATTGCAAGTTAAAAGAAGATTCATAAAGCTACAGAAAGACGAGCAAGTAAGGAGAGTTTGACTTAATTTGGATTAAAAACCAGTTTTCAAGCATTTTCTTCTTAATTTGTTGATAAATTTTTATATAAAAAAGAAGAACGCGACGAAGATTTTGTGGTTTGCATCAGTTTTGGGCGTTGATGTCTTTCATGCGATTGTCACGAATTTTTATACATAAATTACTAATGTGTTGGTTATTAAAGACGAAGTTAATTGAACCTTCATGAATATATAAAGTTAAAAACCTGATCCAATTGGAAGTTCATCAAATAAATTTAATCATGAACAAAGCTTCGTTGTTTTTCATCTTAAAATTATAGTTCAACGCCTTCAAAGTTTCATTGGATTAAACTGTTTCGTGTCTCACAGCAAGAACTTAAATTTAATCACGCGCAGTTGTAAAATGTTTAGTTCTTACAGCTATGAGGGTGTATGAATGACATTGATCTTTGAAATGCGAGGAAAATAAAGAAGAATTTTCTCTCACGTAATCTCGAGATTGAGCAGAACTTCATTGTTTGTGATATTATTTAAATAGTTGCGCGTAACTTAATAATCCATATGTACATGCGATGGTGTAAGTATGACTAAGTTGAAATTATTCGATTGAATCAGTTGGTAAAAACTTGTTTTGGCACTAACAACTGTTGGGCAATGTACATGCATTGAGTACAAAACAGTAAATAGTTAACTAAATGCACACAACGATCGACCAACCACATGCATTGAACGCGGAATGGAAATCATAGAAATTGTATATTTATTGCGCCAATTAAAATGATTTTTTATGGTCACGGGGCAAAATTGTTTTAAATCTGTATCTGCAGATATTTCCATGTTGCAATTAATTTATGTTGTCCCTCTTCTCCCCTAATAGATTTTGTATCTAACTCATGCAAATATGAAAGCCGATTATAAACCTCAAAGCATTTACGTTCGACAACAAAGAAAGAAAATTTTCTTTCTCGAGGAAACAAATAAGAAAAAAAAGTTCATGGAAAAACATTATTTATGCATTTTCTTCGGAAACATTGTGAAGTCGCGTAATCAGTGCAGTCAATAACAATGCAGACGTGAGAGAATAAAAGAAAAACCTCGACTTTATGTAGATTCAATTTGCATTCAATTGTCGGATATTTTCTGAGGATACATGATCTTGAGACGAGAATTACATAAAAAAGTTCACTACGAACAACCTTAAAGCTTATTTTATCATGAAAAATTGCGGTAGAATTTTTGGAATTGGTAACCGATTGAATGATTTCGAAAATTTTATTTTACCAATGAAATTTAAGACCTTTAATGGAATTCAGAATTAAGATTGGAGGTTGTAAACTTTTCATTCTTCATTATCTCAGCTTTATAACGACAACACATATTTTTGTCACCCGCTTATGTTTTTATTTGTGGTCATCCATAACTTTTAATTATGTATGCCTGGAAGATGTAACATAATCTCATGAACATAAAATTTCTGTCATTCCAAGATTCATATCTTTAGCTTTAAGGGCCAGAAAAGTAACGAGAAGTAAATTAAGCGAAGAGCAAGAAGAATTTCATGCAGACATCTTCACTGTATTGTATTCTTCAACCGAAAGATGAAAAGCTCCGAAATGTAAATTTGCTTTACAGCTTTTTTCACTCATACTAAACGAGGAAATATGTGAAAAAGTTTTTTTCCTTTTAAATTCATTATTATAATAAAGCGAGAATGACGAGAACATATAATTTAGCACGTTTAAGCAGTTTTTGTGGGAGGAATAGCAAGTGATGAGATTTTATTTTTTCGTCTTATGTTTTAATCATTGAAAGATGTTGCATAGTTACTTTGTTGTGAATAAAAGAAAAAAAAAACTAAATAAGCATAAGGCTTATGAATGAAGGAATAATTTACGACTTCATTGCTGGGCAGATAAATTTCTGCAAAATCACCAACTGGTGCTTTGTTGTTACGGTTATTATTCAAGAGATATTTTCAATTAGATATCAAGCATAGCATTGGTCTAAAACGAAAACATTCCAATCGGCTTGAAACTATTTCCCAATCGTTACCTTCGCTCGATCAAACAACCATCGGGTTATTGTCTGATTTGAGTCGGGTGAATGGTAATTTTTTACGGTCTTTCATGTGGCTACTATCAGACATCAATATGATTGCAAAATATGAGAAAAAAAATACAATTTTCAACTGAAATTATAATGTGGAAGTAGGAATCGTGACATGTACACAATAAAGCAGAAAAATTAAATGTTTATAAAGGAAACTGTTGGTTGGGTTGGGATTTTTTTTTCGGCAAATTTTAGCGACAATAGATATTTATTTATTATAGTATAATTAAGTGAAGCTGACATATTACGAGTTACACACAATTTAATGCTTTCATAGATGTGAAATAAAATTTCATTCGTCATGACTAACATGCGAGTCATTAAAGAAAACTTTTATCATGATGAGTTACGCAAGTTTCTTAAAGATAAACATATCTTGACTTAAATAGTCATTCATCTCCCAGATGACGATTACAATAAGAAATAAACAGTGGAATAAATATTGAATTTGAGCTCAAGGAGATCGACATCGCATTGTGAGTTGAATTTAAAAAAGAATTCAAGAAACATTACTCGATATGGAGACACAATAAATAAATATAAGTTTACCGCCCTATGTGAAAATAAACCAACATTACCCACACACCAACATGATTGCATTTGTGTCAATATTTAATTGAAGAAAAGTTGAGTGATGTTCGGAAAAAACTTTTCATTTTTTATTACTCAAGTTTCTTAAATCAGTTTCATGCGATCAGTTTCTCACGACTTATCATACGTTGGAGAAATAAAAATCATTTCGTGAAGGTCCAAATTGTTATTGTGTGATTTTGATGATGTTTCATGAATTTTAAATTCGCACAATAACAACAAAAATATTATCAAAATGCTTCTTGAATCATTTCCTCCTCAAAAAAGCTTTGTGACTTTGATGTTTTTGTGTTGAAAATTAAATAAATATTAAATTTAGTCAGAACCAAAACAACATCGAATTATTTAAGCTCATGGTGGACAACAGAAATTGACACCGTCGTGACAAATACAACAGCAAACCACCTTCTAGTCTAACTATACAATGATTATTTAGTTAATGAAATGAAAAGTGGCTTATGCCTTTTGTGAGACAAATAAAAACGTCAACTGTTTGCCAGTGTTAAGCAACCTTGAAATCCGAGCTTTAGCAGTTAACATTTCATCCACCTTAGTCGGTAATGCGCATCCAACGCAATAACGTTTTCAATAGCGGTGGCAAACATTCCAAATACCTAAATACCTCCTTTTCATTCAATCATTTGAAAAAGCTTCTGTTCGAGTAATTCAAGAAACCAATCAATTTATTTAGTTTCATTTTAAATCTTCTCATATGGGATTGAAGAGCGATTTGGAGATTGCGGAACGATAAATCAATCTCTGTTTATTTTTACTTCATATAAATTCTCGTTTGCAAGTCAAATTCTAATTATTAGATCAATGTCAGTCATTAAATGTACAAATCATCAAACACTTGTGATGACTCTACGCAGATACACAAACACACACATGATGGTTGAAGTGGAAGTATTACCATACATTATTTTCAGACTTTTGAAGAACCTTCCATCGTTTATTTAATAATTTCTCATTATTCACGCAGCGTAAACGAGTTTTCATTATTTCTTTTTCTATGATGAACTTTTGCGTACAATTGTGTGATGTTAATTGGGAAAGAAATGTGTTATTGTTCTAAGGAATGCGCTCTTTAATGATCCCGTAAAAAAGAAAAAGATTCATAACAAAAAGGGATTCCAGATTAAAGTTCTCAGATTTAAAAAATGACAAAGTATTAAAGTTAACTGACTGACTCTTTTCAAATCCCCTAAACACTCAAATGTACTTGAGTCAAACGTACTCGATTAAAGTAAAGAGAAGAAAAAAAGTTTTTGCTGGTTAATGATGCACTCAAAGCTATTGGGCCTGATTTTTCTGATGAATCAACCGATAACATGGTAAAGATGGTAATTTAGGGATGCTGCTGGGCCTCTAATTACACTTATAATTCATCCATACCTATCCATAGTTAATATTTAGTACTTTGTGAATAATCATGTTGGACTTGGAAATTCACTTCTGTGTACGCCTTTCGATCACGATCAATTCTTTTTCGACCTCATGAATAGACGTTCATCGATTGAAAACAACCGAAATGATTAATAGATTCATAAATTCAATTAACGTTTGAGAAGCTTAAGTTGAAATCGCAATTACTTATTTAACAAAGAATTTTAATACGATTTTAATTTCTCGATTCTAAAATTTGCCATTCAAATTCAATTGGAATATTCAGGTAGGCTGATGATGAATTTATATTGTGTCTAGTTACATAATTTAATGTTTATGATAGGCGAACTAACATCTGTTAAATATCCAACTCAAGATCTAAGTCTTAATCGGTGACAATGATATTTAGAATTATAAAGTTGATGGAGGACGTCGTTAACCGGTTGCTTAAACAATTCAATTGCTTGACATAAATGCGCAGACATCACTTAGAAGCTATTTAAGGCTAGCTTTAGGCTACAGCTTCGTGTGCAAATATAAACATTTCTTGATTATTCACAAGTGACTTCAAAAGCTTCTCACATAGACCAAATTCAATTGGTTACATAAATAACTAATTTAAGTACAAAGAAAATGAATCTGTCGATTGTTACGAGGGATAATTGTGATGCATTCAAACTCAATAAGAACTTCATAAAAAGGCGTTTATTTTAATTCATGGACAAAGTTCATATTTTGTCTCTAAACTACTCCAAAGAAAAATTGAACGCAATAAAGTGTCATTAAGTAATCAAGCGAAATCTTTCAATTTATTTTTGACAAATGAATAAAAGAATAAATAATTAAATTAAAAATGATTGAATGAAGCTCACCTGTGTCGCGAAGACAATCAGCAAAATCAAAATACCGGTCAGCGATTTCATATTGATGTTCAGGTTCAGACTTGATCGCCAATTGAAATCTTTCATTAGCTTCTTATTCTCCTTTCCCAATCTCTGTATTCACACTTTAATTCTATTTATCTTGTGGCAACACTCGTCTTTCTAAATCTTTGATCTGGATTAACTTTTATTGTATTTTCTCTCTTCACTACTTCAGCTCACCATAGAATTATTTTTTTTCCTCAATTCACCTTTTCAGATCTTGATTCACGCTTTGATTTTTCAAATTTAATTTAAAGAAAAAGAAAATAAAAAGATTTAATTTCCTAGACAAACTTTATGTTTTTAATTTCTTTTCTTGAAAAGAAAAAGAAGAAAAAAAAACTTTCACGTCATTCTGGGCTTTAATTTATCGCCATTGGAAGTAGCAACTTTAAACATAAAGAAATTCGTTGAAACAATTTCACGACGTTAATTAACTCTCGAGAATATTTTACTCTTTCTTCTAGTCTTTTTCCATGTCCACTAAACCAAAAACAACTCAAGAACGGCCCTTTAATCTCAAATTGCCCACGACGAACGAGAGAGAAAAACAAGCATGCAACAATAACAACAAGAAGAATTATACAAAGCACGGCAATAAATTTGTTGATTGTAAAGAAAATGTGTGTCTACCGTAAATTCTTCAACTCCTTTCATTTATCCACTGCAAATGTTGATTAAATTAAGGTGGGGGAAGTTTCATTCTTTTAATGCTTAAATCCAAGTTTTAGTCATCGTTGTCATAACTTTAGCATTCTCAGAAACTCAAATAAGTCAGAGTGAAAGAATTTGAGTAAACATACTCACTCGGACAAAATCAACAAAGAACAAAGCTTTGTAAATATTTTTCTGCGAAAAATTTAAGAGTATGCAATTACGTCACTGCTTATGAATAAACTTTGATCGTCGCTAGACGGAAGTTTGACCTTTAAATTAACTAATCTTCAATTTTTTTTCAATGTCCATAAATAGTACGTTCGTTATCACGTTTCAGGAATTTGAATTAAAGTCTTCTTCTTAGTTGGAAGAGTGAACAAGAATTAAAGACCTTGCGATAGTTTTAGCACGCTTACACACATATGGGTTCTTCCCACATTTCAGGCAATCATTTCGTCATCGTTAAATAAGTATTTGATCTTGTTGTTGATCACCATTGAGATATCAAGAGAAACAATGAAAGATTTCAAACTGAGTTGCGTAAAACTTGTTTCTAATCATATCTTTGAATTTTCAAATAAAATTTCCAATCTTTTTTCTTCGAACTGTTAATTACGCAATTTCATTAAGATTTAACCTGTGAAATAATAAGAAAACAATTCGAATGGTATTTGAAACAAAGTTGAAGAAACACAAACTCAGTTTGATTTTAATTGATTCATCAATCATTTGAAAAATGAAAAAACAATTCAAAATGAAAGCATTTCAAGTTTCTTGTTAGTTACTCAAATCTAAATATGCTGATTGTAAAGTGTCAATTAGCAATTATGAAATTATCTCAAGTTGAGGTTTAACGTATTTTACTTGGTAAACGTATTTATAATCTGACCAGCACAATCAATATTTATTCCATCATCAACAAATTTCTATTGATGCTCGTGAGTCAAAACATATATTTAAACAATTCAATTTTCGTTTAATTGATGTTTTTATGTTCTCACTTTAGTCTAACAAAACGAACCATAAAGTCCCGTAATTTCCTTTTATATGATGAATGAAAACTTTCGTGATTAATCGCGATTGTGAACGGTTTTGTGTGGTCAGCACTATTCTATCATGTTTTGCTTCTTTTATTTTTTAAAATTTTCTATTATTTTCTTTTGATTGATATTTTTCGATAATTTCATTCCATGTTCTTTTGTTGCTTTCATTATGTTCAACTTCTACTTTTACTGCTTCAAGAATTTTTTTTCTTTTCATAGAACTATTTAAAAAGAAGAAGACGTCTAGAAGTGTCTGATGAAATCAGAAACTTTTACTTAAAGTGTTTCTCGTTTGTCGAGAGTAATAAAATCACATTTTTAAGTTATTGATGATAGTGCTTATGACGAATGAAATCTTGAAGTAATGCTCAATGAAATTACATTATTTTTTGAACCCACTTTCTATTTTTTCAACCTTTCATTGCATAATTTTTCTTTTCGTAAAATCAGAAAATTTACTAGACACACAACAAAGATAAAATGAAGTTTTCTGATAAAATTGAATCAATGACGTTCCTGATGGTAAAGCTTTCTAAGAAAAATAATAACTGTTGCAAGATGTCCTTGAACACGCCCGATTTTTTAATTCCCACACACTGTTTTATGAAATAAGACTTCACATTTTTTTACACAAAGAGAGAAAAACTGGTAAAATGTTAATTAAAGTCTTAATTTCTTTGGATATTCATTACTTATTGTGATATTTCTAAAATACTTTAAAGGATTATTCTTAAACACACCTCATGATTCAAAATTCATTAATATTTAATCAATGTTTTCTTGAAAACTGAATAAATTGCTAATATTTCCAGAAATTTAATGAATACACAACTGTGCAAGTTGACTAACACTTCGCGTCTGAAATGCTCTGAATGACATCACAAACTAAAATGTTGTACAAACAGCGAAAGAGAGATCAAAAAGAAAAGAGTATAAAAGGTAAAATATGAGAAGAATATTGGTTGTTATGGAGAAATATCTCAGCTTGTAGTAAACCGATCCACGATTATTTTATCCGCGATCTCTTCTGAAATTACATACAAGGAGATATCAAGCATGTCATGTCGTCTTATACAGTAAAATACAAGTTGAAATGTTTATGTGTTAAGATCATTTCGTCTCTCAAAGAGTGGTATTAATGATCTTAGAATTTTTAAGAGCATGTTAAATGCATTTTCAACATTCGTGCACTATTAAAAACGACTGCGGACAAAGTAATGAACTCGACTTGGAAGGTATGGAAATAGGTAAACATGTTCATTATGAAGATTATAACTGCAATCAATTAAATATCATTATTCAAGTTCTTGGTTTTGTGATTAATGCAAAATGTAGTTTTATTATAAGATATTTCAAAACTTGTTTTTTAAGCATGAAATTCTAGAATTTCACAGGTATTATACATACTGTGTTTCGCCCCATCTATTGAATTATCTTTAAAAGTTCTTTAGATTCTTTTTGAGTTAAAAGAACATGCAACAGATGGTGTTGGCAATGTTAAAGAGATTTGACTTTAATAAAATATCGGGTCGTATGATTCAAGCTCCTGTTGTGTAAATATAAAAATTAGAAAAAAGAAATAATATTTTTGTTTAGTCATGCATCCAGCTTTGCAACCTATTGAGTTCCTTATTGGAACGTGGACATCAGAAAGCGCTGTAGGCCATTTTCCAACCATCAACGATTTTAAGTATGACGAAACGATTTACTTCGAAGAAATAGGACAACCTTTGCTTAACTTCAAAAGTATTTCAAAGATTGGTGAACGACCAATGCATTTAGAGTCAGGATTTTTGCGTATCTTGCCTGGAACTTCAAAAGTTGCATTTATGGTTTCGCACAATTTTGGACTTTGTTCTGTTGAAGAAGGAAGCGTTGAAGGCTGCAATATTGTATTGGAATCAAGTGGAATTCAACGAATAAGTTTTGCAAAAGATCCTATGGTCACTAAAATACGAAGAACTATAACGTTACTTGAAGACATGAAACTGGAAATCAAAACTGATATGGCAACAACAAATACTCCAGAATTAACAAATCATTTAATTGTAATTTATAAAAAGAATTCAAGCTAATCACGTTTGTGATTAGATTTAAAATATATTTTTGCACTTTTGGGCGGCATTAACGAGTAAAAGCTGGGTTGATGATCCGCTGGTACCGATGATGCTAGACAAGTTTGCAAATATCGAATGTAGTTGATTGCGATTCTACAAGAATAAAAAGTAAATTTCAATTTTTATCTGAGAATTTTGTGATTCCTGACAAATCTTACCTTAAACATTCGATTTTAGAATATTTTTTTCCTGATGGCTTCACGATTGGCAATTTCTGTCGAAGCATGTCAAATGCTCTATTCATGTCTTTCATTCTATTTCTCTCTCTGTCACATGCAGTCTTTTTAAAAGCTGTTTCCACTTCAATTGCTTTCTTTTTCCAATCAGGTTTTGGTGGATTCATCTCATCTGGAGATTTCGGTGACGAACTATGCAGACGTGTTTGAAAGTTGGAAACGTAAATTGGATTAATATCAGGATTGATTGGAATCACTCCAGCCATTGGAAAATGAAACTGCGGTGGATTGGAGACGTAAACGGGACTCGTGAATCGATAATATTCTATTGGAAGAGAGTGGTGATGATAGTCGATTGCACCTGATGATGGTGGTGTTGGTGGGAATGAATCAACGACAAAATTTAATGGTGCTACTTGTGCATCCAATTCCAAAATAGTTTTTGGTTCGCCACTGGTTTCGTCGTCTAACTCCACATGCGTCACAGGCTTCATTATTTCCAAGTTTAATGGTTGAATTGATAGATCGTCGTCCATCTCTATGCCTTATTACGTGTTTCTTGAAAGGTTGGAGATGAAATGAAGATAAAATCGATCAAAAGATGTGACTGAAACAATTTCTTCTGAGAATAACTATGAGAATTCGTTTGAACAAGTGTTTCGAATCCATTTTTAAATTACTTTTATTTCTTTATCGTTATTAGAAGTGTAACGTCATAACAACTGTTTTGTGTGTGTATAAAAGGAGACGGAGAATTAACAATAGAAACAGCAGTCAATGGAACAAAATTGGGACATGATGTACCCTTCCGCTTTCGAGTGTTTTATTGTTATGTAAATCACAATCATTATAGGTGTTTTAACTCCATTCATAAACATTCATTGATCCTTAAACTTAACCCGTTCTTAATCTCGAAATACGTTAATCCAATGATTAATCTAACTCCGATTTTTTTTCAATTCTCGAATTATCAAAGCATTTTATTGCCAATATCATGATAATGTTAAGTTTCATACAAATCTTATAATCAAATTATTTGAAATTAAGTTTTCGTGGAGTCATAAATAATTCAAGAACATCTTCGGTGATTGATTTTCGACTTTCTTGATGTTTAGCAACAATTGGTTGAAGACATTCAATTGCAAGCTTTTTGATTTCTCCGCTTAACATTTCGCCAGAACTATAAGCAATTCGAATTTTCTCAAGTTCTGGATCGTCTTCCAAGAAGAAACGAAGAAGCTGATAAGGAACATCGATGTCAGTATTTCCACCAAATTCGCGATGCTCCTCGACAGTTACACGACCTCCTGAGAAAGCATGTTTATTGATTTTTGTTTTAATCTGTTTTGGTGTATCAGTAAGGAAAATTGCAGAGTTCAGATCACTCGCTGACATTTTGGTTTTGGCGCCTTGTAGTGCCGGAAAGAAAGTAGAGTGGAGCAAAGCCGGTTTCGGAAATCCTAGACGTGGAGCAACATCTCTAGTCATTCGGAAATAAGGATCTTGATCAATAGCACATGGAATTAAAACTGGAACTTTTTCCTTCCCAAAGATATGAGGGAATGTTGATGATAATGCTGGTGCTGCTTGTACAGCTGGGAAGCCAATTTTTCCTATAACGTCTGAATCACCAAAGCCAAATATTCCTTTCACTTGATTAAATGTTACGCATTTTTGAATTCTTATGACATTTCTATAGTATTCAGGACATTGCCTACAAATAAATTTTAATCAGCATCAAGCTTCGTATTGAATACTTCTCAACAACTTACCCCATATAAGTCAGACTAGAGAAAATGAAAGTTTTTGATGGATCAAATCCCATCGCAATTATATCTTTTACATTTTCCTTTGTAAGTCGAAGTGCTTCTTCTATCTCGATATTTTTCCATAATGCCTTTTCATCGTCAGTCATCTGAATTACCAGAGGAATATCGAAAGCTTCTTGAAGCCACCTGAAATATATTTACAGAATTTCATCATTATTAAAATATTTCCATATAGAATGATAAAAACGACTCACTTTGTAACAACAAATGGGATGAGATGTCCTAAATGCATTGATTCTGACGATGGTCCTCTCCCAGTGTAAAGGTAAAATCTCTTTCCTTGTTCCCAAAGGTTAAGAAGAGTAAAGAGATCACGATGGGAAAAGAATATTCCTCTTCGTATAAGATGATGGACAGGTTTTCCAGCAACTTTCTCAAGTTTTGCAATCACTTCATTGTCAACTTTTGAACTTCCAAATCTTTTGATCAGTTTATCGTAATCAATTCCTGTATCATCAGCTCCAGCTACGTCCCATGGTGTGACAATGTCTTCTTTTGTCTCAGATTCAAGGTTTGAATCTTCAAGACTTTTTGCTATATCTTCAGTTGCCATTTCATACAATATAAATAAATAATGTTTTTATTAAATGATTAAGGCTTAAGATACTTTTCTTTATTTTCAAAACGTGTCGTAAAGTAACTTCAACACTTAAGAGTAACCTTTTCATACATTCTTTGTAAACAAACTTTAAAGTGCTGAATTCAGTGGAGAGTCAAATTGTAGCTTTACAAAACATGTTAACTACCCTTTGATGTTTTTCATATAAAGTTTTTCATTCCCCTGATTGTTGAATCTAACAAAAAAAAATACAGCTGAAGCGGAGAGACAAGATTAATTATTTTAACCATTCACAATGAAATATCCGTCAATAAAACATTCTGAAAATAAGTTTGTGAGTGACTCGGGATAAGCCTATGATCGAGTTTAAATAATAAACCAAGTGAAAATAAAGTTTCTCGCTAAATTCACGCCCCATACAAAATAAGAAAAATTTAAGTTTTGATGAAAATAGTTCATTAATTTGTGAATAGCAAATAATCCTGGAGAGTAGCTTGAAGTCATCAACAATATTCAAGTAGAAGTATAAAAGTGAAATCGATTCAGATTAAAGTGCAGAAAAATTTAAGAAAAGAAAAAAACAAAAATGTCTTCGAAATTTGAGAAAATGAGTAACAACTCAAAACCAACTCCAACTAGATATTTTGCTGCATGGGAAGTAGATCGAACACCACCAAATTGTGTACCAAGGTAAGTTTTAGTGATAAGATTCTTTCATTGAAGTCAAAATAGCGATAAGTTTGTGCGGCGAGATATGAGAAGATTTGCGAAATCTTTTTTCTTTTTACACCAACACATTCAACAGCTTTTTTGCTGTGGAAAGTTAAAGAGAAAGAGAGATGGGGCGAAATATGTGAGTGGTTCAATTGCGTTTTTCGTTCATTGAACCGCTTCGTTTCATTCATGAATCTAGTATGGAAATATATAAAAATAAATTGACCAATTAGTCGAACATGATTCTCGACTTAAATACATGCAACTTCCTATTGAAGTTTCTCGAGAACTCATTCGTCTTAAATTATGCTACTGTTGCAACTTCCTTAACACGAAACGTATAGAGTAAGGAATACCATTAATATATCATACAATGTGTGAGTGAGACGAAAAGCAAGTCTCCGGAGTGTTCCAAGCAACTCATAAAAATTTATTCTTCAAGAATCGATCAAACAAAGCCAAGTAGGAAAGAGAGCAGATGCTTATGCATTAAGTAGAATCAAAATCGTTGACTTTGTGCAGTAAATTTTTATTGTTAACAAGAGGATGAAAAGATGAATCAAAATGAATGAAATCTTGTACGCATGGCAGTAAGATCACTGTGTAATACAACAAATAGAAAAAAAAATCAACGACCTACCAGTATAAATTTTTAAGAGCTCAGTTTTATTTTATATGAGCGTAGTTTCTATTCCGATATTCACAATGAATGAAATCCCAATGTTTCTATAAGTGAAATCTAAAAATATCCTAGCGGATGGTCATGTAATTTGTTATTCCATTTAATATTGATGGAAATTTCTTTTCTTCGAATAAATTCTATTACTGTTGTCCTCATAGGTTACAAATTAAGATATTTTCCACTTTCTAAGGGTAACTTCCCACTCATAGCAAAGTTCCTTCAATGAAACACTGTTGCTTGTTTCTCATAAAATAATAAAACCTTATGAGGCATGAATAAAAAATTCTCGTAATTCTTTCTACTCAGCGATACTCATAAAGTGAACTATAATCTCGACCTTGTTATTTTTTTGAATTTCTCCTTCTCGAAAAAGATTTCTTAATTGAAACGATGCATTCAAATCTGTGCTGAATCAAAAATAGAATGAGATTGTGAAAACATATTTCTTCAATGTTGAACTTGATGAGCAGCATCATCATCATCATCATCATCACCAACATCATCTCAGCTGTAGTACTTATTTAATTTGACATTTCAATGATAAGAAAATGAAAGTAAAAATGTCCTCAGTATAATGAATAAGACATAAATAATGTTAAATAGAACTTTGGAGCAGTATTTCGGTTGATAAGAGAGAAGATAATTGATAACCTTTAAACAAACATGGATCTGTTCTGACGTTCAGAAGTAAATGTACGTCAACCTATGTGAAACAATGATAACATTAAAAATATTTAAACAAAGTGATAAATATTTTTCCCTTGTTCTCTTTACTTAAATATTGACGTGGAGAATATTTTTAAGTTATTTGGTTTCATTCATTCTAGATGCACGACTTTAACAAATAAAATTTTCCTGAATCTAACTGGAAATTAAATTACAAAAGGAACTCTATTCAATTAATTTCATTCTGTTATAGAGAGTTCAGTAAATAACTTTTCTGTGTGATTTCTCTGACTTTTGTTATTCGTTTACATTATTCGCATTCCCCAACATTTCCGAGAATTTTTTCATTCACTTAGACATGAAATGTCCATGATTATTATAGGAAATAAAGGCGAGAAATATAATTGCTGAATTCCAAATTCTATTAATATTTGAGATAATATTTCAGCAAATATAAAAGAAAAACCTTATAAATAAAATAATGAGCTGTTTACCGGTTTGCTCATCAGCGTATTTTATTTTATCAGATGTATTGGCTTGAAATTGATGCAAAAAATATTAGCGAAAAAGTAATTTACCATATTCCACCATTTTTTTGCTTCATTTAAAGGAAAGCTTTACAATTACAAACCACCAATGACGTCATAAAGAATCATTAATCATTCGAAGGCGGAATATTAAAGAAAGTGGTGTTGATTTAGGAAAAGCAGAGTTGTTTGCTTTATATTGCAGATTAAGACTTGAAAAATGTAACAAAAATGCTGAAAAACTGATTTAAAGAGTTTGTTGTCGATTAAAAACTGTTCACAGTGACTTGACGCCTTCATAAGATCAACTCGAACAAGATATCTGCATGATCAACAATAAACTATCATCAATAAAAATGTAAACTTTCTTTGAAATTTCTTAACAAAATTACTGATATTTTCTCCGTGATTTTCTATAAACTCATGAAAATTTCTTTTTGCAACGAAAGCTTTTCCTTGAAATCCCATTTAATAATCGCAATTTTGATGTTTTCTTTTCATTCGTTTCGCTGTCACAAACTTGAATCACGATGGTTGTCGAAAATGTAAACTGTCGCCCATTCATTTATCACTTGCGACAGAGAAATGAGTCATGTTATTCTGATTTTTATTATAAATATATTTGCTGTTCAAAGGCCGCAATTTGATGAATCAAAGTAAAATTATTGTGTGAAACTTCTACCTATAAAGGAGCGATTAGAATCGACATTCATAAGATTAATGACTCATTCAGAATCATTGTTTACTTTGTCTTATTGACACAAAATGAAAGTATTTGACATGTGCATATAAGAGTCGTTTCAAGTAACCAAATTAACACATGTTGATCTATGGATTTCAATTATCTTTTATCTATTGAATACAAAAATGAAACTTTCTTGAAAGAATGAGAACACAAATAATAATCAAAATAAGCACGATGTCTATAATTAAATTGAATCTCGTGTCACGTAGTTGTTTACATGTTAGACAAATAAGTGTTTGAGCATAAAACGTAAATTATCTATGACGTGCCTTAAATGCAATTGATAATGTTCAAGCTTCATACATTTTTCACATACGACGACATGAAAGCTGCTTTTTGTTTGTTATTTTTAGATATTCGAATGTTATCGGCGTAGCATTCCATCGAGTCTCATATGGAATGCTTGAAATTTCTGTTGCGTGGTTGATGTAGATATGTAAATACTTAATGAACGAGAAATGCATTGCATTAGTGGGCGTTCGGAACACGATAAAAATAAAAAAATAACAACACGAATGTAATTAAACTTTATTAAATGCACTGAGGTCTGCTCACATGACATAGTTACTTCACTTGTCACACGATTTTTGGTACAAATGTAATCTTTATTTAAGTTGATTAAGCTTTCATTTCCTGCTGCTGTGGTCAACAATTAAATTGGCTTCGAATTATCTCAACAGCGGAAGCTCTCCATAGAAATTGATCATGCGGATGATGAAAAAAATATCATGACAAACGATAAGCTTCTGTTTAGAAAGCGTGATCTGCTGTAACAACCCAGTGTTGATAACAATTGATAATAAATTCTGTTTTGATGTGTGTACAAACGATTCATAAAATTATTCGAAGCGGAAGTTTTCATTTATTTATTTATCCATCCCTCTTTCTCTCTCTTTTTTTTCTCAGCGTCGTCTTTTGTTAAACCTTCGTCATAAAACATTCATTACTTCGCTTCAAATGCTTTACTTCGGCTAAAAAAAATTCTTTAAATTTTATTTCTGGGTGATAAATTTCGCCTTACACGTACGGCACTCTAGAGTCGTTTGTAAGTTGAACAAATGTGATGAGGGAAGAGAAGAGCACGGGCATGAAATAAATAAAAAAGCTTCTGAAGTGCAATTAAATTTCAAAGCAAAAAAGAATGAATAGAAATGGGTAGATTTAGATCATAAATGGATGTTCTTTTGTGAGAAACAAGTGAAGGAAGGTATCGTTATTGTTCATAGCAACCTCAACAAGCGTAAATAGTAGAAGAGCACATTTTTTATCTGATTTTCATCCCTGGACCACCGAATTTAACCTTAATGCAAGTGCAGATGTGCACTGCCATCCTCCATAAAAGATTGTAAATTTTTCCTCTGACATTCAACAACATAAAGCCGAACAATAAAATCTCGAGGATTTATCCAAACTTCTACCAGATATTACTGAACACTGCCTGAAAATAGCAATTTTTTCTCTTCCATCGTATCCCAAGCTGACCTTGTTGCTAAAGTTTAATGTTTTACTGTTTTTCCTCGTCTCTTTTTATGATTTCCCAATGCATTTCGTGACATTTATTTTTTTCCGTCCATGCTACGCCTTTGACATAACAATACCATTGTATGAAATGAAAGGATTGTTGGTGTGGTCAAATGATGACCAGAATGTTTCTTTCTTTTTCATTCTCTAATCGAGTTTAATCCTCGTCACATTAATATGTGATTAAAGTGAGGAACATTCAATTTAAAGCACGTTTCTCGAGTATATCTTGTAAACTCTTATTCTGATTATTTCTGGCAATAGAAGAGTATTGGATGTCACCCAATGGCTATAAATTTTATTCTTCAGCTTCAAACAAAGAAATAAATATTTACATGATTTAATGAACTTTCCTTTCGAAGCTACGACAACAGCTTTTGTTGGCTTCTATCCAAGAATAATTGAAAAATGAAGTTTTTTTGGTTGTCTTATCGAAGAAGACGAACTTAGGTGTTTAATTGAGAAGACAAAAGCAACAAAATGAAACTAAATAAATAAATAGGAAAATGTTCTCCTGAGGCACTAAAAGAAGTTTTTTTGTTTCTTTGTCAACAAAGTATTTGAAAGGAAGAAAGAAGAAACTTAATTGTAGAGCAATTGTGATGGCAAATAATGAAACAACAACGAGAGAGAAAGAATGAAGAAAAAAAAGGCAAAATAAACAAGAACATAGACGAGTGTTGTCCTTGCAAGTTAAATACATAGTGTCACATTAACAGATTGACTTTGGTCGTTTCATTTGTCGAAAGGAAGAAAACAAAACTATATATTTACTTAATTCCAGAAACCTTAACATGCAACAAGGGTATCAGACGTAGCAATTAGAGCTTTTGATCTTATATTGTGGATAATTGGCATTTTCCTTTAGCAGTATCAGAACTTAAGAAGCTTTGTGAATATAACCGCAAGAAAATCTTTACAGTGGTGGTTGATGTGATGGAAGTTGAAATGATCCAGCCATTATTATAAAATGTTATTTGAGTGAGAAGTCAATATACCGCAAATTTTCCAAGCGATTCTCTTTCATAGCTTCCATCTGAGTTGAAGTAATCAACGCGATTACTGTCTGTGTAGTTTACGTTATCTACAAGTGGATTTTGTTTTGTTATTTCGGTTCGTTTGATTTGGGTCATTTACGTACCAAAAAATCTTTTGCTGTTCTTTTTTTTTGATTATTAATGAGCATGGTTGACATCAAATATCAGAATAATGATTTATATTATACTCTGTTTAACAAGAATATTATTAAACCTAAAAAAAAGCTTTCCTTGTGTAGATTTTTTTAATTTCAGGAAGAGTAAAAATTTATTGCGAGTCAATTAAATCTTTGTCATGATATTTCATGACTAATTCACTGATGTTGTTCATTTCCTTGTTTCATTTGTAAGTACAATTAAAATCGAGATATTTGTTTGTTGTTTTTTTCCCAAAATATTTCATTATTCTACTTCTTTCCATTCTGCCTTTTTTTGTTTTTTTTGTCATTGGCAATCATCAGAAATGGAGGAAAGGAAAAGTAATTATACAGATAAGAAAATTACAGTTAAAAATAGCAATTTTAGTTGCGAATGCAATACAAAACTGTTCTTGTTGCTGTTGTTGAGTGAATAACAAAGCGATTCTGATAAGTATCTCATGGGAAATCTCGTGAGCTGTCATGACGTTAAGCTTTGGCTTTGAAGCTTCTGACATTTTAATTAATCGCGCGCAGGGTGAGAACCAGCAGAGGAATTAAAAATAAAATGATCACATTCACATATGAATGTTGTTGATGCCAAAATATGCGACATAATAATGAACTGTAAATAAATGATACGAAGCGACAAGTATGCCTTTTGAGTTGAATATTTGTTGTTATTTCGTAACTATTTTTACTACTACGACCAGCTGTGATTTGAATTTTTCTGTGTTCATTTTGAATACAATCGAGAAAAGAGTTTTGAAAATAGAATTTCGTTTCTACTATTGAGTTTCTTTTTCTTCTCTTTTCCTTTCTTTGATGTCGAAATAAAATAATGTGGCGAGACAGTGTGCGACAGCTATTTATCTAACTGCGAACGTTTACTTTTGAAAGCTTAATTGAATAATTGTCGCAAAAATTTTATTAGTAAATGAGCAACGCAATTAGTGTCGGTTTGTAAGGTTCGCTCTAGACGTTTAATTCTCATCTGTTATGCAAGCCAAATATATCTATTTACAGAGTAATTTATTATAACTTATTATAAACAAAGTCATAGTTAAGGTCAAGGTCAATTTATTGATATCTTGAAAAATTATTCTAGAAAAAGATAATTCGTAATTGAAATCAAAATCATAGCTTAAATGATAAGAAAGATGTTACAATCATTTTAACTTCACCTTCATGGTTCGTGTTTCGTCATGGCCCTGACGATTCGCTAGTCGATTTCATGCGACCCAAAACTTAAGAACAAGAAGTAAACGAAAAGTCATAGTTACACTGATTCACTAAACTCAGAGTGAACGTTAATTGGCAGAGCGCATTCCAGTAAAGATTCTAATTAGTCGAATCCATTCTGTGTAACAAATGAAAAATTCTTGTTACATTCCATCGATAATTTATGCGAAAGCGAACAGTCATCATGACGCATTCCATCAGCTGATTCCAAAACGATTAACTCTTGTAGATTTCAAAGTGTGTGTGCTTGAGTTTAAGGAAACTTTATTTAGCTAATAAACTTTTATCTGAAGCTTTAAGTTTTGTTCAATAGTTTTAGGATAGCTTCACATTCATTTCTCTAAAAACTTATGAAGGTTGACGATGAACATTTCTTTCATAAATAATTTAAATTCTTTTTTCTTTGAAATTCTACAAAACTCAACAACATGTAACGACTTTACGAGGCATGTTGATTACTTACAAAATTCCCATGATATAAAAAACTCATGTTGCCAAGTCGTTATTAAGTCTCAATTCGCTCCACCACAAGAAAGTTCTTGATATGTAAATCTAAATAAGGGAAATTCGTTTACAAAGTATTGAAAAATGAAATTACTTTCAGAGCTTTATTGACAAGTAAAATTAATTTTCCTATTTCGTTTGATATCATTTTGTTGAATTCACATTGATGAGAATAAACATTCAACGAATCAATACTTTCAACTTGAGGTTTGAAAACTTTTAATACTTCACACGCTAATGTTTCCCTCATATGTTCCTCTACACTCAAGAATACGCTTAACTTATTATGAAAAATTGAATGAGAAACAAAAAAAGAACGGAAATTTTTATATAAAGTTTGTTAAAAGAACGACACGAAATTCATGAGAGATGTTGACGTAATAAATGAATTATGCATGCAACAATTAGTTTCCCGCCTGCTTCCATGAGAATGGAAAATTCATAACGCTTTTTATCAAAATCATTTACGTTTTTATTAGTGTCGCTCCGCATTAAGTGGCTTGGTTATCAGTAAAAATGAAAAAAGGGAAACCACCAGCAACATAGTAAAATATTTTATGTTGGCTGCTCTCTTTGTTGTCTCGCAACAATTAAAACGATTTAACATACATAATAAACGTATCCAGTGCTGCTGTTAGGGAAGTTAGAGTGTTGAAGAGAAAACATGTGTAGCTGGTTATGTAAGTAATTTGAATTATTATTATTCATGCGCAGCAAATTGAAATTCATTTTTTGGGTATTTTAATATTCGAATTACATTCATAATGTATAAACGAGATAATGTATAAAATCTTAAACCATTTGTTTGCCACGGTGATTGTTTAAATATTTCATTTCGATACTTCCTGAACTGTAAATTTTATAATGGAACCTCAAATTTCAATTCCATTTTATTTTTTGGAGATGTGGAGATTCATTTAACATCAAATATTTACATAATCGAAGCAAATATCATTTTGAAATCTTCGTAATTTTAATTACTGCATGCAAAACTGAAGGTTTTGATGGTTTTAGAGGAAAAGAATTCTTCATTGTTGTCTTAAATTAAGCAAAATTTCCGTTCGTGTTCATTCAATCTTTAGAATAAAATTTAAATAAAGACTTGAAATAAAATCCGACAATAGCAACAGACGCAAATTCTTGTTAAAGATTCAAGAGTTCAAAAGTATTTTTGGACGAACAATCGATCGAAAGACGAAGTTTGATGAATGCTTGTTAATTTTTAATCAAATCTGATTTTAGGCCAAACGTGTCGGGACACATGGGATGTGAATAGAATTAATGAAATGAAATTTGACATCGCAATACAAAAAGAAAAAAAGAATCGAGCGGAAAAAATTTGCATCTTGTCTTGGATTGTCGCAATATAATGGCAGGAGAGTTAGACTATACCAATAGCCTAATTAGAAGCCTAAAGGAAAATTCAATATCGTACGTGTTTCGAATATTCGTATCATTCAACGAACTGATAAAATTCAAGCTCATTTGTGCTTCAGTAATTCATTTACTTTAAGATTCTCGAATTCCTTGACGGCACGAACGTTCAATGCTTTGTTCTCGCCTCAGTGGTAAAAACTTAAATTCTCTGTTGACTGCAGTGATTCTTTTAAGAGAACCAAACAAAACCGCAGAACATAACAGACAAAGTTTCCTAATACCGTTTGGATGTTGGTTGCATTGTAAATATTTAAATTCTCTCTCTCTGTGGCGTCGTTTTGTTCAAACGTGTTTACACATTCTTTTACATTTCAAGTGTCCCATTAATTTCTTTTGTCTTCTGTTTCGCACAATATAAGTAAGTAAAAGGGTAGATAATAATGGGAAGAAAGAAAAAGGTAAATTGAGCATCATCAACCGAGGAATATAAATAAAATTAAATTCCAACCACGACAGAAAAAATCCCGCAAAATTTCATAACTTTTGATAAGCGTAAATGAGAAACATTTTCAACTCCACTTCACTTGTCAATCTCACAATCTCATTGGATGAAACCGAAAATCTCAGATTATGTGCTGTTTTTCAATGTTTCTCACTCATTCAAGTGATTCTTCATGTTTCATCTGCTTCATATTTAATCAGCTATAAACGATTTACGCTGTTTTTGACTTTTTTCTGTTTCGCTGTTCAAATCACATCTCTTTCGTTTTTGACTTTTCATAACAAATATTTGCGTTTCAGTCAGTTTGCTAAATCATTTTCAAAATTAATCAGATATTTTCCTCTTGCCTAAGACTTTTCCTAGAGCAACTGAACGAGATTTTTTTATATCTTTTCTCTGAGGTGAAAGAATTACGATGTTTAAAAGACTCAAAGATTGCGATTTACATTGGGAAATCTTTTTCATCTTTCATTAGAAAATTATTGACGATTTTATTCGAGGAATAAAATTAAAGCCGATACTGCGAATAAAAAAATTTATCGACAAATTCAATGAGTTTAAAAGCCCAAAAGCAATTTCTGAGTACTGGCTTGAGACAAATCAGCTGTGCACGTGTTTTCATTGATTTTTTTTTCTTTCCTTTTTTGTGTTTTTTGAAGCGTCTTCAGAATAAAGAAAAAAGGAAAAATAATTTGGAATTCCGCAGACACGAGCTGTGTAAGAGAGTGCGAGAGTTGTTTTATTTTTAGAGACACAAGTTGTATGTTATGTGCGATGGCGCTATTCGCAAAAAGTTACATTTTGTTGCTTGTTAATACGCTCATTTCACATGATAATCGGTGACCTATTGTAAAGACGTTCCATCAACATCAAAATGACTAACGGATGTTATCACTTTTAATAAGAGAAACCAAAAGGAATTCAAAATAAACGTTCACGGGCTGTCGAAGAAATCAAGGTCAACGTTAAAAAAAACTTAGTTTTTTATTCATTATTATGCTAAAGCGAAAACTTTCGTTTTTCTTTTTTTTTCCTTTTACTTCTTTTATCATAATCGTTATGCAGCAGTAGCTCGCGATCGTGAACTGAATGGCTCCCAAAGGAGGGAAATGAAAAGAAATTTTACGACTTTCAATGACGTTGATACCAAATCAAATAGCTTTGTTACATGTTACTTTTACCTTCTCGTGTTTACCTTCTCAACCAAAGCGAGGGCTTAACAAACAAACAGTCACATTGATTTTCTATTGCACCATATCCGCTTAAATAAAATTTCCGTTTTTCATCGTGCTGGCAACAGGAATTGAATCAATGTCAATAATTCAATTATAGACAAAAGAGTGAAATCCCAAGTCATGAATGATTCAATTAAAATCACTCATCCATTCCAATGGTGGTGCGTTGATTTATATTATCAAGTGTCTTCTTTGAGTCTTTTTATGGCGCTATCATGACGGTTGGACAAACAGCTTAACCCCGATGGGCTATAAAAAGTTAATTATTCACTTATATTTCAATTTATAGATAGCGCAAGGATAAACAGCGGATTATTCTTTTTATTACTTACAGTCTTAGCTGATGATTTGATTTCTTCCATAACAAATGTTTGTTAAGAGCTTAAATCAAGATTTAATTTGTAACAATTCGTTTCCGTTTCAAGAGATTGAACTCTAAATGATAACGCACGTCGAAATGTAAATGAGAAAAGCAACCGAGAGTCCTGAATAAATTATCGACTTAGTAAAGAGATGGAACAAGAAAAGTTTTGTAATTCAACTAAAAGGTGAAATAAATTAACATTTCTCACAAAAAAGGCATTTTTGCACCTTTTAACTTTTGTGTTTTTACATTTAATTATGTTTTTGCACGCTTCAATTTGAAAAAAACTCATTTTGATGAATGATTCTTTAATGCATTGCTCACTTTATCCAACATAAGTTTTTGACTTCTTTTTGTTGTTAATTTGAGAAAATTAACGAATTTCAAGGATATTTCGTTGAACTTTTCCTGTTGCGCGTCTGTGATTATGAAATAATTGAAATTGATGAGCTTGTCACTTGGATCTTTCATCTTTACAATCCAAGTTTTTAACATTCCATTCATAAATGTTTAAGATGTTAGAATCGGCTTTATCAAGCAACTTGACAGTGATAATTTAGGAAACGTGCTTAGGATGAAACACGCTAACATCAAAGAAGAATCCTAAAATGTGACCCATAAATTATTTAAAATGTCTCAAATTATTTGAGTGTTTATGTGACTGTAAATAATTTTGTCTTTGCTGATTTCATTTGTGTGTCGAGAAAGTGATAAAATGAGTAAATATTTATTTATTCCATCCAACTTAAAGCACATATTCAGATGCTTATAAGTATACAAAATTTGCAGTACAAAAACGCTTAGTAATACAACAGCAATCTAAGCCATAAAAAGATAAAAAACCATATTGTTATTGCTCATAAATTAAATCATTTGATAAGCTTCAACTGTTGACGTTTGAAAACGGAACAAATAGAAAGAAGTAAACAAATGAATTATTTCTTTTCTACATTATAAAATAAAACCTGTTTCTAATTTAATTTAATTCAAGTTTGCAAATGAGAAGAAAAGGGAAAGCGATGCATGATTTTATATCCTATTAAAAGAAATGAACAAGCATTTGTTGAAATCAAATCATTTATCGTTAAGCAGATTCTAATGACTCGCATAATTTAATATAATATGAAAAAGCTATTAAAAGAATTTATTTCTTAATATGTAAGAACTAATCAGCATACGTAATAAGTTTCAAAGTTCATAAAGATTAAAAGTTACAATAACAGAAATGTTTTAAATTAAAACAGATTTCAAATGAGAATTTTCATTTAATGCTTATTTTGATGATTGCAAAATCCAAAAAGTCATTTGCTTGACATTTAAATTTATGTAGTTTGTCATAATCAGAATGGTAAATCCGATAAATATTTAGGAAGTTATGCAAACGGGTCACAGCACACAAACGCAAATTATTCGTATTTTTGACCCGGGACATTGCATCATTAGCTTGTTGTTTTCGATGTCAATATTGTGGTTAAAGGCTCCCGCTTTCCTCCCTACGAATAAAGCTTATTGATTAAACAAACGTTGTAATTAGGAGTTAAAAGCGTGACACGCCATCGACATATATTAAATAAAGCGATTGCGTTAACGCACATTGAAAATAATCTGAGAGAAAAGCCTCGAAAAAAAAAGTTTATCGTCTCAAACAAGGGCACCGATTGATTACGGCACGACATGATGTTTTACGACGCCGAGAAAGATCGTTATCAAATGGGGAAGCGAGCAAACTTTCAACGTTTTCTTTTTCGCATGGAAATTGAAAAGTTTTTATGAGGGCAGTAAGAACAAAGTGTAAAAGTATGTTACGTGGGTGTAACAGTGGAAAAAAAAGAAAGGAAAGAAAAAGAAAACCAATTCCAGTGGGGAATTGATATCGATGATTGAAGTTTTCTCGTCGTCAGATTTACATTTAATACGGGCGGACATACTTCAGATTGAGGTTCATTAATCTCCCGCTCGATGTGACAACATGATTATAGTTGTCGATAAAAAGTTGAGGGTGTGATACTTGATAGCCAATGGTTTTGTAATGATGTGAGAAACGCTATTAAGTTCGATTCAAATACATTATCAAGAAGGTCAGAATTTTAATTGAGTCATGTTTTCAATTTTTCTTTCTTTCTTTTATTATTTTGATTTATGACTTGCAAGCGAGTAAATAAGATGGCTCAAAAAAAAAAGTTTTTATGCCAAAATCAAGAAATGAAACAGTTTTTCAAGTAAAGAAATCATCAATCTCCATCTTAAGTTGGTGTTTTGTAATCCTCTGCAGAAAGCATGAAGAAAATGTGTTTTTCTTTTCGATTCAGCGAACTTCCAAGTGGTTTTTATACCACATATTTTCACATTGGGTTCGTTTTAAAAACACTTGCGTCGTAAAAGTTTACAATGAACCATTTATGTTGAATTTGGTGTAAAAATCGCTTAAATTTCATGGCATGGAAAGAGAAAAGGCATCGGTCGATAAATTCAAGAGCCGCTCCTTTAATTTACACCAACTAAGTACTTAATTGTGTTGTGGGTTTGATCATTTAACATGTAAATTGCGCTTTATAAGCAGCTTAAATATTCATCCAATAGCATATGATTCATCGACTTACAAATTGAAATAGATAATTAAAGTTATTCTCTTTTTATTCACAGATTATGTTCACTGACCATTACACGCTTATCACTTTTGACTGCACTCCCAGCTGATCTCTCGACGCTTTCATTAGCTGTTAAAATGCAAAGCTCAAAACGAACACTTCGTTCACATGAGATTCCCGTGCCACAATTGACGATTCCATCGTATATTGGAGGCGGCATACAATTGAACAGTCCCCCGCTGCTTGAGACTGAACTCGATTTACACTTCAGCCTACAATATCCGCATTTTCTGAAACGTGATGGTAACAGGTAAGCAGAAAAAATATATAAATGAAATCAGGGAGAGGCCAGATTTGCTAGAGCGATGATAATAACAATTTGCTGTTATTGTGCTTCATATTGATTCATTGACCTGTTACAAATGGAGCAATCGTTAAGTTCAGTTCAATGATGAATAAAAAAAAAGGGAAAACTTCATCTCTGCATTTAAAGTTTAAATTCATTATTTATTTATCGGATATTGACGACACTTTCATTGGTCAATTTTCTATCAATTTAATTTCAATCCTAATCGGAAGAACACACGCAGAGAATTTAATCTTCAAACCCTTCAATGTCCCTCTCGCTTCTTATTCTCTTTCTTTTGTATTGAATTGATGCTGATACTACTAAAAATGTCACATAAACATAAACAGGTGTCTCATGGCTTTATTGAATAATAAAATCTATTTGCTGTTGATACTCTCGCTTCTATTTATTTCCTCTTAACTCACGAATTTTACGCTTCTGATAAAATATTTTCACCCTTTCATTGGATTATCGACTGTTAAAGCTTCAAACACTTGAAAAAGCTTGTTGTTGAGGATTTCATTTTTTTCCGCCCGAATGTCGTGACAAAATCTGATAAATAACATGCTGGTTCTTGATTTCTCAAGCACATGAGACCCAAAAGAATGAAAGAAAGAGAATCGGATTTTAGTAGAAAATGCGAATAAATTTCGGCAAAGCCTTTCAAGGGGCAACGACGGAGACGATGACGACGCTTAAGCTTTTAACAGTGTTTTAGAAAGGATTTCTTTTATGTCATAAATATTTGAAACGATGCAAGGCAGAACTGTTTTGACTGATATTGACAATAAACTTTAGCACTTGCCCTTCATGCTAGTTAACTTCTTATTATAAATTATAAGATAAAATTATAATCCAATCGATTTTTACTTTCTTCATTCGAACTTCGTTCCAGACTGTTGATTCTTTTGCAACGACGTAAGAAATACAAAACACGTACAATCCTAGGCTACAAGACTTTAGCCGAGGGAGTCATTCGAATGGATGCCGTGCTTCAAAAATCAATGGACATGACGGTCGAGTTGAGTGATGCGGGTAAAAATGGACGACCAGGTTTTCCTATTGCGACAATTCGTGCAACACAAGTTTCATCTAGTCCAGTTGATCAAGACAATAAGAACAACAACAGTGTTTTAATTTCTGGTAATTTTTCATTTTTCCCACTGAAATTAAATTGTAAATTCATAATGAAAACTTTTTCAACAGACAGAGGAATTGGCAACGAATATTCAGATGAAGATGAGTATTTCAGCTCAAATGAAGACAACGATGATGGACTCTCAGGCTACGCAGCAAAACGTAATTATGCTTCGAAGCGTGATAATTACAGGAAATTGGAGAGAAATGAAAATGACGCTGAAGCGGATGAAAATTTGGGTGGAGCGCAAGGTGACAGTGACAGTGACTTTGAAGTTAAAGTTAAAGGATCTCGTGCCAATAAAATGAGTCGAGTGAGTGCTTTTCGATTGATTAAGTAATTCAATTATCGAGAAAATGTTAATGACAAATTATTTCCTTTCAATACAATTAGCAACGAAATTTCAAGCAGAAAATTGTCGCTCTTCTCAAGCGTTTCCGCCCCGAAGAGCTTGAAGGTGAAGTACGACGAGGACAGGGTGTTCTAAGAGGGGAACGAGATCTCGACGCTCTCTTTCAAGAGCTTGAATCGCTCTCGTGTGGTGAGGGTGAAGAATCGGGTCAGGATATTGACAGCATTTCGATTGGTTCCACGCCAAAGCCTTCGTTAAGGCCATTTTTCAATTCAAAGCAAGAAAATATTTTGGGTGAGTCGTTGTGAAAAATTTGTTTTATGTGTTGATTTATTGCGTAACATTTGCATTTGCTTTATGATTTTCAATCTTTTTTGCTTTCGTTACCTAGTGATAGGGAGGGACAAGAGCGATTAACAACCGCTCCGGTCGCTTTGTCCACTCCGATAAGTTCATTTTTTTTTTTTGTCGGTACGTTCGTTGGGAGTTTCAAGTGAAAATCATAACAAAATTAATCAACTAGTAAGCTCTAAGCATTAATCGCTTTTCATAGTCTTTCGATTCATTTTATAGAATGTTGAGCGCAATTTTTCTTTTTTTATTAATGTTCATGTTTATTTCATCATCTGTTGTTATTTTCATTTTTATATTTTTGTTATCATTATTATTGAGGATATTGTATTAGATTTAACATTAACATTACATTGGTGCTTGCTTGTCGCTTGCCAAGCTTCATTCACTTTTCATTCTTTCAATGAATCGAGCAAAAAAACAGAAGAATGAATTAAATTAACATTAATAATAAATATTCATCATGAACATAACGAAGCATGAGTTGATGCTTTATTAACCGGAAGAGAAAAAAATATGTAAGAACATAAACATTAACTTTTCGCCCTTCATTCATTTTCCGACCTTAGTCTGAAGCAGTAAAAATAAAAATTTCTCGTTTATGTCACAATTTTCGTCAGCTTTATCTTAAAGTCACTCATCTCTCAGATGAGAATCGAAGTGTCTAAAAAATCCCGTGTTGGAAAGGAAACAATGGTTGATAGCGGAAATAAAATGCGACATGACTCAAGCCAACAGCAGAGGAAATTAATTAAGCGAAATTTTACCGCGCATTATGTTAAGCGAGAAAGAAGTGAATGTGCGTCCCTCTTGGGACGATATTTTTCGGGTTAATTCTTCACGACAGGTTAAATTATGCCGCAATTAAGAGCTGGAAAAATGTCCTCCGAGATCGTTTGCTGACAATCTACTTCTGAATTCAATGCATTGATTTCCATTTGACAACGGGAAAGCTTTAATCTAGTACTACACCATTCCCGGAAAATATTGGAAAGGACTCTTCCAATATTTCCAGGACCTTTCTTTCCAGTCTAGAATCTTTGAGGGGAAAATTCGTGCCGGCATGGAAGTTGAAATTTTGCCTACACAAAATTCATGAACTTGATTTTCACCTAATCAAAGAAGTTTCCTTCATCATGCAACAGCAACATCACATTCAGTTATAAAAATGCGATTAAAATTTCGTGAAATGAAATCAGTTCTTTTTATGTTTTTTATTTCGCATGGCTTTTCTCTGTTATGTTATTCTTTTTTCTCCCTGTTATGTTTTGCAGATAAAATGCCCGTGGAGAAAAGGGATTCGATAATATCCGATAAGAAAATCTCGCCGAATGGCCAAGGTTTGTATTTTCATTTCAACTCCACATTCTGTCTTTTCTCCCCTCCTTCTCATGACAGAAGAAGAAAATTTAGTATTAAAGCGAAGTGGAATAAAACCCCAAAGTGAAAATGGACATTATATCCACTTTCCTTCACTCCAAAATTCCATCCTTAAGCAAGAAAAAAAACAAACTTTTCACTTCCTGGCAAGCCACCACTTACTTACTTTCTCACCATAAACGAACAATTTTTCCGATTTATTTTTCACTTCAAATTGTTGTCTCCATTTATTTTTATATAATGAGTAAAAAGAGGATGAAGATGGTTGTTTTACGCAGTTAACGTCTTTAAATATTCGTGCAACTTACGTCAAAGAACAAAAATCAAGATTTCTTGTAAATAACAAACAGATGATCAATAATGATTTAGAAATGTATCAGAATAATAATTAAATGCTTTATTAAAGTTGATTACAAATCCCAAAAGCTTTTAAAGTCATTTCCTTTTGCTACATTCTTCTACGTATTACTTTCTTTCGCCTACCGCAAAAAAAGGGAAAATTCGTTTGTTTATCTTTCTTTCTACTAGAATTTCTAAATGAAAGAACAAAAGAGAAATGAAGGAAAGTTTGTTTCTCAATATTTCTTTTCGAATTCTTTCACACGGAAGGAATGAAGAGCAAAAAAGAGTCAAAGAAGAGTTTTCCTCTTTTTATTCTTCTGTTTGTATGGCAAAGAAGTATGAAGCGGAAGCAAAAGAATGACCCGACTAAATACATAAAAACTCAATTAAGTAATTTTCATCCCGCAGACGTCCCTTAAGTGGGCCATCGCTTTCCGCATTAATTCATCTTTATTTAATTCGAAAAGCAACACTAAGGAGCTTCTTTCACTCCTACTCCTTTGTTCTTGTTAACCGAATACTTAACTTTCTCGATTCCATTTATCATGATGTTTTGTTTCGCGCATATCGTTGGGATATTATTTTTAACTTGTTTGTTATGATATTTACTTTATCAATTATGCAATTGATTGCTTGCCTGCTTGCTTGTACGCTTATTTGTTAGGTTTTCTTGTCGAGAAGAAAAACTTCTCTTAATTAATTTATGAAAAAAAGAAGCTTTTGTAGTTCGCTAACTGATGGAAAACTGACCAATAAACGAATGTAATTCTATCCAAGCTTTCGTAGATTGGTTTCCATCTGAAGCGAATGTTGCATGAACATAAGAATGATGTTGCGAAAAATATATTTTAAATGATGTTAATTAACCTTTTCAAATATGAGATGAAATGTTTCTTCCACCCACGCTTGTACACATAAACACTCACACATGTACAGATCTTGAACCAAAAAAAAAATTAAATAATTTTCAACCTTGTTACCTCTGGTATTCAACCCAAGCACCTAAATATTTGGGTTAGAGAAACTCATTTTTAACCTTTTCATCATCTTTCATGTTGTCAGATCGCACAGGGGATTCTTGGAGAGCTGACAGTAGTGGTAACGAGGGCACCGCTCACAATACTGACCCCGAAGCACCAAATTCTGATCCACAACAGACTACCAGTTCACCAAAAGACGCCGCTCAAACCTCGGGTGACAAAAGAAAAACAATTTTCCGAACCACAAGCAATGCGCCGACAAGTGCAACGAAAAAGAAACAATCATTAAGTTTCACCAGTGAGACGAAGTCAGTTCCTTTAGATGCATGCTTATCACCAACAAATGTCGAACCGAGAAAATCACTTTTGGAACAGTTGAGTCGATCATTTGCAACAGATGAATCGTCATTGCCGGAGGTTGTATCAATTATTGGACCAACTGAACCTGGTAATCATTTCATTCATCGGTTAGTGACTCTGCTGTCGACAAACATCAAACCGATGTTTCAAGCACACAACACTGCAGAAATTAAAGCGATTTTACAATCGCTTATGACAAAAATTCAAAAATAGTGAGTGTTACCATAAATATGTTAATTTAAGTCAACAAACATATAATTTGTCTTCATTTGTTTCATTTCATTTTCACAGTTGCAACTCCACCGCAAAGCCACCAAGTACAATTAAAGTTCTCCTGCTGGGCGGTGATTGGCTACAGGGTTCCGTACTGAGACATTATGTTGAGCTACTCGGTTGTCGACCACCAGATTGGCTCAATCACATTCGCTTTTTTATCGTTCCAATTGGAAACAGTGCCATATCGCGATATTTAAGCTCAATCGACAATAGTTATGCAACATTGTTTGGAAATGAAAGTTGGCAGCAACTTTGTTCTAACTCGGACAATTCACAAACAAAAGCTGATGGATTGGAAATCACCAACAGAATTCAACGATATCTGCATAGCAGCGGTCCTTGTACTCAAATTCCCATCGCTGAAGCAATGGTTAATTATAAAGAAGAAGATTCATGTCAAATCTTTGTGCCATTTATAAGCGTAAGTTTCAATTTTTTAAAGTTTTTTTATGAATTTTTATAATAAAATTAATTCTATTCATACAGGATGTAAGGCTAGGAAATCTTGAAGGTCCCCAATTATCATTAGATCTCGATGAATCTGGAATTGGTGGAAGCACACAATTGTCAAGTTCACCGCCAAACACTGGACGTGTTTCACCAACGCAAGTGTCAGCTCCAGCACCAGTTCAGGAACAAATGGAACTTCAAGTTGATTATTGGCCTATGCTAAGACCCATTGGTGATGGAAGAGACAAAAATCAGACTAAAGGAATGGATCAGGGAAAGAATAGTCTGAAGAGTACGTTCAGAAATCTTCAGGTAAGAAAATTTTCTTTTGATTTATGTTCGCATTTATTACAAAAATGCGTCGCATCGTTTACAGGTGTGGAGACTTCCATTGTTTTCACAGACAGGTGAATTCTCAAATGGCATGACACTCTGCTTTGCAGCCAAGGAAAAGAAGCAGAAGAGTAAGTTTGATGTTATGACATGGCTACGTGATGAATCCTTTTAACAAAGTTTAAATCTTTTTACTCGTTCTAAAGTCATGCGATTAGGAAAGAAGAAGGAGAAAGATCGTGATGGTGAAAAGGAGCAATGCATTGATGGAGTTGCTCGTCTTATTTGCTCAGCAAAACAATCGCATCCAGTGCCATTACGAGGTATTTAAACTTTTATTTATTGGACTTAAAATTATTTTCATTTCATAAAAAAAAGACATTTGAAGGAAAAGAAAAACTAATTTCGTTTTATTTCATTTAATCTTCCAGTTTACATCGATGGCACTGAATGGACGGGAGTAAAATTCTTCCAATTGTCGTCACAATGGCAAACACATGTGAAGAATTTTCCAGTCGCTCTAATTGGAGCTCCGTCATCTGAAATATCATAAAAAGTTCGTGCAAGGAACATTTCAACTAGTCAATAACACTTAAAAGTTTAAATTTCCTGTGCATTTCCTCTGTGACATTGAATATTACGCGACATGGCAGATTTGATTTAAATCTCGTCGCGAATCTTTTTTATGTATATTTGTGTATAAAGCTAGTCGTTCATCTTCGTTTAAGATTTGTTCGATATCGAACTTTGTATGTCATTTTGACTTGATGCTCACATGAAGCACGTTTCAATGATTAAATTCTTTTTTCCTCCTTCCTTTCCTCCTAAATTCGAGATGTTTTGAAATTTTCATTTTTCTGTTTTAAATTCCTTTTCAGGCTGTTCAGATGTTGGTTGAAGATTAATTATTGTAGAATTAAATTATTTGGAAAATCAAAAAACCAAAATAAAAACTTTCAAAAGATAATTTTTGGATTAATAACGACAGACATCTGAACAGGTTGATGAAATTTGTACTCCATTTATATGAGTAAACACCTAATTGATAAAAATGTTTTGTAGAACCAAAGATTGGATAAATTTTCCCTCCTTTTTATGTTTTGTTCTTGAAATGAGAATGTAAAACTGTGAAATAAATAAAATGAAGCATAATAATCATCACAAAGCAAAATAAGTATTTACAAAGACATTAAGTGCAATCGAGGGATTGCGCAATGGGATGAGAAGCGACTGAAAAAGTTGAGTGAACAATTTTATCTCATTTTTAACCATTGAATTGAATTGAATTGAATTGTATGCACTTTCTGCAACATAAGAAATGATTAATGCAATGAAATCAATAAAGAAATAAATAAATAATTGCTTTTTTCGTTTCATCGGAAATGTTTATTAAATAATTCTCCAATGATGCTTTAAAAATATTATAAAAAAAGCGGAATGGAAGAGAAAATTAAAATAAAATAAATGTGATTTTTGAAAAGTAGAAGAAATAGTTTTAGACGTTCAAACAATAAATTCGATGGTTCACATAAGCTATGAAGCGTAAACCATTGAAAAGGACATTAGAGCGAGAAAAATTGAATTTGATTTTTCCTTCTTCATCGTCTTATTATTTCATTGAATGACGAAGACAAAAATTTTATAAGACGGAAGGAAACTCTTATGACGATAAAATTTCTTTTATGGACACTTTGAAAGCAATGAGAAAGAAGGAAAGAAGAATGTTTCCACCACATTAGACATTCACGCAAGTCATTTTCCAAAGAAAGAGTGAAAAGGTGAACTTTCTTCGCATATCTCTTGATGGATATCTTTAAATACTTTCATAAATAAAGAAATAAAATGTGATCTCAATTGGATTTTATCACATCACACACACAAGCATAAAGATATTTAAATAAGATGTAATTTTGCAACATATCCTGAGAAGAGAGAAGATAATTAAACGGACAAGGAATTTATCGCAACATAAAAGTTATTTCAAGTAGAGAATTTAAAAGAATGAAATTAAATTAAAACCGTAGAAGATTTTTTTTTGTATTAAATATCATTTAAATCTGAAACAATAAAAATGAATTGAAAAATCAAAAAAATGCTCCATTGAATAGAAATTAATGAAATAACGTTTATCTTACCAAAAAAGATAAAAAGTTTATTTTATATCTGCTTAAGAAATAAATTGAGAAAGAAAAAGAAATTGGGGCTGTGTAAACTTCATTTACTCATTAAAATCTTTCTATTGAACATCATTTAATGATGATGATGGCGGTGACGATGATTTTCACATTTAAAGTTTGAAACATAAGCGAACCATCAATTCAATTCACTACCTTGTAAAGCATGTATGCATTTTTCGTACTTATTGTGGTCAATTTTTATTATTGAAGTTTAGGAAACTAAAACGAGGAAAAACGAAAAAGTTTGCTACTGAACATGAGCTTTCATATTTCCTCGTTACTTATTCTCTCATATGAAGTTGAAAAGTGGAATCATAAAAGTAAAATTTTATTTTCTCTTTGGAAATAGCAACAATTTTCTAAGAAAAGCTTTCAAAATATTTTCTGAGAAATCAGAAAAGTAAAGTTTTCGTACGAACTATAAACTTAAGAAAGTCTTTAAATAAAATATCAACATCAATTTTCAAATAAATATTAAATTTCATTAGCTGCACAGAGAGAACTGCAGCAACTGCAAAGTATTAGAAAATGACGTAATTCTGAAAGAAACGAAGAAACAAAAATAAAACTTCGCATTCATAGTGAAGTTTTACTATTTCAACATTATCTTTGACCATATGGAATCACGAAACTTTTATTACCTAAATGAAAAGATAAATTAAAAAATAAAATTAATTTGTGACTTTGAATTTATTTCAATCTTCATGAAAAATGAGACATTTTCAGTTAATAAAGAAATGTTTCGTGCTTTCATTTTCAATTCATCTATAGATTCAACCAGTGAGTTATATTAACATTGACTTCCATTAAAGAAATTGTACAAGATATCGCTGAAACCATCTTAATAGCTGCAATGAAATATTGAAAGAGTGTATGAGCAATAAACAACGAAATATCAAATTTAGATACCTAATTTTCATTAATCAATACAAAACTTTTAATCAAATTTATGCTGTTAGAAAGAATTTACAGTTCCCATGTGTTGCAGAATCAAAACTTAGAGAGCTTTCATTGTCTGTAAAATATAAAAGAAAGAAATATCCAATGGAAACGTTTTTAAAATTCTCCAAGAGGGAACAGAAACGCCAAATTGTGGTTGAAGTTTTTTCTTTCTTCTTTGAATTACCCTAATTTTCTTTGTTTCAAAGAAAAGTTTTTGAATTTGCATATTGCAGTCCTAAAATCAGAAGGCAAATAAACCTATCTGCATATTTCGTCACTCGAAAATGTGGCACGAAAAAATTTTCTTTGCCAAGAAAGTTTATTTAAGAATTTAAAATTCAGGTATAGAAACATTAAAAGTTTTTCTTTTCCAGATTCTTCCTTCAATTTTTAAATTAAATTATTTCTTTTTCATCTACTTACCCAGCTAATGTTGTGTGCTTCATTATCATAAAACTATAAAGAATGCTTTCATTCTTTAATTAAGCATGCATTGCATACGTAACATTTACATGTAACTTTTAAAATACCGAACTCAATGATAATTATTACCTCAATTTATGATGAGTTTAAAGCTATTCCACTGATCATGATCTGTTCTTGTCAGGCTAATTTCATAAACAAAGCATCAATTTGAAGAATAAATCAAAATAACTGAATAATGAGATTGAAGAAAATCTCTAATCAAACAGCATCACTAATATACATTAATATATATTAGTAGTGAAATTATTATCTATGTAATTTAGAGATCAAGTTTGATGAAATAAAACAAGAAAACTTAGATATCGAAACATTTAGAACGATAAAACAATTTCATCTTGTGATTTTAAACTTTATTAATTTTTTCTTCCAGAAATTAAAGTTTCAAGGCTGATTTCTGACAGAAATCCACACATTTGTTGATCATAATACAAACAAAAAGATTGTCCAATCTAAGCATAGAAGATCTTTTACTTCCCAATGTATATACAAACATTATCAACACAATGACACATTTTTTCTAAACTATCTAAATTAGTGTGAAAAATTCAAGGGGAAATTCATAACTGCCTAAGTATATTTGAACTTATGAAGCTCGCATTTTTTGTTTTTAAAGTATGAAAATATTTTAGCATTTTGGCTTTTTCATTTTTAGCACAAATTCTAAATGTATCTTACAGTTATTTTAGCATTGAAATTTCAAACTGAACTACCCCTTGAAGTGTTTGGCATTCATTTGTATACAAGTTTCGTTTTGTCAGGTTCGGCTTCACAGCTAAAAATTTCTAATTTTTAAAAGTGTTTTAATTATGTTCAGACAAAGAAAGGGATATGATTCCATTACAATTTCATTGCCTGATATAGTCGATGTTCGTATAGATCATGATCGAACTTCTGTCAATTTCAATGAACCAAAACAATCAGTAAAGAAAATTAAGCAAAAAAATAGAGATGGTGGAACCAAGAACAAAAATGAAGCACAGAAAGAAGTTTCAGATGAGGACAAATTAGAAGAAGCTTCAGATGCTGAGTAAGCTTCAATTTATTGAAATTTTAAGTGTAAATCATAATAACTTCGCATCATTATTGTCAAATTTCTCTTCCTATACAGATCTAATGAACTTCCAAAATGTTTAAGTGTTGGTGGAAAATATGATTTCAATAACAAAAGACTTGTTTTATGTTTCTGGGCAAAGAAATGGGAATGGAGTTTAGTGTCAATTCGCGGTGTTTATAAGTTCAATAATTTTCAAATTCCTGAAAATTCTTTTCAAGAAATTACTGGCGACGATTTTACTTATAATGTGACTCCAACAGGAGAAAACAATCATGCAAAAGTATTCAAAGTTGATATTTCAAGAATCGACCGACATGTACTCAAGAAACATTTCTCAGTTGAGATTTCGTACATTTTTCTTGGTGATGTTGACATGAATCATTTCAGGTCGAATTATATCTTCGATGTAAGTCTACAAAATCAAATTTATAAGAAATCAAAACAATTTTTGTCTCTTCTTTTCAGTTACCATACTTTCAAAACGAAACAAAATTAAAGTTTAAATTTCTCGGTCACTTTCATGCTGATGAAAGAATTACGACTTTGTATAACTACAAATTCAAATTGCATCCTGACTTGAGTGCTTCAGATGTTGAATTGCTCAGAGAAATCGAGTAAGTTTCAATTTTTATTCTTATCTAATATTTCATGATCCACTTCAACAACGATATCGAATGTCTACCAAGCAATTCCTGGAAAATTTTTATCATTATCTTTTATAAAGAAATTAGATAAAAATTTTAATTGCAATAAGGTTGAGTCGCATAAAGTCTGACGCATATTTCTCTGATAAGCTTAATTTTTCTACTTTTTTATATATTCATCTACAGTCATTATCAACGTAATCATTTAACAACACAAATCGTTGACAACTCGTCACAAATGATCAAGTATGCTTTAAGCATCGAAGATTTAGAAACTCAAGATGAACTCAAGGAATTTACATTACAAAAGATTCAATTAGAGGGCATTGGTGATAGTTATTGGTTTCCCATTACCGAAGATAAACTTCCTGAAGATTACAATGAGATGTCACTTTGCTTTGTGCCAATGAATAAATATCAAAAAGGAAAAATCAATTTCGAAAAGGATTGCATTTATTCCCAAATACAAAAGTATGAAAATGGAGAAATTCGTTTTGATAAGAAATTTCCAATAGTTTATGGTCTACAACGAACTATTGACTTACAACAGGAATATTGCTTACGTTTCATTCCTAATCGAATTACTTATCGGGCATGCTTTCAAGCTTTTGACATGATTCAAAGATTCAACTTGCATAATTATTTTAACAATTTTGAGGAACGTCCAGCAAATAATGATGATGATGATAAAGAGGAAAAAATTGAAAATTTTGAATGGCTGAACGATCAGATTGCAAACAATCAAGAACAAATGACAGCAATCAAAAACATCGTCAACTGCACTGCTTACCCATTTCCTTACGTAGTTTTTGGACCACCAGGAACTGGAAAGACGAGTCTTATCATTGAATGCATCGCCCAGATTCTTAAAGCAAGACCAACAAGTCGTATTTTGGTCACAGCACAATCAAATAGTGCTTGTGATGAAGTTGGAGTCAGATTGTTAAATCACATTTCACGACAAAGAATTTATCGCTTTTATTCACCATCACTTTTGAATCCAAAGAGTGGCGAAACTTCTCAAGTTCTTCGTGAAACATCAAACTTGAGAAACAAACGAAACGACTACCCGACGAAAGAAGAATTTTATCATTTTAATGTTGTGATTGTGACATTGATGACTTGCTCACGTTTAGTGCAACTTGATGTTGGAGATATGAATCGTCATTTTGATTATATTTTCGTCGATGAATGTGCTGCAGCGACTGAGCCTGAAGCTTATGTTCCAATTGTTGGTGAGTTGACAGTAATATGTTGACAATTATTGACAGTTGATGTCACAATCTTTTATTCTTTTTATAAATCAATGCGATTTTATATTTTAATAGCCAATTTACAATATTTTCGGTTATTTAATAATATTTATTTGTTGGACCTTTTTGCATTTCTTGTGAATTAAATTCTGAGTTACCGAAAGTGAAGATCTTAATTTTAGGGATGTCGATTGCAAAGTGCTTGCACTAATGTTTGATGACTAAGTTTATGAATAGTTATTGAGATTGTCTAACTTAACTAAATATTTGCTTTATAATTAAATCATTTCAAAATCAACAACCTGAAAAGTATCACAAAACAAACTTCTTTCAGGTTTAGGCACTGTCTTCACCGAAATCACATCGAACATTGTTCTTCTCGGAGATCACAAACAGCTTGGACCTGTCATAAATTCTGACATCGCTGAGCGACTCGGATTAGGTTGGAATTGATTTATTTTCCTCTTCAATCTTGACAAGTATTTCATTTTCTTATGAATTTATTCTTTATTGCAACAGGTGTGAGTTTGATGGAAAGAATTATGTCAAAGCCAAAATACAAAATAAGAGAAGACAATTCATATGATGAGAACTACGTCACTCAATTGCTTGACAACTTTCGTTCACACCCAGCAATTCTTCAGTTCTCCAATGTTTTATTCTACAATTCGAAACTCCGTGCAATGATATCGGAGCCTGAAAGAAGTCTTGGAACACGTTGGAACTTTCTCCAAAATAAAAAGTTTCCAATTCTATTTCATTGCAATAAGACGCCGAGTAAAATTGTTAAACACGGAACAAGTTCATTTAATAATGGCGAGATCGATATGGTTCGTTTCTATGTTGATTTGCTGCTCAATGTTGGAATAGACGGTAAAAAATGCATTCCCGATGACATTGGCATTGTGTCACCTTACAAAGCTCAACTACAAAAATTAAAAGAAAAATTTAGAAATTATGGGAATCTTGAAATTGGCACAGCTGAATATTATCAAGGACGGGAGAAACGAATTATCATAATTTCAACAGTAAAATCACGCGACAATGTTGGATTCCTTAAAAGTGAAAGACGTTTGAATGTTTGCATCACAAGAGCAAAAACTCTTCTCATTCTGATTGGAAATGCAGACACATTACAGGTAAATTGACTTAACTTTTAATCTTCTATTTACTTTTGAGTGGAAAAAAATTTATTCTCACATTTCACAGCAAAACTCTTTGTGGAATTCCTTCATGCATTTTTGCAAAGCCAATAACAGTTGTTGTGGAGATGCGTTTCAATTAAAACGATTGACAGATGAAGAACAGAAAATCCTCGACGAACTAAACACTGTTTTTACTGACTTGTCAATTGATGGAGAAAATGAAGTTGCAGCCAATTCCGCTATTGAAAAAGACGAGAAGTTAAAGGCCATTAAAGATCGTATGGAGAAGTTGAAGGAATTAATGAAGGAAATGCAATAAAGAAAAATTAAATAACAAACAATTTCTTACCTTCCACTGATATTTTCTTGTCATCATTGAGTGCCGGAGCGCAACAATTTGTAACACTTGATTAAATTCTTTACAAAATCGTTTCAATGTTCATACAACAAAATATTTTTTAATAAAAACATGCAACGGTAAACTTCATCTTTTAATCTTCTGCTGCAGGTTGAATGTGAAATGATGAGAAAAAATGATATGACAATAGATGGAAATGATTAATATTATAATCTTTTAAGATGAGACATATGAAAAGCAGCAGCAGTTGATTATGGTTGAGAGGAAAATCTCGCAGCTTCAACTGTTGCTTTCATCACATCAAAACTTATTAATTCCCTCGACTATGCAAACATACAATTTTCTAGTTCCTTTATCAGTTTCTCCATTCAATTCATAAGCAAATAAAAAAGTATTAACAATAAACAAATAGATATTAATAAATATTTCGAAAATAATAAAACATTTTTATGATGATGAACGTGAGCAACAAATTACGCTTCTGAAAAAAGTTTGAGTGGCATTAGAATTAAAAGTAGATTCTGAAAACATAATTTAACTCAGATGAAAATGACATTATTCAGTCATTCTCGAGAGTAGATAATCGAATTCAAATATAGTTCATGCAAGCAAAGCGGAAATCTAAAAGATGAACTTCTCAATCATGTTTAGTTGAAGAGTAGCAAAATGTTTATTCAAGGCTTCAAGACAAGTGTTTTAACATCAAGAGATAAGAAAAGTTTTCCATTTCTATAAATAAATAAGCATCTCTTGTTTTATGATGCTATAGCAAAAAAAAATCCATGAAAAAATAAATGTTACAATGAGCGATAAACAAGAAAATGCTGATGCGAAGATGAGGATGAAATCACGAACGTTCTTCTCATTTCATTTCACTTGTTTCATTGGAATTGACTAAAATAATGGACATGAAAAGAAAACGAAAGTATAGCTGCGATATATCGGTTGAGTGATAAGGGATTGTTGAGCAGTTTATTATGGCTTTATAGAGTTGTTACATTTGAGATTAAGTAAAACGATGTGAAAGCGTATTAATTTATGAAATCCATTTTTTAAACTCATAAAATTTTCATTTCGAATCTTTCGTATTTTCAGCATTAACTTACGTCAATGAAAGGGTTTACATTAATGTTGACATAGGTACTTTTACAAAATTCAATCCCTTGAGCTACCTGAATGTCTGAAAGAATTTACATTTTTCTTGTTTTTACTTGCTATGGATTTAAGATGCAGATTAAAATTTCAAACTTTATGTGGTAGCTTAACGTAAACCATGATCGGTAAATATTTAACAGTTCTAAGATCATTTGATTGAAAAATTCTCTTCCAATTATTATTTATTCATCTCTTCTATTTATATTGCTCAGCAATCAGCTTGACTTTCAACAACATTAATCGAAAATAAATATTTCAACATAATTTTAACTATGTATGACTTTTATTTACTTTACATCAGGGCTTCGACTTGTTTGGGATTTGCTTCAAGTCACTCGAATAAGTCAAGTAAAACATATTTTCCAAGTTGAGTCAAGAAGATGAGTCAAGTCATTGATAAATATGCAAGTCGGCTAGTCAAGCCAAGTCAAGTCACGGCCCTGCATCACAACATTAAAATAACATTAACATGTTGTTTTGTTTAAACAATCCTTTGAAAAACATAAATTTCTTTCTCAGTAAATAATTTTCAATTTTCTAACACAGGCATTAAGATCAAAGAATTTCAAAATGTGTGAACATTAAGAATGAAAGTTAAATTTAAATGCTTTGAATTTTATGCTAAGTTAAAGCTTTCATTTCGTTTTTCATCTACATTGTTGAAAATATGTATTAAAAAATCTACTCAATGCTTTTTAACGTTACGAAAATATCCAACAACGAACACTCCACATGCTTAATGCACTTCTTAATAATATGAAAGCTTCTTATGCTGAAGAGTCGAGAATCAAAACAGTGAAAAACTCTTTCAACTTTACCTGAAATGAAAATTTTAAATAACTTTAAATTTAATATTCTTCTACTTTCATAAAAGAATTGAAAATATTTTTAGATGGACAAGAATTTAACTTGAAACGAAACAATGAATATTCATTGTTAAATGCATTTCAACAGAACTTTCTAAATTTAAACAAAAAAAGAAATGTCTGCAATGAAGGAATATTTTCCGCACATTTAAGCAACAAAAGTAAAAGAAGGAAAGAAAATGTGCCAACATCATCATTGTCTATTGAGAGTTAATTGAACAAAGGTGTTACAGATAAATTTACAAGTGCTTTTTACTTAGATTGCTCAATTCACAACGTAAAATAAAAGGGTGGAAAGAAAAAAAAGTCTCTGCACAAGGATTTCAAATAAAAATGGTAGCATCAGCTTTTTTTCAGTTTTTCTTTTTTGCTTTTGCTGGAAAGTGTGCCTTTGAAAAGAAAGAAAATAAGTGGAAAAATCTTCCATTTAAAACAAAAGAGCAGAGAAGACGAGAAAAAATATGCTTAAATACAACTTTCAGCACGAAATTAGATCAGCAGCGATATGCCGAGAAGAAAGAAAAGCATCTTGTGAGAAAACAAAAATGATTAGACAAGCAGAAAAGTTTTCCTTAAAATTTTCTCGTTTCTTTTTTTCATTCACAATTTTTTCTTTTCGTTTCATAATGAACATACATTTTTTTTCGGCATTTTTCCCAGTCACGGTAAGAAGAAGTTTGCAATCGACGACAATGCTTAAGCTTGTGTGAGAACTATTTGAATAGTAGTGAAGACGACAGGGAAAAGCAAAAGGTGGCTTTGCATTCTTAAGACTAAAAGCTAAATATTAAATTTATTAAATCATGAATTGCTTCATGCACAGAATTTTTCATGAATGCGTAGAATATTCTGGAAAATTAAGAAAGCTTAAGAGATCACGTTGTTATGCTTTTCAACCCGTTTCCTAATTTCTAAATTGATTACTTGACATGAAAGTTTCAAATCTACCTTGAATGTACGACGAAAGCTTAGTCTTTTCATAAATAAATGAATCTAATGTGCTTAAGAAGATTGAAACTTATATCTACTTAGCTTCATGCAACATTCCATTAGCTTCTTTATAATAAACTCGAAAACTGTAAATTTGACAAGTCTTTTGAATGCTATGTGGCGGTTCTGGTGTTCTATGCAGCAACATCAGATAATTATCATGCCAACGCTTTTCCTTTCCTTCTTTTTATGAGTCAAAAAACTACAGAAAAAAAGAAAAAAGATTCACGAGATAGCAAATTCCTTCTTTCATTCATTAGCAAACATTCTCACTGCAACTTGATTCCAATGTCGTGAATAGCTTTCTGAAATAAATGCAAATGAGTTAATTTCGCATAATTAATTCTTTCTATCTCATTTCGTTTGCTCATCGCCATCATCGTTTCAACGACTGAGCGAACCAACAAAAGTTAATTGCGAAACTTACTCAGTATCTGTTCGCCCATCGTTAGAGGAAAATCGCATTATGGAAATCTAAAGTCGTTCGCTCAGCAAAACAGTTTAAATTTCATTCAGAGAGCATTCTGATGTGAAGCTTCAGCAATAACTTCTAACACAGATAGATGAAATGTGTGCTGATATCACAATGGAAATGGAAGTAAAAAGGCGATGTCATGAGCGATTAAGGTTAGAAATTTAATTTCTGCTGGGCTTGGATTTTCGTACTTTATTCAACTTTTATTTTATGATAACTCTCCATTAATATTGATCTAACCCAAAATAAACGTATGTATGAGAGAGCTCGAATCAAAACTGAAATTCGCTGACCGGAAGCATAATTTCGTTTCAACGACAAATCCCATAAATTTGTTGTGGCGCCATTGAATTTCAACGAGCCACAAAAATTTCTTTCTCCCTCTCCGAAGCCTTTACAAATTTTTCTGTTGTTGTTGTTCAGCACTTGTCAATGTCAGTATGGAAAAAATATTTGTTCGAGTCCATGACTTTTCTCATACACATTTTTTTAGAATTTCATCAAAAATAAAAAAAAGTTGCGATAAAGTGTGTTTGCATGCATATGAAAGTCTCGTTTTTTGTGTTTTTCACGCAGAAATATTTCAAATTTATATTTTATGTGACGTTGGTGAAAACTCTTTATATGTCAAAATGCGTTAGAGATAATTCTGACGATCTTTGCAGACTTTTAAAGTTTCAAATACTAATTTCGTTCATGCAACTGTGCGATAACATTTTTGTTTAAAAAATAGCTCTCACCTTGTGCTTCACTGATAAATTCGTCATACATCTCGAAAGCAGCTTTAGAGCTTTCTGCGTGAGTGTTCAACTAACATTGCACTTGTTCATACAGCCAAGATATACAATTTTGCTGTAAATAAAAACTGATACGATGCTTCAACTGAGAATCAAACACTCAACACCGAGCGATCAAAAGTGAAAATAGCAGCATGTGTTGAAAGAATACTCGACCATGATAAGAACTTTTGTACAAAGTTGAAAAGCATAAAAATGCATGAAAAATCTCTTTAAAACTTTCCCCTCCATAACTCTGTGAATGGCCACGAATTCTATGCAGTAATTTGCGAATATTTTTAAAGCTTCGACAGCTAAAATAATGCTGAAAGCTCAAACATTATTTTGAATATTGATGTAAATTTATGTATGTTCATGAATACCAATGATACAAGGTTTTTGCTGTATTTTCATTTCTGATTTACTACTTGATACAATCGTTTTAAACAGCTTCTGCAATCTGTGTGGTGATCTGTGGAGATGAAAAGCTAGTTTTACGTTTGTCACAGTCAAAAACTTTCTTGTTCAATGCAGTCAGTGATTCAAATGTCGGAACACCAACGATAACAAAAACGACAAAAAAAAGGAATCATAAAAATGTGTTAAATAAAAGACCTTACCAAACTGCCCTGAATGTTGATTCAAAAAAAAATGAATGAAAAGCCAGCGAAACTGTGACTTGACTATAAAAAAACAATATTCTCGACTGTTTTTCTACCACCCCACAGTGTGTTTTCAGAGGACAAAAGTCAAATTTTCAAGTTGCGTCATATCGTCTTCATCTTTTTTAGAACTTTTAGAAGATTATATGGCGCAACTTTTGACTTCATATTGTTCATCCCGGAAATGAGTGGAAGTGACTGAAAATTAGTCATGAATTCACCCATGTCCGAGGTGAAAAATATACATGAAAATGAAGNNNCTGAATGTTGATTCAAAAAAAAATGAATGAAAAGCCAGCGAAACTGTGACTTGACTATAAAAAAACAATATTCTCGACTGTTTTTCTACCACCCGCTTGTTAAACTCTTTTTAGGATGAATTTTGTTAGCACAACATCATTCAAACAAATCAATTATCAAGTAGATGTAAAAATTCGTTTATATTTTACGAGTTTATGTATTCAAGCTTTCAATTTTCATTTAAAATTTAAAAGTTTTTTCCCAACGTAAAATTGACATTTTTATTGGATATGGTTGGGTGGAAAATCGATTTCAAAGAATATTTTCACATTTTTTTAATTATGTTTGGTGAAACAACTCTTTATTCAACAAGCATACCTACACTTCATACATAATTTACATTAAATCAGCGATTGAAAATTGAAGGTTTCCCTCATAAATACAAAGTTAAAATGATTTCATAAAATTTTTTCATTGCTCAAATGTTTGTGTTACTTTAATTTGTTATGAAAACAAATGAATTCTCGTGTTTATAGTTTCGTAGCATGTGGATGACTAAAACATTTGACATTTCGCTTGGGAGAATTTTCTGCTACGGGATTTGGAATGAAAACAAATTCCTATGAATGTATTTAACATACTTATCTAACCATGAAACCTTTTTCCAAAATATGGCAGAACAAAATACTATTTCCTGGATCTACATTATTAATCAAGACCTCATGTAATTATCCCTCTCTCTCCCCTTTCTATCTCTCACTCCACGCCACCTTCCCATTTCCATCTTCCGCCTTAAGTATGTGTTGCCTTGTCTAATATATTGGAAATCGTGTTGTAATGAAACGTGTTTCAAGTTCCTGTGTGCAAAAATATATTTTCGCTTGTGAACGATAACAACAACTGCAATCAATCATGCTTTTTAATATTTTCGCTTCTCGCTTATAAATTCTAAGTGAACATGAAAATTTCCACCTATTTCATCATTCACTAAATGCATCATGTCATGTTGTAATTGTGGGGGTTGAAGGGTGAAACCGTTTATTTAATGTCTGAAGTTTCACTCAAAGAAAACATCCATTGAAGTAATGTTTATATTTTAAAAGTTTTTTACAGTGAATTAAAGGCATTTATATTAAAAGTTTTCTTTCAAACATCATTAAACCTCGTCGTTTAGTAAACTAACTAACTCATTATAGAAGGGATATTTTTTATCTGAGGCTGAAAGTTTATAAACCGAAAAACAAAAACTCATGTACGTGGAAATGACGTGGAAAACTTCAGAGACATTTCCCGTGATCCATTCTGCTCTGTCATAATATGAAAGCAAACCACTTTTTGCTGTTATTCTTACCGATTCGAAATGTGAGCTGAAAATAAAAGAAAAAAAATATGAATAAAAAAAAACGAAATATGTGGAAAATTGTTGAGCAAAAACCATTTAAAATGTTGTGGGATAAAACGTTTTAAGAGAGAATTATACTCGAAATGGGGTAGGATGGCAATAGCAATATAATGGAAAATAAACCGCACCGGAGAAAGGAAAAATCTTTTTCCATGCTAACAATTCATCATATTAAAATTAAACATGTGACAGCTTATGCGATGTGTGTACGTTTAACTGTTCCTTTTCCAGCTATGGCATTTCTCACATTTACCCGACACACTACCATTCAACGATATACGTTTCTAAATGATTAAACAGGAAACTTGTTTCAACCACTCACCTTTTAAATATATCCATAGCTCTTTCAAAATTTCACCACAAAACGTAGCAAAACGGACGACAAATGGGCAAAATATAAACTTTTTTTTTCTTTAGTAGGAGAGAAATTTTTCCGGAGATGTGAGATGAGTTCAGAGTTGGGTTAATGTAATTATTGTTTACTTGTCACACCTTGATCTAATGAAAAAAGGTGTTTCGTTTATCCTCATTCGTCCCTGTTTATTATTACAAATGTATCGTTGATGGATATTTTCCAGAGAGAGTTTTGACATTGACGCAATATCTGAATTCCACATGACACTATTTGTAGTAAAAACTGGGACCAGAAAACTGTTTCTGAAAAATAAAACATTAATATTCTGGTTATGCTTGTGTTCGTCAAGAGATAATCTATGTTCATTTGTATAAATATTTTTTATGCTTTTATACAAAATATCTATCTCAATGTTGGACCTGTTTTCCGCTTGACGACGTAAACTTTGTAATTCGAATTTTGAAATGGGGAGGACATTGATATATTTATTTTATTTAATGCTTTCAAGCATGCTTTGTCATAAGTTATGAATTTTTAAAGAATATTATTTATAAACAAAATTTTATGATATGTTGAAGTTCGAAATGTGTCTTCAAATTTCAATTTGTATGTATTTATGTAATGAATTTATTAAATTTAATTTACGATATTTGATTTTAGTCACTTTTTATGTTTATTTTTAGTTGTCAGATATAAAAAATTCAAATGTTTCCTGTTAATTTAAGTCACTAGTTCAAGTGATTACAAAATGAAAGTTCACTTTGATACTTGTAATGGTTAAATTAACAGGAATACGTCATTATAATGTATGATAAATATTTACAAAAGTAAGACAAACAATTCATTATCTGTTTGGTATGTGAAGGAAAATTTTTAAAAGCAATTTAATTTACTGGCAAGACAGGAAATGTAAAACGACTTGAAAGCTTTTTGATTAGAAAAAGTTTTCAGTTCAATTTGGAATTTCATAAATGTTTCTTGAAATGGAGAATCGTTTTTATTTTTCCCTGGTTTGGTATTTCTTAGTACAATAATTTAATTTCGATTTGTTAGAATTTGTAAAAGTGAAATTATTTGACAAAAGGAATGTTTTAGTTATTATTTCGTTTACAATTGTTTCAACTGTTATTGAAACATTTTTCATCGATATAAATTGAAACTATTTATAGCATTTTTCAAAAATAATATAAGAAATGGACGCGTATTCAGAAAAAATTGTTATCAGTACCCATTCGTCGAACAATGAAATCAGAAAAATTTCCTCTCATGCATGAAATATGCAATCAAAATAAATTCGGCAATAAATGTTCGGTAGTGATCAATGCGTGTACATTCATTTTTGTTGAATTATATGTATTGACATTCGACACACTGAAAATGAATCTGAATGCTGAAACATTTTCGGTATTGATGGAAATTGCCAACTTCCACAACGATTTAACATTTTTTTGACAATATTTTTTATTCTTTAGTATAAAACGAAATAAAAATCCAAAATTACATTCCCTTTTGTAGACAGCATATTTTTAATTAACTTTATATTTCATGCAACAATGCTGACGGTTTAAATGTAAAAGCGCGGTGTATTCAAAAAAAACGAGCTTTTGCAATTTCATCCAACGCTCATACTTACTAAATAGTGAAAGTGCATTTTATTCTGATGAGCAATAAAATCCAATTAAACAATGAGATAGATGATGTGGCTGACTACTAAATAATTAAGTTTGAAAATGTAAAAATTTAATTAACTTCGCAAAATACAATTACACTAGTTTAATCGCTATTAATTTTTATGTGTTTCATAAATGAACGTTTCCTGAGGCAAAAAGAAGAAGGAAATCTGAAAATTTATCTCTTGAAATATTTTCTTGAAACGAGTTATGACTTGTTATGAAATTTCTGATCTTTTGAATAATTTTCAAATTTTGTTGATTGTTAAATGTCATCATTATCATCGTCATCATCATCAACATCATCGTAAACTTCAAGAGAATGTCTGCCTAAGTAATATTTTGTATAAATAGTTTATGCTGCTTTCATTTCATTAAGCCATGTACATCTTAAACTATTTTTATTTAAACTTTTCGCATCATAATAACCTGAAGGATGAGGATGATGTTCAAAAGAATACTAAAAAGTCATTAAGATGAGAGGCAGTTTAAACTTTTCCAACCCCAAGTACACAAGTGAATGATTTTATAATTGCGAATTACCGTAGTTTTAACTTCAAGTATTTAATGTTCAACTTTCAGAATCACAACAAAGCTAAAAGGCACACAAGGTTTTTCAAATGCCAAGAATATTCTCTAAAGTTTTATGCAGATAGCAAAAGTTTTTCTCAACCCTTTTTCCACTTGTTTCACTGCAAATAAGAAATAAGAGAGGGAAGAGGGAGAAATCATTCGAAAACCAAATAATTTTCTTTTTTTTCGTAATTCAACTTTTGCTGTTTGTTCGTTTGGTGCAGAATAGAAAACAGGAAGCAAATGATAATAACAATAAAAAGCAGGTATGAAAAAAGAGCGGATGCTCTATCATGATGAAAATTATTTGTGTTTTTCCGACTCAGATTACTTCCTATGTGAATTTTCGTTCTCAAACTTTCTTTTTTATTTATTTATTTCTGTTCTTGTTAAGAAATTACTTCCCGTGTATTATTTTTGTGCCTCTACTGTTTGTCTATGCAAACAATGTTAAAGCATTTCTTATTCCACTGAATTTACTTCTCTCGCGTCTTCGATAAATAAGTACTTGTGCTATGCTAGCCAAAGCTTCCTGTGAAATTGCTATCCGCTAGAAAGTATCCAGTGGGATAAGTGGATTATGTTTTGTAAACAAAGCTTTTGGGAATCTCCATAGGTCAGTGTAAAAGAAACAATCTCAACCCAAACCAACCATTTTAAATGATTTATTGTTGAACAAGTAAAATAAAATAATTTTGCGTGTCTTCGATATGAATATTTAAACAAACTGCAAATTGCTTTGAGGCTTATCATACATCTTTATGGTGCTTTAGATATGCTTTTCTAGATATCTACATGATCTCCTAAATCCTCATTGATGCTTTTGTCTTTACTCCTAGTAGTAATAAAAGGTGTTACATATTTAAACTTTGAATTATAGTATTAGTTTTTGAAAACTATCTTAACCATTTATTGCATTCACAATTGCCAATTCAAGTAAACACTTGCAATTTGAAACATATTCAAATACTGTGTCTTCAAGTGGAAATGTTTCTTCTGCCTCAGATTGAAATGTGAAATGGGATTTGAATTAATTTTCCTCATCGTTACAACTTGCAATTCACTTTCTTCTAATGTTTGAATGGGAATAGCAAACATATAAATAAATGTGTGCTTTGAAACGTGTTTGTATGTTTGTTGGAAGAAAATATCAGCTGGTACAAATTGAGAAAAATAATGACTACGTTCTTGCTCGCATTCATTGTGAGATAATGAAACTTCCCGTTGATAGAAACAATGTCTTGTTATCATTCATTTGTCTGCACAAAAATCATAAGTTTTCATCTTTAAAATAACTACACACATAAGTAATAAAAGATTCAGGTAACATTTGCATGTTCATTCTAAGAAGCTGTCAACATGTTCACTTAATAGACATGCATGCAATCACAACTAAAAACATATTCTGACTGTTATTAAAAAAGTATCTTTGAAAACATCCCTTAAGGCTTTTACATTCGTACAATGCACTCGTTTTAATTTAAAACGAGCATGTTAAACATTCCCTATATATAAGTTTATACTCGAGTAGAAAATAAATAAAAAAAACAAGGAAAAATCAGTAAATCTACCTCGCATGACAAACAATAAGAGGGCGGATGGGAAGGAATTAATAAAGGATTATTCAGTTAATGCTTAATTAAATTTTACGGCTTTCGTTATTATTCATCTATGTGAAAAAAATGTGTGCTTCGTTGTTCATGAAAAGTTTGGGATGAAGAAGAAGATGATACAGTAGAATGTGTATGCTCTCTTTGTGTTACGAGATAAGAACAAAACGAGAAAAAAAAGCAAAATTGAACGGGAGAACACTATAAAAGGGATCATAAATTATAAAATGAAATTCGTAAAGAACCATTTACCGCAGAAAATGAATCGTTATATGCCGGTAGATAAGTTTAACTTGGTATGTGCTTAGATAATATAGCTGAATGCCTTTTTAAAGCTACACACCAGGAAATTCCAAAAACGTTCCCCACCTTCATCACAGAGAATGGGAGGAAAAAAGGCTTTTGAGACAAAATCATGCGAAAAGAAGACCTTTTTGGAATTAATCAGAGCCATCAGAGAATCATGGCAGAAAGATGAATGAATTTGATTTTCAACAGAAGTGAACATAAAGGTGAAGTTTAATCTTTTTGATGTTGAAGTCTTCTGCACTATGAAAATTTCATTTTAAATGAAATCACAAAATGTTTGAAGTGACGAGATTGATTATTTTGTTTACATAAATGAAAGTTACCTTCATGTCACATAAATTTCCTTGGACATTTAAGACTTGTCATAATCTATTTATACTCCCACACATCTCACAAATCATAATTGTTCACTGTCACTGATTATGGTCTCAGAAATTCAACTGCAAGTCAAATAACAAAGATGACATTTGAAATTTACGATTGCTAACAAGAAAGCATAATAAAATCGGAAAGAAATTACTTTCTGCTTCATCCAACGACATTGCTAACATAAACTTGAAGAGTAGTTTTCATTCGGAACGTAAATTGCGAACATTCCCTAAGTGAATATTTTACAAACGACATCAAATGTAAATATTTAGTATTTCACTTTAGAGAAAACTAATTTCCCTCATAAACATAAACGTTTAGTTTACGTATTTATGCACATCAGACTGGAAAAGGACGTTTTTTTGTGTAAATTTGTTGTCCAAAAAAATAAAAGAGGAAATAAAAAAGAAGAAAATAATGTAAAAAGAAACGAGAAAAAAGACATTTCTTCAAATGAACGATGACAGTCATTAAATTTCAATTAGTTTGAGAGAGAGAAAGATGTGAACATAAATCTCAATGACGTTGATGATATCAATATGATGAGAAGAAGTTTAATGAAAAATGTAACTAAATATTAATGTTGTCTTCAGTGCACTCAACTTTCAGCATAATTTTAAAGTCGTCAGTGGTTGGTTGCTTCATAAATGTCAAAGTTTCTCGAAGTAGAAAAAGAAAAATAAAATTTCTTAAGTAGGTGAATATCTATGGACGTAATGGTTGTTGACAATGATTTTTCAAGAAGATCTTAACATGATTTATTATCGAAATCATGCATTTGACAGCAACTGAGGCAGATTGTACTATTTTCATTAAATTTTTCTTCTTCTCCTCCTTTTTTCTTCAATTTCAATTGCTCATTCATCCGAAATAGACTTCCATGAGTTGTAAAAAGTGGTAAATTTCTGGCGTTTATCGATTATTTATTTTCAATCAATTCTACAAAGTTATTTTAGCTTGTGAGGTTGTTGATACCTTTATAAAAGAAAACTTTGTAAATTGATGCAGAAAAGTCAAATATTATCGTATCTAGTACAAGTTTGAAGCTTCAAAGGTATTTTTGTTTAAAAATATCTACTTAATTTGTAAAAGTATTTAATTAAATCATGCATCGGTTGATGCAACCATTTTGAGGATGTTGAGGATGTTAGATTTACTTAAAAAGTTAGTCAAGCGAATTATACGGGAAAATGAATATCCTGAATGTTATGTTTCTAAACTTTGATCAAATAAAAGTCTAAATACAACTAACCAGAGATGGGTGAATAAATATTGAGGAAATTGCTCAAGGGAAATGACAGAAATCACCGGGAATTAAAAGATTACATTAGGAATTGTATACGGTTGAGAATCTTTCAAAGATTATCACTAAATATCATTGATAGTTTCAGATTAGTCTTACAAGATACTTCAAAACCTTCCTTGAAGAGAGAAGGAAATGAAATTCCTTTACTCATCTCTGTAACCAAAATTTCCTTAACAACATCGAAGTGTAAGACGAAACAGTTTTAAAGTAATTAAATTAAAGCCAGTTTGCTTACCAAGAAAATGCTTGTAACTTTTCATCGAAAACTTTTCGCTTCATAGCAAGGAAAATTTATGTTCGCTGTTGATATTTTGTGCTTTTTTCATCTTTTCTTCATCAAGCGGCATAGTGAAAATTATTTTACTCCCTCGTTATAACAAGGCCTCAGTTAAAACAATTAATCATTCGAAAAATATTCTTCGAGTGAACATAGCAGAAGCAAGGAAACTTTCACGATGTACAAACAAGTTTTTCTTTTCATGAAACATTTAAAAAAACCACTTTTGTTATTTCCTTCGCTAGGAATGTGTATCATTTCATCAGTCATGGCGATGAGATGCGATCATGAAGGAAATAACTTTAGATTGTGCCTCAACATGTGAAGTCATTGTTGTGGAAAGCTGACATTCTATGTTTCCACTATCTTGTCTCGATTTCATCTTACACTTTTTTTTTCTTTCTTGTGATATAAAACAATTTATTTTCTGATGCTATATGTTGTTGATTATAACGTATTTAAGAAAAAAATGAGAATGACAAAACATTTATTATTTTCTGTCGTTCTCTTGGTGTGGGGGATGGAAAGGCGAGAGTCATTCTTACATTAGAAGGGAGAAAGAAAAAATAACTTTTGGAAAAGATAGGCAGCGTTTACAAGATGAGATGAATGAGGTTATCATCAAGTTATTTACATGGTTAATTGAAAAATATATCTGCAGCCTCTTTTGTCCCAATCTTCACAAACATTCTTCTTACGAAAAATCATTAGCGATTACTGGCGCGTAACGATTCATTATATTTGTATGTAGATAGATGTGCGTAGAGGTTGTTTATCCCGGTTATCATTGCTAACAAATTTCTCATCCTTGTTTGTGCTCTGCTTCTCTTCATCCACTATGTCGTCTCATCGTCGTCTTTTAATTAAAAACGAGTGATAAATGATTTATTGTTCAGTTAGACAATTAATTTTTTGTTCCTTATAATCAGAAAAGATGTTTACTACTCATTTTTATGACGACAAAATTGATGATGTTGCGGTGAGTTATTTGGTCTTGAAGATAATCATTCAACTTGGCTTTTTCTAAGTGAAAAATGTGACAATGATGCTCGTTCATTTTAACGTTATGGAAGTGACTTGAGGCTTAATTAAAAACATCATTCTGTTGGATAAATATGAACAGAGAAATTTAGTTAAGAAGAAAACTTTTCATTTCAATTTACGTTAATTCATGTAATATAAACTTGTTACATGATAGAGAAATATTAGTCGAACATAAACTCCCTACCTATATCGGAAGTAATATGTAGAGTAAATTCAATAATTAACAAAAGGATCTGATGTTGTGGTTGTTTATTGAGGAGAATCTTCAATGCCAGAAGCGATTGATAACCTTTAGAAATTTGTTAACTTTATTCTGATTATATTTACTTGGAAAGTTTAGGTTTCGATAGGTTTCATGCCCTACTTTGATGCACACTTTCTGTGAATTGATTAAGATAATAGACAATAAAAGATAAACTTTTCATTCACAGTCATGGAATAGCAAAGTTTGTTTCGATGCAACCAGCAAAATTCTACCGCCATTTCTCTAAAGTATGAAATGAATTTATTTCGAGGCTTTGTTTTCAGTTCGAAAATGAATAAAATTGTATAAACTTTCTGATATTGTGGCAATTCTTTCAAGTGAATAAATTGGAAAATCATCATTTGGAAAAAATCTTTTGTTCTGTTGTTTAAAACCTTTGATTGTTCTCAAATGAAGCAATTATTTTAGTAGATATCACCATTTGCTTTCCGTTGTTGAATATTTTTGATGGATTGAGTGGAAAAGATAGAAAAGCCTACATACTTGTTATCAACGAAAAAGGAAAACGAGCAGAAAGTTAATGACTGGCAAAAGACTGGCAAAAGACTTCTCAAGACCCAGACTGGATCAATAGTTAACTATTGTAAACAACAGTTTTCCTATCTTCATCTCAATTTCCGTCTTCTTTCTTATTCGTATTTTTTTTTTCTTCCTTTTCATTCACATTTTCCTGAACTAATAAAGTAATCTCCTTTCCTCATATGCCTCAAACGGATTGTCTTGATCAAACATCGGATGGAAAAAGGAGAAAAATAAGGAAAAAGTATTAACTGCAGACAGTCGAGGGAAAAGAATTGTAATATCTAACAAATTCTTCCCCCTGCCCATCTAACGGTCTATAAAGAGTAGAATTTGTTATCAGAAAACAAGAAGATCTGATATTAATATTTATGCTTAATATACCTGTCACAAAACTGTAATTATATGAAGAGAAGTGTAGAGAAAGTTTGAACCTTCTCATAACCATTATGAGATTACGTCTGATATTAATTGCGGAACATGTATCTTTATAAATACGGATAAATACTTTTTCGAAGTTCAAATACTTTGTGCTTTTGGAGACTTTGCTTTCTTTTACGTTTTGCGTCTTTTCTTATTTATTTTCCTTGCCATCAGGTAGATTTGAGTATCGAAACATTTTTGATTATAGAAGGAAGAAAGTCTCTTGACATTTTATCGATTTTGAGTCATTTGATTTATCTCAGTTAGAGGTAAACCAGGACAAAGATTTATTTTTAATAAAGCAAGCAAAGATTGATTTTTCTACCATGCAATGTCCCGCGAGTTCTGTCGTGGTTGTTTGTACTCCATCTCTATTGTGCTGATTGTGAGTTCTGAAAAGAATTTCAAGACTTGATAGATTACTGCAATGCATGCAGACTTTTTCACAAATAAACTTCCATTGGTGATTGCGCATTTTCATTTTCCACAAAAAAATATTTCGTGGGGATGAAATGTTCGATGGAAAATTCCACTCTTGATATTCCAAACTTTTATCTTTCAAGTCGCGTTAATATTGGAATCTCGTTAATTGTATTTTGTAACGAATTAAAATTAAAACAAAAGAGATGAGAAAAGTTTCTTTTCAACAACTTTTGCACTGGATTATAAACTTTTGTTTTATGAAGAATTCATGCTTAGCAAAAGCTATTTGAAGCCTTCAAGGCATTTTGAAATTAAAAGCATTTAAAATTAAACTTGAAAGTTTTCCTCCGTTGACATCAAACATGTTGTCATCGTATAAAGGTATTCAGGAACATGAAAGGTATGGATAGACTTCCTAAATATGAATCTGTCACATACAGACTAGGTTGTAGTTGTGCCATCAAATCATCTATTGGAAGGAGAAAAATCCTTCGTCGAAAACATTTTTTGTGTGATTTTATAATGAGAATCCCTGTTGATTCATGTTTGTAGAATATCATTTCCATATGAATTTTTTCTATGTTGTGAATCTTTTTGTCATCAAATGAATTTCTTAGGGAATTCTTTTTTAAACCTTAAGGATGACGATGCCATAGACGATGCTTTCTCCGTCATAAATTTCATCAATGATTTGCCGAATTCTCGCGAGTTTCTATAAAAATTTAAATAACGTTAAAGGAAAACAGAAGCCATCAAATGTAAAAGAATTTTTGATCAGCAGACATGAATGATTAAATACTTATTGACACGAAATTATAACACCAAAAAGCACTTATAATTGCTATATATAATAATGGGAACGTTACAATGTCGTGAAGATGTGAAATACAAAACCAGATGACAAATTTCACACACTTTCAAGTCGAGGCTTTTGAACGCTTCATTCATTTTGTGTCGCCCCGTGAAATAAAAAGAAGAACTTTCAAGAATCTGCTTTTAGGGAAAAAGTAGGAAAAGAAGGAAAATCCGATTTTCCTTTTTGTAGTTGGGGGACATTCATGAATCGAACAGTGAATGTTGTGAAGGTGAAAACTAAAATTCGGCAGACTTTGTCAGCAACGAAACTAAGAAATTGATATTTTCATGCCATACTTCCTTTATGCCTCCTTAAGAGTCTGATGAAAAATTCACGCACACCTATTAAAATAAACTTTTAGGATATATTCACTGTTGGTTGAAAGTTTCTTTTACGTTCACTTTGCGCATCACTTCACATCTTGTTTGATCGTATGAAAGAAAAAAATATTTTCAAAGAAAATTTTGTCATTTTTTTAAATGAAACAAGCAGAAAGAAAACAGAAAGAACTATAAAAAATGGGAAAAGTTTTTTCATACATTTATTCCCTTTGCCATTATTTCTTCGTTTTCTTTTTATTTTGTATTTTGTGTACATACATACGTAGCTAGTAGCTTCGTACATATTTTCCTGTGCGCTTTGTCTTTTGGGGGAAAACGGGGTTTTCAGATGCTATATTAAGAAATATTAATATCATTTTTTATCCATTTACTCCTAATGGATCTGTGATATAAAGACAGAAAGCCATTCCGTTTAATATAGAAGTGGGAGTGAAATAGACTCGCTGTGTACGCTAAGCCGAGCGTTTCGTCTTATGTTATTTATGTGCGCATATTAAAACATCAGGTAGATTAAAAAAAAGAAATCAAAATTATGAACATACATCACATGTGAAAGTAGCGAAAATATGCTTAGAAGAGAGTAATTTTAATAATTGTGGAAGCGAAAGGAAATTTGAAAATTTTCCTTCTGCAGAAGTGATGAATTTTGAAGCATCTGGTTCCGTATTAAAAGTGTTTCTTTTCATCATCATCTCTTTCCCTTTATTCCACGTGATAGATGAAAAGCTTTTCACTTGGAAGATGATCAAAATATGAAACAGTAAGAACTCTGTGTGCGCCTTTGAAATTATTTTCAAGTCGCTACCTCGACACAATATTTTCTCCCTCTACGAAATCAAGACAAGATCAAACGACTTTCTTCATCATAGTTTTTACAGCTTAATACAAAGCAAGTAACACTTTATCATCCCTTTTGAGCGACGAAGCCATCTCTCTAGAAAACCATTAAAGAACGCAACACAGGATAGCAAAAAATATATAAAAAAAGAAGTAAACAACTTTCAACCCATGACATCTTTCAAGAGTGTATAAATGGACGAAAATATCACAGAAAACAGCGGAGGAAAAGTTTCTGGTTTTCTAAACACATTATTGTCCTAAATGATAATTTATATGGGAATGATTTATGTTACCTTAAAGTGTTTCAGCTTCACATTTCAGCAGGACAATTTGAAAAATGTTCATTGTTATGTACAGTCGGGCTTACTTTAGCCAAGCCCAAGACTTCAGCCTTCTCTCCAGGGAAAGATATTTTTTCTTATTATGCGTTTCCATATCCATGGAGAATTTTGTGGAGCGTGGCAATATTTTTGTCTTTTATTAGGTTTATGGGGAAAATAAATGCTTTGAACTTTCGTATAGTCAAATATTTCATCTTTGAACTGCAAAAAATCCAAGCTCACAAACTCAAATGATTAGTGAAGGAAATTTAAGTAAAATTTTAGAATGTCAATAAATGCTTTCAAGGAAATAAGAGAAATTTCATCGAACATGCTTCCTCATCAACACAAATTCTCGTAAGTTGTAGGTACACAATTTTTATAGCTATCAATAAACAACAAGATGATTGGACATTTCTGTTGTAATTTTTATTTTTCTCTGCACAATTCGTTCTCTTCCTTCATGCTTTTCTTTTTCTTTTTTTGTTTCCTTCGATCTATCTTTTCCATTTTGTCAAATTTCATTTTCCAAACACGTTTTTTAGGACAACACGTAGAATTTTTCTTCATTCATTTCGAAAATTCATAATGTAATAAAACGAGATGAATAATAAATTAGAGATGAACGTCTTTCATCTTTTCTCGCTTATCTATCTATTGATTGGATTAAAATGATTATTAGGGAATTCAATTCATGACTTGTTTAAGATGGTTGATTTGAAAGCTTTTTTGTTTAAGTTTCCACCTTGGATTATGATTGAACATTGAAATTTGAGAATAAATTCTGTCAAATTGAAGTAAATTCATTCTCTTCATAAGTTGCATGTAGCTGACTGATGGTCGGAGAGATGATAACTACACTTCGAAACTTTGTTAACATAAATCTCCTAATAGTATTATTTCTTTTTCAGTCAGATCTATGAGTTCACATATTAATGCTACATTTGCTTTCTGGTTCTTCTTACTCGTTACAGCACTCGTAAATTCATCTCCATTTCTATAGGAGAATAAATAACGAAATGAAAAGCATTTAATTTTCATTTATGAGAAAAGCCAAAGTCATATTTTCATATTTGTTTCGAAGGAGTTACAAGTTTCGACAAAGGGCTTAGAGGCCACAAAGAAGCGAGAGTGGAACCAATTAATTTCTCAATAATACCTCGACATAATACGGCCAATATTTTCCTGTTACTGTAAAAGGCCATAAGAGAGAGAAAGCAAATTTGAAATACGATCGCATGTAAGCATAAACTATCATTAAATCGATACTAAGACAAACATTTGTTTCCCAAAACCTCTCTCTAACTGAATACGAACAAAAACAGAATTGACCATCATTGGACAAAAAATGATTTCAAATTATTTTAAAGAAGATGGAAATTTGTATTTAATTTTTATGGTTGTGACAATGTGAGTAGAAGAGATGGGAAAGCTTAGAAGAAATAAGATTGATTTTATTGAATGGTGATAAAAGAAAAAGTGCTGCAATTTCCTATTTCAGAAAAATCAATGGTTTGGTTTTATGCAGGGAGAGAACGTTCTATATGTGTTGATTGATGAGACGATCAATCTTGGTTATTGTCACATTGTAATAAGTGAACGTTGCAGAACTTCCACGTACAAATTATATAAGATTTGATTGAACAAATTGTAGGTTTTTTATATATTGAAGGAAGAAATGGATTGGTGTCGTGATGTGGGATCAAATGAATTTAAAATAACTTTAGAAAGTCAGAGGCAACATGTCAAAAATGGACAATGATTGAAATTCAACCCCTAAACTCATCATAAACTTAATGTTGAATGAAAAGAAGTAAAAACACTGAAACTTTGGGTGTTATGTAAATGTTGAGTCTTGTTATTTTTACTAACGCAATACAAGACAGGTGATTCAACCATAATATGTGGGGATCATTCTCTTCAGTGAAATAAAGTTATAACAAAGGGAGAAAAAACGTCCAAAAATAAAAGATGTTGGGTGAAAAGTTTTTATATTACACTCCCCTCCATCAACTCATCTCGTGACGGCCCAACCAACCAGAAAATGAAAGTAGAAAGGCGACATGAAGGATGTTATTTTGATTACAACGTGCATTAGTGTAACAGATGCTTATTATTATGACATCAAAAATGATTTCAATTGCTTGAAAATGCTTCTTCCACTTTCTCTCTACAATCTTCTTTTCTTCTTTCTCTTTTCTAGAGGAACAAAATGTTGCAAACATTTTAACAGCTTCATCAAAAATAAAGTGAAGTGGTGCTGGTATGAGAGATGAACCTTCCATGTTGAAGAAGGAAAAGTTTTCAATTTATTTAAATCTCTACTGGATTATGACTTGAGAGTATTTTTAATCACTTGTTTGCATTTCTTCTCTGCATTTAGGATAAGGTTGAGGATTACAACAGTTTTTTAATCACTTATTTTGATCTTTCTCACTGACACTTTGCAATTATTTACTCATGAATTTGTTAAGAGTTGAGATTTTAAAAATGCATGAAAATCTTTAATAAATTTTCAAGCATCTCATTTGTAATGATGAAAGATTCGTTTATTACATTCCTTTAAATTAAATAACATTTCCCTCGCGTTTCCAAAAAAAAACCCGAAACAATTTGAGTTCATCAGAATTACTTTTTCTTGTCATTTACAATCGCAACATATAAAATGTCGGTTTAAATTATTTGAATTTAAAACATAAAGCAATATAAATTCTCCTACGCTTGAATAAAATGAAAATCTCATGGGGATTTTTCATACTCGGAAAATTGTATTTTTCTTTTATTATTATTTATTTTATTCGTACACATTTAAAAATAATAATAAATTTATCACAACCGTAAATCTGATTTAAAATCACGTCTGTTCTTAATATCGGAAATCAATTTACAAACATGGATTTGACGTTAATTGTTTCTTATTAAATGTTCATATTTTCAAAACTTGAATGTTAGTGAAATAAAGAAAATTGATCATTCTTGCAGAAAACGATGTAATAATGATGTGAAGTATTCAAACATATCGGACTGAACTGAACTTTATCATCACCAAAAATGACTTCACACAGCAAGTAGGAGAATTGTGTAGCAGCGCAAACAAAATAAAAATTGTCATTCGGAAGAATTTTGTTTATCAGAGAGGTTCCAATTCAATGAATTTTCTTATTCTTTCTTCTGCAGGCGAACACATGTTACCATAAATTTATAACACATTTGTTGTAAAGATCTGAGAAGGGGGAAAATGTATTTATGCTCATAGATGGGGTCTAATGGGGGGCCAAATGAAAACTCTTTTCTAGATGGCTTGACTTTTGATGTCGACTTAATACAAAATATACTTATTGAAAGAATTTATGCATCAGAGATTTTTATGATAAATGTTTATTTGTCTGAATTTGTGCTTTAAGCGTTGAATGAATGATTTTTGTATGTCATAAATTTTACTTCAAAAGCTTTTATCATTGAAAAGGAGAACAAAGTGAATGCTGTGAAAGGTTGGGATTTATTTTCACAGATTTTAATTTGTGTCCCGGTGTGTGTTTGCCACAAAAATATTCACTGCATTAATTTGTGTTTCAGAAACTTTTTCTCCTTCTATCTTTGCTTTCAGAATTTTCCGTTCTATACACAAAAGCAAAAGCTAATGGGAACGTTGGCCGCAAAACACTAATAATTCAGGAGTATGAAATTCCTTCGAGTTTACATTGAAGGAGAGAGAACAAAGCTTTAACTTACGGTTTAGTTGAAAAGATTCCCTTGAGATGTAAAATTCTTTATAAGAAATATTTTCGACTTATTCCAGAATTTGCTAGGTCTTCTCTGTTGCAAGAAGAAAATCTATCTGCTCTTAATTCCGACAAACTCTTCCCTCCCTGCCACAGGAGAGAGAAATCCAAAAAGCGTATAATCGAGTCACGTAGAAAGCAAGTTTCAGGAAAGAAGGAAAAATTCATATTGTCTCTATTACTCTGAAATGCGAAATGCAGTCAGCAAGCGAGGGAGGTTAGTGGAGGAAAACATAATAATTCTTAGATGTCATGCATTAGCAATAAAAATTTTTCAAAGTGGAATCGGAATATCATATGATACTTTATTGTTACTTCTTTGTACATAGTTCTCTTGTGCAAGTTGTAACTTGCAACCAACTCAGCTCGTTCGGAATTTAATTTTGCTGTTATTCTCTCGCGCAACGCTTAGTGAAAGCTTTCATTTCCGTTTCAGTAGCGCAATTAAAATGTCAATGTTATTATTCTTTCCTGCTATCGTGAACAAAAAAAAAGCTCGTGAAAGTTGAAACTTAAAAAAAAACTTCCAACTTCAACGTCACTAGTGAAGCTTGAAATGAATTTTTTTTGTTCTGTTTAATTAGATTTGAAAGCATTATGCTTCAATTAAAAATTCCAATACACGAAGACTTCTTTTAATTAAAATTATCCAAGTTGACTCTTTTTTTCCTCCAGTTTGTGCACACAAGAGTAGAACTTTAATTTAAAAAGTTTTTAGCTAACAATGTGACGCTTGTAAAATTTGTTAAAACTTTTTTGAAAGGAAAATCAAAAGAAATCCTCAACTGCCAATAACTTAATAAGCTTATTATAGCAATCATCTCTGTCGGTCACACGTAGCATTCTCATTAATTATGAATCATTTCACATACATGCCAACTGCGAAGATTATTAGTTTTATTGAAACACTTCCACTTCAAAGCATTGTGGATGTGATAGGGCGTGGGATTGAAATTTCTTCTATATTTATTTGAAGCATGAAAGAAGACAATTGTCTCTTCTTCATGAAGCATACGAGTTCTGATCAGAGCTTCTTAACTTCTTCAAAGCTCAAAGAAAAGTTTGAAAATTTCTTATAACGTTAAATTCTAAAAAAAAAAATTTCAAGCCCTGAATTGTGTTCTTGCTCCATATTATTAAATTTATTTATCTAATTATAAGAAGACATTCAATTTTCAATTTAATTATGTATAGATAATTGTCGGTTTTGACGTTAATTTACAGATTTAATGTTATGTTAAAGACATTGATGACTGTCGATTAATAACGGTGACAGATGAAACTTTAGATTCCATCCAAATGTCTATTTAGGACTCAAACTTCATAAATTTTGGTATCCGAAACTTCTAATTTTAGTTCAATTATCAACATTTTTCTTGTCTCAAGTAAACATTCAAGATTAATTGCTGTAGGAAAATGCTTCCCAGACTTCCCCGACTTGTCCCATGAATCATAATTTTCCTTCCTTTTATGTTTTTTTTCTTTGAGAAATGATCCGCTCCCTTCCGTCACTTGTTTTATCTCAAAAGCCTGGAAAAGCTCATCTCTGTCATTGAGACATTGTCATTTACATGGAAACTCTCCTCCTACTGCCTTAAAAAAAATGAGACGTAAACATTTTAATTTACTACGATCCATTAGCGCAAAATTTGCACCATAAATTTACTCCAATCAATATCGCATTAATCATTGTTTGGCTTTCTCTTCTCTCCCTCTTCTCTCAGTTAAACAAAATACGAAGCTAGAAAGCTTTTAATTTTTCTTTTTTTGCGAGCCATGAAACTAAGCAACTTTATTCTCGCTTACCGCTGGAATTTTCTTTCGTTTCCACCCACTGGCAATTGAAAAGTTCCTTTGTCGAGTTTAAGCTTCTTCTTGCTATTAATTTCATCAAATTATGTACTCATCGATTTTGCAATAAAAGCCGATTTCATTTCGCCCCTTCCAATTGATTGCTCCAAAGGGAAGAAAAATGTCGAAGCAAAGGCGAGAAAAAATTTCTTCATTAAAAATTTTCAATAATACTTTAAGTTCTGACCGACAATAAAGGAGAAAAAAAATAATAATAAAATAAAATATGTTATCGAGGGTTTTCCCTTGCGTCTTGTTTGTGATATTTTAGGAAATGATTTTGTACTGAACCCTTATGGAATTAAATGGTCATTACTCTCCTTTTTCATTCCACTGTAGCTCTTGATAGATCAGACATCATTTAAGAAATGATTTTTCTCGTTCTTTTCTCTCTCCTGGTTTTTTCCCTTTTTCTCTGTACAGCAAAATAATTTCCTGAATCAAATTTTTAATTTCCTTTAATTTATAACATTTTGTTTAACTAAATATATTTTCTAGCTTCGCTATTTTTACTTTCTTCTTCCTTTTTTTTTGGTTTCAAAAGTGAACAGAGTTACCCCTGGGGATGTTCAAAGCAGACGATATTTGATGTTCATTTTATTTGGTGACGACTGCAGCGATGTGCTGTGCAAAATGTAATTAAATTTTCACGCAGAGATTCAAGAATTCCAAAAACAGAAAAAATATTTTGCATAGTCTGAAATTCATTATTAATTCTATTATCCCTTTTTCTACTGCCACCGGCTCTGGACAGTTCGATTCTTCTACTAAATGTGTGTGCATTGATATGGAAAAAAGAACTTTATTGCTTGATGAAGAGGAAACATTTTTATTCCTCTACATCTAGCTGAAGTCGAAGTGTATGAGTGAGGAAAAATTGCTTCTTCTCGTCCTCGGTCGCACCAAAAAGAAAAATAGCAGGGAAAATTATTCAAGCCTTTTTGTCGCAACGTACATGGTCGGGAACTATCCATTATCATACAATGGCATTTAAAGCATTCAAATGGAATGACAATACATATTTTTTATGATTGGAAGAAATTTTGATTGTTATTTTAAATGTTCGTTCATCTTCTTCTCTACGACCCGTCGCTTTTCTTCTCTCCACAAAGCACCATTATCTTTGAGAAAAAAAGGAACAAAAAAATATTTAAAATGTAGTTTGAAAGGAAGAAATTTTTCGCCTTCGTCTGCAGAAATTATATGCCGAAAGCGAGAGATAGCAGCAGGGTGGGAAGAGAATCTCATCTTATATTTTTTTATGTGCGACATATTTATTTTGTGGATTTTATGTCGAAAAGTTTCTCATCTCCTTATCCAACAATCGGCAGTTGTTGAAGTAATTATTTCCCATCCAAAAGCATCATAATTTTCGGAGATATTTTTCGTAATGAAAATTTACGGTAATTACACTTTGGAAAACTTGTTTTTGTTTGATATCCCAATTAAACGATCTTTTTTTTTAACAAAAAAATAAAAATAAAGAAAAAAAGATTAAGATAAAAAATTTATCGCATTCGTTATTTCAGCTGAATAGTAATTACTGATTTTCCACTCCCATCTGCGATCGATTTTCGATTAATCCCATCAGCAGAAATGAATCAGAATTTAAAACGCACATATTTATAAACATACACCCACACACACAGTTAGCTTCCTTTTTCCAGTCCAATATCACACGATTTTGCAAGAACAGTTCTATGTCTCACCGAAAATTTTGTATCCACTGAAGTTGAAATTTATGTTTTATGGCAACGTTATGCGGGTCGTCTATGTAATTGGAGTTGAGTTTTCATGAGGGAAAGATGATATTTGAACTTTTACAAATTGAACAGCTTTTTTAACTGTTCTTCTCCAACTCAAAACTTTTTTTTAAAACATTGTTGGAATTTTTTCTTTTTTTCTTCGATAGTAATCGTGCATTTGCTTAAGTTGAAAAGTTCTCTAGTAATTCAACTAATAGTATTTAAATAAATATTTATCAGAAGCATTTAAAGAGGTTTTTTGCATTTTATAAGGGAAAAATGTTTAGAAACTTTTCTCATCTGAAGATGTGAGTCTTCCCCAGATATTTTTCTCTGTCATAAGTAAACACCATTCTTATCTCTAAATTTCTAGCTAACTAAATGTACACAGAATAACGCTAATTTTCCCTATTGCTACTCCATCCATGAATGTAACATTGTATAAACTTTACTCAACTGAGAATATATTTCACATTCTTCAGATTTAAATCATGGAAATATGCATCTATCTATTGTCCGAGAAGAGTAAACACGCTTCAAATTGGAAATTCTCCATGTCGAATATACTCAACTGAATAAATGTATAGATCCAACAAAGGTAGATAGAAATAACAAAGAACAACAGTGCAGTTTATTCGAACCAAATGCATTCACAGTAAATATATTTCATTTTTGAACTTCTGAATAGATCGTAAATAAAATCCAAATCGAATTCGGAGGAAAGAAAACTGTTCTCAATTTGAATTTATATAATTTTATTAATATTACTCATAGATATCAATTTTGCAAATTCAGATGTTACAGATTTCAAAATCAATTAGAAGATTGATTAAAGTGTCGCATGATTTCTCCTTTAAAACAGCAAGTCAGCTTAAATTTCCGCGTGAATTTTAGACAAAAAAATATTGGAATTTTAATGATGCGTCATCCACATTGGGGTTTGTAATTATGTATGAAGAAGAAACTTAGATAAAATTATTATCTCAGCAGTTCAGATGGGTTTGAACGTTTGGGACTGTAGGACTCTAGGAAAAGGTTTATCTTTACTCTTTTTTTATTCCCTCCTTCTTTTCTATATTTAATTTTCCATCAGTATGAAAAAGTTTTTTTTTGTTAGATTTAGCGATAACCAGATGAAAAGGATTTATCCTGGTGGAGCTTTTGTTTTTTTTTAATGGAATGAGTTTGGAAGAGCAAAACAACTGAAGTTAATTGCTTTTTTACGAGCTACTACAATGATACTATTAGATAGCAAGAACAAATCTAACGATGAAACGCGTTTAATTGTGGTACTTTCCTTTTCATCCTTTTGTTTTCAAACAACTTTGCTATTGAGTGATTTGTTGAATAAGCTTTTCAGTCATTTAAATCCTTTGACTTTGACAAAGACTTACAAGTGCCAGAAACTGCCAAAAACATTGCTTTAGTCTTTTGTAATTGGTATGCGCATCCGTCAATTGTTCGACCACATAAACTTGACACTTAATTAAATATTTCTACACCCACAACTGGTTGAACAAAATAAAACATTTCGTATTCGTAACATGTCGATGTAACTGCAAAACTTTTTTTTTCTTGTCATCTTTGTCGTTTATTTCGACGGTTGTTGATGATGAAAAACAAAGCAAGAGAAGATTAATGAAATTATTAATTAGGAATTCATGAGAAGTCCCTACACCATATACATAATTAATCGATAAAAATAAAACAATACGTACATAGTTCTTGTGAATCTAAGCTGATAGTGGTCAACAAACTTATTCTTTAGGTACTATGAATCAGCACGTTTGGCCATGCCAACAAATGTTACCAATAAATGTAAGAACCGTTATGTAACGACATGTGATTCATGCGAACTAAGTAAGCTTATAATTTATCAATTTATTTCTAAGAATTCTCAAGCAAACGGAAACTTTTTTAAAAGCTGTTTATAGTGAATTTTAATTCAGGAATTTAGATTGTATTGCCAATGGCAGCTAAATAATAGCAAGTTAAATATCAAAAGGTGCTAACTAATGTCATAACTTTTCAATATCTTTGTAAGAAAATCATGAGGAAATTCAATTTTTCTTAGAATGAAATCTTAGAACTTCATTCTAATTAAATTTTAGTATTTGATTTACTACACAAAGAAATGTTTCCCAAGGAGAGATTTATGAGAAAATATTTCTATCAAATTATCCACTAAAGCTTTCTGCATCATTAAGCTTATCAAATTGAACTTATAACCATCATTTTAATTCACGAATTGAGATTGAACTCGCATGCTTACATGAAGAAACTTCTGTGAACATGAGGTCATATATATAACAATGCAGTAAATCTGTGAAGTGAAGCGATGAAAGTGTTTTCGAACTTTCTCATGTTGAAGGCAATTGAATTGTACTTGAGAGCTTATCTTGATCTATAGTTATTGAAAATGGGAAAATGTTTTTAATAAGAAAAATCCAATCTTTGCTCTGTCGAAATATCTTAAAGAAAACTCGCTTTTTTCCTTATAATTATGTTTACCATTAGCTCTTTTTCTTGATCTAAATTTATTCTCAAGAGCATCGATTAACTTTGATATTTGACGTTAATGACTCACTTGTTCAACTGTTGATAACAAGATGTCAAGCATACTTCATATACACACAAGACGACATGCTCGCACCATTTATATTAGGTTTATATAATCTCAGTTCAACAACAAAACAATATATCATCGAATGCCTATGGGGATTTTAATTTTGCTCTTTCTTCTCCTTCAATTCAGTCGAGTGAACCACATTATTTATACCGGAAGCGGCTTCAGTCGTAGCCGTAGCCGGCAAGGTTACCAATGTTTCTGCTTATATTTCTTGCTTGTTCATTGCGACTCAATGTGGTTTTGCTTTATATTTTTTTTTCTTCAATTTTTGTGAAAAGAAGAATGAAATATTTAAGGCGATGTCGTTATGTTTTGCTTGCTTCAATATTGTAATGTTTTATCAATGATAGGATATTTATTTTCCATTTCTCAAGACTGTTTGTAATGTCTTTCTGTACATACATTAGACATGTATAAGCAAACGGCATTCTCATTTTATTACGATTTATTTGTAAAGTAATATTTTGAATGATCAATAAATAAGCTTTTGGTCTGAGTCATCAATGACATTCATGTTTAATCAGATATTAGAATTTCAAAATTTATGGTAAACTCAGTTCAAGTTTTGATTGAATATACTTCTTAACATGGTCATGTCTCGGATATTCAGATAATTTCATTAATACCAATATTTTCATAAAATTGTTCAATCGAATCTACGAGACATTTGAGTCGAAGCAATTTAATATAAAAATAAATAATTGATTATGTTTTACGTTATTTGAACATTTGGTGAGATTTGTGAACAAAAAAACTTTTTTTTTTCGTTTTTATGGTTTGATTAAATGATCAACACAAGTTTCATAATTAAATAACCAACCGTCGCAAATCGAAGAAATTATGGAACGTTTAGTGTAAGAAAAATTTAGTTACATTAAACGTTAATATGTAAGTAATCAGTTGTAAACACTTATTTCTTTCGTCAATTAATTAATCGCCATATTATTCAATGCCAATATCTACAGGAAGTGTTTTTCGAAGCATTTTAAAATTTCTTCTATTCCATGCATGTGTTTATGGCATGGCATACTCATGTAGTCGTTCCAAGTATTTTGTCTTATGAAGGTAATAAGAAAAATATTTAAATATTTTTCTCCTTCCACTTAAGCCTGACCGCTTGTAAGGCAAGATCCGAGACAAGACAACGTCATTCATAAGAAAGCAATGTGAAAAAATATTCGGAAATATTCAAAAAAAACACCAACGACGCGATAGAAATATTTTATGCACGAAAAAAAAAGTTGTTACGCAACATTCTGGTTTTTCTCTCTTCACAAATGTTTACCTTAATGCTGCGCGTTGACTTTTTTCTGTTTAATTTACACTTTAAATAACCAATTTATTTCTCCATAATCTCTATTACATTTGAAACCCACTTTGCGCATCGCTATCGACTCGGATCAGATGATGAAAGCAAAACAAAAAAAACTTTCTTTCTGGTGATGATAAAATTATGTTTTGAATGAGTTGCAGTAAAGCGCACAATAGATATCACTTGAATGGTGCGAAAACTGAAGTTTATGTAAGATATGCACTCACTCTGTTGATAAGTTCTATCGAACCACAGTTGAATGTACTGAAAATCGATCATTATTATTTCTTTTATCAACGTTTCAACTTTGACGAGTCTTTCTTCTTTTTCTGCTATTCATTTCCATTAGGATTAGAGCAAAGTCAGCAAAATGTTTAATAAAAAATTCAAACATTCTTTCGAAATGTTCACACTTCGAAACTCAACGACGCTCCCAGTGATTTAATAATAAAGAAAAAAAAGTTTGTAATAGAAGAAATTAGTTAAATTAATTCAAAACATGCACAATACTATCACATCCACAAAGCGTGGTAGAAATGAGAAATAACTCGTATAATTTTCATACTCGTCAATCTATCGTGAAATATCAAGCTTTGCATAAAAAGCAAAGTTTGAAAATGTTCTCACACAATCTTTTGGTTTAATAGCTTCAACTGTGTGTCGTACTTCAGATTCTTGACTTTTGCATATTACAGTTCTTGAATGCTTAAAACAACTCAAAACTTTTATTCCCTCGTATTTACAGTAGTAGCTTGCTTTAAGACAAAACTTTATTTTTCAAAAAAGAAGAAAAGAAAAAAAAATTTGAGATCTACACACCCCACTATAACTTGCTTGTTGCTTCGTGTAGTTGAGTCGCTTACACACTGCTTGTGTTGCTGTTTTTTTTTTTCTTCTTGTTTTTGCTCCCAAAAAAGCTTGAAAACTGAAATGGCATAGTCAAGCCGGGTCTGAGTAGCGAGAGGTATAAAAAGCGAATGTAAGGCCGAGTTCAAATACAGTTGATGTTTAACGTTTAATGTGAATTGAAAAGTCTGCTGCTTTCAGTTTTAAAATAAAAGAGAAACGGATTGGATAAAAAGACTATTTTTTTCTAAAGAAAACATAAAAAGTGAAAAGAAAAATAACAGATTTTGAAGTGCAATAATTTATTTTATTGAGATTAAAATTAATTAAAAAAAATGAAACAAATCGTATTAGTGATCGCACTGTTCGGAGCCGGTAAGCATTAGGAAGTTACTTAAGAACGTGCATTTGAGCGAGAGAAATATTAATGAAATATTAATGAAGAAATTGATAAGAAATCTCGTGTTTGGAAATATTTAAGGAAGAAAAAAGTGTCAAGTTTATACCGTGCGATAAGAAGCGATGTCTTGTGAATATTAATTGAAATTAATTTTCACATCTTCGATGATTTTTATTCTCCCCTGCCAGAATTATCGACTGATATTTCAACAGAAAATTGCTACATGAAGATTTTAAAGGAAATCTTTCAACTTTCAATAAACTTCCCTTCCTAAACTCAATTTACATGGAAACGTGGTAGAAATCGTTATTTTCTGAATCTTCTCACTCGTTTCTTGATCATAAAGCGCTGAAAATTTTTGTTTGAATAGCTCGAAGAAGAGAAAAATTTTATAAATGTGAGTTTCATCGAGTAATAATTTCGGATTCATGTTTTTTCCTGTTTCTGCTTATCGGTGGGAAATTATCAATGAATAATATTTTAAGGCATCGTCTTATTCCAGTCACGTTTCTAATTACAAGAAAAATTAAAGATAATCCATATCTGTGCGAGAGTGAAATAGAGACGCTTATTCGTTCTCTTATCGTTTGATGATGATCTGTTGTTGTTCACATTCGTTAATAGACAGGCTCTTATGAACTTTCGTAATCCATAAATATCAAGAAGAAGCGACAAAAAAAAAGTATGCCATTTAAGACCTCAAAAGTTTTGATCAGTGATACTATTTAATTCATGATTGAATCCGAAAAAGAAAGAAAAATGTTTCTTTGTAAAAAGTTATAAAAAACCTTTTCTATGTTCTCCTTGATAAACATCAAATTATTAAAGCTCAAACGTAAAGTTTTCTTTTTACCGCAACAAAGTTTGAGACCATGAAAAGATTTTAATTTTTACTTTGTGAGATACTTCAAAGTTTTGACAAGATTTGTAAATGGTGAATGAACATGAAAGGATTAAACATTTTTATATTTTGTCAAACAAAAGAAACCTAAGAAAGGATCAAAGACTTAAAAATGAAAAGCTCAGGAAAGAGATTTATGTTAAAGATATATAAAAAATTTTAAATAGTTTCCCGTCTCTTTGAGTGATGACGAAGCATTAAAATGTAATCAGTGGAGAATCTTGAAGAAGTTTAGCATATGGCTGGCCAAAGATACTTAAAAACTCACTGCTAAGCTTAGAAAAGATTTTCTTTTGCACATGACTTTAAACAAGAACCATTAAGGATCTCTCACTCACTTCATATTGACTTCAGGCTTACAGATAATTAAACTATATTTAATTCCTCACATGCATATTTTAAGCTTATTTCGTACGACTAAGTTTTAATACGGTAAAAGTCGAAGAAAAACTATGAGAAAATATATTGGAAAAATAAGTTTTTCTCTTTTTCCTGCTTTTACTTTTGACAAATTGAAATATTGTTTGTATCAAATGATATTTACATTAACAACTTGCGCTAAATTTACTTCATTGTCGTTTCTCACAGTTTAAATAATTTATGATGAAACTAAATTAATTTAGTTTCCAGAGCAGAAGGAAAGTTCCTTTTTTGATAGTTGTTGAAAGAAGTTTTAGTCGCGATCAAATGTTGCTTTTAACAGCAGCTTTGCTCAAAACTGCACCATAAATTTTAATGTTACGTTTAAGTATCTTTTTCTAGCATCAAAATGAATGTAATTATGTATACTTTACAGTGTAAAGTGATACATTGTGATATGAGCCGTTTCTTAAAAAAAACAGACGACGTGAATGATGGAAAAATCTAATTGAGATAAATTTAATAATATTTCTAAAAGACGTAGCATAAAGCAGACATAATTTTACTTAATTGCATTTCGAGTGAGTGAGAAAGTAGAAATAAAATTAAATTTACTTTAGTTCAGCAAGATAAACGAAGAGGAGAATTTTTCTTCCTGTTTTTCTTGTTTATGTGTCATCATTGTGCAAATCTCAGAGAAGAAAATCGTTTGAAAATCTTGTCCTGCTCTCAAAACAATCTCCAGACATAAAGCAAAAGAAGCGATTTTCACGGTTTCGTGGTTCGTGAAGCTTTTGCTAGAAAACATTGTCATTTAGAGTAAAATCTCTCGAGACATTTATCTTTGTTTTTTTCGTCTACTAAATATTACACCCACACCTCAGAAAGTTTTGTAAATTGTGCTTGATTTGATGAATACGAGCTTAAAGTTATTGGTGTCGAGAACCACAGCAATTAAATTTATCTTCAGTATCTTTTTAAACTCGAGGTTTTTCCTTTTCCCCAGAGTAAAATAAAATCCTAGTGTGGAAACTTCTATGTGGTTTCTATCACACGCTTGCATTTGATTCTGAACTTTTAGTTTTGTGCAAAGATTATCTATGTTGAGAATAACTTTGAAACATCTTACAAATTCTCTAGCTCAAACCTCACACGAAACTTTTGTAAATTATCAATCGAAATTCAGCACAACTAAATCTCATGAAATGTTCCACAAACCGCAGTGACACATTTTGACACTTTTTATTCATTTTGTGTATAATTCCATCGTGTTTAGTTTGGAACACAATAATCTATCACGTTGTCGGTAGTTAAACTTAATTGAGATTTCTTTCATGATTATGAGCCATTCAATAAAAAATGAACTTTTTTAATTACAAAGAAACAGCAACAATGCAAAGATTAAATGCTTTCTTTTATTTAATTTTTTTGTTTTCTCCGTGAACACTTGAAAAGAAAAATTATAAATTAAAGGAAAAAAATATGAAAAGCTGGTTTTGCATACAAAAGAAACTTGAATGTTACTTTTTTCAACATAAAATTATTTAAGAGATTGAAATATGTAAGAATCAGTTTCACTTTTATTGTAAACCAGGTCTTAAGTGCAACTTGAATAATATTTCGAACAATTGATTCTGTAATTGCCTCTAGACGGAACACTTACAACTAACTCAGGTTGTGAGTGTGGGAAGAAGAAATACGGGAAATGCAGGAAAAATAATCATTTTCATTTCTATTTCAATACATTTGATTTCGGTTTTACCTTCAACTCGTTGGAATGCATGCTGTTGTTAACGTAATCAAACTAGAAGTAATGCCATTGCAAAAGCAATTTCAAGGAGTGAAAATGAGTCGTAAAGAGCTTGTTTTATTACCATTTCAAATTAATGTCTTTCATTTCGGCATTCAAGACGTACGCGTTAATTGTAGTTGGAATTTTTCACGGCATCATTGTTGTGATAACTGCATGTGATACAAAAATCGATTTTCTCACGTCAACAATGATGACTTTGCGAAGGGAGTTAATCAATTGCCATGAAGCTTAAACAGGCCTTATTAATTACCCAATTAACACGAAAGTAATAAAAATATTCGCATTGCGGCTAACGATACCGAAACCAATTTAGTCTTGTGATTCAAATTGTTTATCGACATTAAGCCTGGAAGAGAAAGAGAATAAATTATTCGCTAATGGATAGCTCGATAATTTTCTATTCATGTCAATTCATAACAATCGTTTTTTTAACAACTTCTATTAAAATGCTTTGTAACGTTGCCAATAAACCATAGTTTGCAGAAATCAAGATCACTTGCACACTGCAGTTAAAAACGACAGATGTAGCCTTTTGTTTCTTCGACTTAAGAAGTCAAGTATATTTGAAATGACATTGGAGCTGCCTTTGAATCCGACTGGGATAAAATATTTGACGTTGAAAATGTTCTTATTGTTCGAAATTCGCAATTACCTGTTTAAGATATTCTTCTTGTTTGATCTCGAGTCGTTTGTTTTCAAGTTTCTCATGACATTGGCATTTTCTTCATCGTGTTTCGTCTTCTTTTCTGAGCTTAACTGAACAGAAATATTTATTTAAGCCTCTGAAGCTGAATAGGTCAAAGCATTATTATTACTATTTTTCCTTACAAGGATTCTCTCGTGTTTCTCATTCTTTCATTTCTCACAATTGTTCTTGAAGTTTGATTGAGTTATAAATTTATCTTTCCATTCGTGCTCGTTGTGTTGCGGGCAAAAGAATGAATGAAGGAGAAGAAGGAGAAAAAATGAAAAAAGGGTTAAACGATCCAAGCATATTTGAGGAAAGAAGTAAAATTTTCAGTTAGAACGTGTTGGAATGTAATTGTTACACCCAAAGCTATCTTCAAAATGACGTGGATAAAAGGAAATTGACATGAATAAATGACATCATGTTTTCATGCTTACATATATTTAAAATCAATTTGTCTAAACTTTCATCAGTTATCGAAGCCTTTCAGTCAGCAAACACATCTTAGCTTAATCATTTTCTATTTGAAGGAGTGACAAATCCCCATCGACATTTAAATTTAATATTTTTGCTGAAATTTCAAATACCCACAAAAACACATAATTTCGATTACACAATTCAACATCGTCGAGCTTCTCTTTCTTCACTCTTCTATTTTACACTTTCTTCATCAGTAATTCAGTATGATGATGAAGAGAAAAAAAAAGTTTCATAAATTTTTATTTTTCTGTGTTTATAATACGAAAGATTGCGTAATCGGCTTTCTTTTGAATCTCGATCTCGAAGCTGAGTTTCTTTATAATTTTCATTAATCGGTGCTCGAAAGCTCGAGTGCTTGTTGTGCAGAAAAAAAATGTAATAAAAATAAAATTTCGTGTGGCAGAAGGAAATGAAAATTATAAGAAATTAAAATTAACTTTTTAATGTCTCGTTTGGTTTTTTACATTTCTTTCTTCTCTTAATAAAACTTTTTTTTCTCTTTTCTTTTTCTTTATTTTGGGTTAAAAATTTCTCCATGTTCATTGCTATAATGTGATCAATTAAACAGCGAAATATGAATTTTTCCCTTAATTCTGCTGTAACATGCAGACGGTTTAACAATTTACGAACTCGCAACAGACGACGACAATAAACGGCAATTGCGAGAGAGAATGAGCAAAGACAATACAAAAAAGCGAAGCTCAACGCCCGAAAAAGAAATCACTTTCACTTTCGAAGGTGCTTTTTGTTCCAATCGGTTTATATTTCAATACTTCGTTATTCAAATTGAACCGTGATGAAAGATTCCAACTTATGAAAAGCCTCAGAGACATTGCATCGACACTTTCGGAGAGCCCTCGAAAGCGTAATGAATGAACGGATGAATGAATGAATCATAAACTGACCACATTACATTACGTCGAATCGCTTTTTGGGTTTTGCTTTTGAAAATTTCACATAATCGTGCACTGGTTTTACATAATAAAGCCTATTAATAAACATTTAATGCTCTTTTTCGGTTGAGGGTCGTTTTGCAAACACGCGCCTCGGATGTGGATGGGAGGAAACTGAAAATTGAAAATTGTTGTGTTGCCTGCCCTCCATCCAGAAAATTCATCATTTAAATAGGCTTCTGGTTATTAACATATGTTTAAAAGCTATTCACATTTAAATGATGTTTCGTGATTATGTTTTTAAATGAATATTTTGTCCCTCATTCATTCGTTCCATGTTTTCATCTTTCTTCACATCGTTCAAACAATGAGCCGAGAAGAATTTTCCGCACCAACAACGTCGGTCCCCCTCAACATTATGCGAGAACGGGACATTTAAATGTGCAACAGATCAGCTTCATTATGCTGACGTTATTTTTGTTGTCGTTGCTTTCGCTCTGATTCGGCATAATTTTTAGACAACAGGAATTCGTTTGAGGGTTGTTTAAGGATGGTTGATGTGAAGTGATGACTTTCTGTTGAATTTGAAATTTTATGATGAAACAAATGCTTGAATAAAGTGCTTGTTGAGACTGTGGACGCTTGTTTCCTCAATTTTAAATACTTGTCTTTACAATACATTCACTTTTGTTCCCTTGAATGAATCGAAATAACAACAAATAGACAAATCATCTTTTACGTCTTTCAATTTGTTTACTCTTAAATCAAAATCAGCTTAGTTAATAAAAAAGAAAACGAATCTCATGAAATACAAAACACAAACAATTTCGAATGTCCATCACATTTAAAAACGAATTTATCAAAAAGTCATTTTACGAAACATTCGAGGTAAGTTAACGAGAAGCAAATCTTTCGTTGCTGTTGGTAAAAATTGTTTCTTTTAAGAATGAAGACAGTGGAGAAAGAAAATTAGTAAACACATCACGTAAAGGCACATGGCAATGTCAAACGTTCAGACAAACTGTTCCTTCAAATCAAGTTTTATTTTCACTGACTGCAAAATGACTCGTGTCGTTCACTATGCCTAAGATTTCCCTGTCTTTGGTGTATGAACGTCGTCATTCTTGGGTTGAAAAAAAATAAAAAGAAAAGCAGGCAAGGCAAGAAAATTTCTTTTCCAAGCTAGAAAATACAAAATGAAATGATTCAATTTTGTGTTTGAATTTTATTTTCTTTTTTATTCTTCTTCTTATTCTTCTCTCCGCTTCAATAGTGAAAAATTATCTTTCACGTTTCGGTCGGACGAGGGCTCAGGATGGAACGACAAAAAGGGCGTCTAATCTGGTGTTTTATCATTCTGCCGCCTTTTTTTCTCAGGCAATGATAGTGGCCAGAAAATCAATGATTTCACAAAAGTTATATCATAAATTACGAGCTTGAAAACAACACACAAAAAAATTACATTCAAAGTTTTTTTTTCTTCTCTTTTTCGAATTGAGGTGGGGAATTAGGGGGCACTTCAAGGTTCAGGTAGCAGGAACACGAAAATAAAACTCACCATTGACCTTGGGGGCGAAATGATTATGGAATGACATTTATAATTGAACCTGATTTGTTTGTGCTTGCTGAACAAGTTGAACAAATGGAAATCGAATCTTTAATGATAAAGCTTTTGGTGAATTGTAAGCTAGCGAATGTTGTCGACCTTTAATGTTTAATTAATGGCATTGAACTTTTAAATTATTCTTTCCATTCGCTTTTGGAGAGATAAAAAATTATTTGCTCCAATTAAATTTAAACAGCCATCGAAAATGGCATTTAGAAGATTTTCGTGTTTTGATATCTTGAAAAATGTTTGAATTGCAAAAAAAAGTGAATTGAAGAATCTTTAACATGTCACGTTTGGAAATATGTCAACTTGCTTGCTTTCCTTTCTCAACTTTAAAAAGTTTATGGCTTCAGAATATCAAGTTGAAGAAGGAGAGTAAACAGAAAATTGCCTTCCGCTTTACGGTGCAACAGCAAAGAATAAAATAAAATTCACATGTTGATACAAAGAATTGTGCTACATAGTAAATGGTATTATGCGACTGCACAAATATTGACACAAACAATTCTCTTCGTCTTTTCTCACTCTCCCTTTCAAACTAAATATTTTCCCATTCTTTCCCCATCATCTCGCTCGTGTCACACTATTTCGAGTAAATTATTTATCCTTCTTTTTTGCCTCTCGTTGTGCAACTATTTGCTTTTATTTCGTTCTGTTTTGTGTCACATTTTTCTCCCTCTTTAAGCTATAAAAAAGTTACAAAAAATCCTGCTGTTTCGTAGATAAATATTTGAGTAATCTTGTAAGTGCTTTCATTCGTTCGTTTTTGCAGGAAGTGAACTTCAAATGCGAACTGAAATGTATTTGCATGAAACATAAAATTCCTTATTTAAATATTATGCATAGATGCTAATGAATAACAGACTGTGAAGGGAAATAACAAAAAAAGAACTGGAAAGGTTATGAGAAGTTAAATTCACGCCAGGAAGAAAAAAAGTCTTGAATAAATTTCATCTTAAAAGTAACAAAAAGAAACTTTGACTAATTGTACAAAGAAATATTTTTTCTTGCGTTCAATTTCCTGAACAATAAATTTTTTGATTTGATGAAAAAGTTACAAACTATTCTAGAAGTCTTAATTATAGAATGAAAGTTGTAGCTTCAAGAGCAAATACTTAAGTGGAAGAAAAAGCTGAGAATGTGCTAATTAACTGAGTTTCAAGGTTTCATCTTGCTTCGTTTGTATTGAAATTAATACAACTTTCACTTTAAATCACCTCAGATATTTCATCATCTCAACTGTTGCCATCTCAGAAGACTTTCTGAAGTTGTTTTAGTTTCACTCTTTTCTGCATACATGAAAATCTGATTGTTGTCGAATGACTTAATTCACACAACCTTGAAAGGCACTCAATGTCTTGCTGTTACCTTCAAACATTAAATGATGATGAATTTGCAAATCTTTATTCTCATTCTGAAATCTTTCCATCATTTCATTTTCGTCAGAATTTAGTCATAGACAGTAAATCATTCTTAAAACAAGGTTAGATGTTGAGATATCTGAGTAAAATATTTTGCAAACGTGCATCACTCAAACCTTCTTCTCTGACTTCTGAAGACAATGCAACGTAGCATGAAGTAAGTTAAAATTACGAACATATATTTTTTTTATCGTCTCAGCACAGTTCGTTGAAAGATTATTTCACGAGAATTTTGTTTTGTTTTAACTTTATTCAAGTTTTTCCTTGAAAGCCTTGTGCACGCTATTGAAGAGTCATGCAGAACGTTTTATCTCCTTTTATTTCTTAACAGAAGAATGAATACTGCTGGCGAAAGGTTACAAAATCCGAAGCTGCTTTTATTTTATTTTTCATCTCGTTGTTGTCAAGCATTAATATTTGTACGAGGCTTTGATTTTAACCAGATTAACATTAATAAATTCTGCCATTTTATGATTGTTAATTAAAAATTCATTTTCTCACCAAAAAAATGCGGGAAAAAACGCGAAAAAACCTGCGATTATATAATGTGGGTTAGTAGTGTTAAAACCACCACCAAGTGCCATACAAAAGAAGCAAGACCAGTTTCGTGTAACGTAATCTTTCCATACAGTTTCATTTGTTGCCGTTTGGTTTTGTTTCACTTTTTGTTATTTTTATTTCTCTTTTTCTCTTGAACCTGTTTTATATTCCGAAAAAGCGACGACAAAATGTCGACAACAACTTCGAATCTATTGAGTAATCAATGAATCTCTTACGACTCATGCATGGATGTTATTTAAACAAATATTTACCGCTTGTTTTCTATTTTTTTTACGTTCGACATTTTCATTTTCATCTCAATTTCACTTTTTTTTTGACGTTTCGTTAATACAAAGTGTACAAGTTGACGGGATCAGTAAAATTATTCAACACATTTGACGTTCGTTTATTTGAAGATAGCGATGAGAATGAGTGAAGGAAAACATGACAAAATCAGTCGAGAATCTTCGAAGAATGAACACGAGGTCATCTTCTACGTTTCTTCAGTAGAATCGAGAATAAATATCTAACTAAACCCTAAGCTTTATCATAACAACAAAACAAAAATGATTCAATCCTAATGTGTTTATCTGTTTTATTGGCCCAAGCTTCGAGAATTTTTTCGGTCGACTTTGTCTTGTAAGAATTATTCATCATTCTTTTTTAAAGAGATGAAAATATCTCGCATATTGAATGTATCAATGTCGCATGATGTGACAATAAAAAAGAAGAATTCTAGACAATTCAGAGATCACAAAAAATATTTTGAATTGATTTACATAAGAATAACATAAAACCAATTTTCGATCCTTTCCATGGAAAATAAATATTTTGTTTATCAGATGGAATGTTTTAAGGTTTTCGCTAGAAGTCTTGTGTTGATAGTTTTGCATAAATAATTTAATGATGCTTAGTATTGACCTTAGTATTTAGATGAGCTTCTTTAATAGTGATTCACAGCCACCTGATTTAGAATTCTAAGTTTGAGTCATCAATGCTGTCAATAACAGTAATCTACGGTTGAAAGAAGTCTGGACTTTTCTCTTATGATCCCTTGAGGAAATAAAACTTTTAAAGAAAAGAGAAGACGACATGAGAGTGTTCTTAAAGGAAGAATCTCCAAACGCCAAATGTGCCCGAAAGCAACATCAAAAATTTATGAAACCGATACACCGCGTAATGTATTTATTTATCGTGACGTTTTCAAGCGGCAGCGACAGTAGAAAAGAGCTTTACGACAATGTCAAACGAAAATCTGAACCTTCCGATCATAAACATTCATCCATCCCCTTGTCAATACCGTAACTTTTCGCAACAAAATCTAAAGCTTGCTTTACTACGAGAGATTAATTTCATAATTCCTCTCGTTTTATTTTATGATCTTGTCTATGAAAATCCCTTTTCACTTGATCACCATTAGTGAATTACTATTTTAATGCTCATCTCGTTTCGAAGTTTGTTCATTTCATCTTCATATCGAAAATAGAAAAGCAATCTATTAAGATGTAAAGTTTACTCCGTAGCTGCATTGCATAATGTACAATTTTATGTTTTCGCATAAATTCAAGAGAAGAGTCGAGAAGCGTGGAAGTGTTATTCATGATATTTTATCGAAATCAATCCACCCCATACCGCTGGTTTATTTATGAGTGGAATTGAAGAAAATATTAAAAAGCAGCTAGTCGGGTGATAGGGAAAAGTTATGGGATTCTTCCCGAGCAACTTTTATTACATCACGTTCGCGTAACTTATAAAGTTTAATGATATGTTATTATGGAATATTTTGCGATTTTTGCTTTTCCCGCAAATTTCATCGTTATCCATTCATTCCCGAATGAATCAAAGAAAGATGAAGAAAAAGAAGATGAAGGAGAAGAAGAAGGAAAATAAATAAATAAAAATGAATACAAAACGCATAAATATTCTCGTAAACATGATAAGCCTGACTGGTCATAAAATCATGTTTTCTGGTTTTTTTTTCACTCTCACGACACGACTTTTATCTGGCGCAAGGTCAAGGATTATCGTTTTGCGTGTGTGTCTGTCATTACAATGCACGCATTGCTAAATGTTCAGCTTTGTACAATGTTCACTGGTAGAATCGCTTTCCTCTTAATTAATCATTATGTCATATCATTTATGGGTTATTTTCTTCCTCCGAGTTTAGCAACAAAATTTACTTTTAGTCTCGTGTTAGGATTAGAATTCTGCTTATAGCAAAGATGAAATGCTTAAGAATTCTTTTCTCATCTTTCGTTATTTGCTATATCAACATACATGAGTCATTCACCAGACCCCGAAACCAATTATTTCTGCTGTGATGATAAGCTTTTTGAGCTGTTTCTTAAGTAGAATAGAGAAAGCAAATTTTGCTGCTTTTACTTTTTTCTTTCGTTATGTCGTACATACAAATCCAGACAATTAATTTTCTGTTGTTAAATATGTGAAACTTTTTGAGATGAAGAGAATGAAGTTGAACAAAGTTTAAGTTTAAATAAATAAAGAAAGAAGGAGAAGAAATCCTTTCCATCATTCGCTCAGCATTCAGTGTGTGCAGTGAAATCTTCAATGATACTATCAACTCATAACAATCTCTTTTAACCTTATGATTGACGACAACGTCAGACCTTCTTTTAAGAGTTGAAACTCAAATCATAACTCTCAGATCTGGTGTTAAGTGAGAGAGCGGAACATGATTTAATCGCAAGAAAAACTTTTTAACATCACTTTCCCAATATTTTTATGGTTTAAGTTTTTCGTTTTTCTTTTTCTTTTTATTACAGTTTTGCTCTCGCTCAAATGATTTTGCAATGTAAATGCTTTTGGCATTGAATTTATCTCATGTCAATTTATCTCATGCCTTTTATTTATTATTTTATTACAGCAATGGCCCAAGAAAACTTCAAATGCCCTGACGATTATGGATTCTATCCACATCACATATCATGCGACAAATATTGGAAGTGTGATAACGGCATTGCCGAATTGAAAACATGCGGAAATGGCTTAGCATTCGACGCCACCGATTCAAAATATCTGTCGGAGAATTGCGATTATCATCATAATGTCGAGTGCGGCGACCGCACCCAATTTGGTAAATATATAAATTTAGATATGTACATAAATATCTACGTGAAGTAACAGTAGATATTTATTTGTTTCTGCTTTATTTCTGCCATGTTACAAATATGTGTTATGCATTCATAACATTCTTTTTCGTCGAATGCTATTAAGTAAGCAGCACGATGTTGCGATGTGTCTGATGTTGTTGGTGGGCTGATTGTCGTAAGGGAGTTGATGGCATTCCATAACAAAAAATAAAACTATAATGCATTTTTAACTTGAAAGCACTCAAAGCACAGCTTAGCTTTATTTTTATTCTCTCCTTTATTCTAATTGAAAGCATTCTTTTCCATGCAATTCAAAGCAATTTGTTTGCAAAGTAAGAAGACTCCATTATGGATTCATATTCATGGCAAATATAATCACACTCAATGACGACAAACACAACCAACATTCTGTTTTTTTATTTTTCACTTACTGCCTTCCATTTAACTGCTCCTTTCATCATCATGTATATGTATGAAAAATGATTATGATGATTTATGCTGAAGAAAAGATGATAAAGGAAAGTCTAGGATGCTTCACTAGCTGCAAAGGGATGCAGAAGCTCGACTGAACAGAAGAAGAGAAGACAGAGACTTGTATTATTCATAAATGGCCATTTGCTCGTGCCTTTTGTTTATGTGTTTATTAGTGTTTGCTTATTTATATGACTAAATCACCCTAGCCATAAAGATGTTATGAAAGCTTAATGTGAGAGTGATTTAGATTAAAATCTTTGCCTCTCTCCCTTTGGGACAAAGAGCCCTTAGCACTTCGAATTAATCGGGATTTTCTAGTTGATTAGATTTTCTCTGATTGATGCAATCTTGATATGATTGTTCAATATGAATTACACTCGATTAATTCATTAACATTTCGTGATACTTATCAAAAGTAAATAATTCAGTAGAGCTGTTGAAACAGCGGGTGGTTAAACTAGCAATCTTTAATAACATGTCTAGCAAGCATTCAATAGTTCAATCACCTTTCTGGTGTTAATATTTCAGTTTTTTACTCCCTCATGTTTCAATGAAACGATTTTACTTTCAAAAACTATTAACGATTGTGAGCTTTTAAATTATTGTTGTTGTTTCTTAAGAAATGTTTTATGAAACACAAAATTGACTCATAAATGACTCAAATTGATTTTCATGATAATAAAAGAAAAAAACGATTAAAATTCTTTGACATTAGCTGAAGTCAATAAATGACTTCAAGAGTTCTTAATAATGTCAATTTAGAAAATAAAGTGCTTTATTAAATCAGTACACAACAACTCATACCAGATGTTGTAAGATACTCCGAAAAATTTCAAAGGAACAGAAAAGTGGGCCAACAGCTACAGTCAGAGTCACAAACAACAAAAAACCAATTTATTTCTTCACTATATAATTTATTGGTGTTTTTGTGCGCCTTTTAATGAGTAGTTTCGTTCGTAAAGTTATTAAATCATTTTTTATTAACTTTCGTTCTTTTATTTTCTTCTATTTTCGGACACAAATATTTTCTATTTAATTGATTAACAGCTATTTTCCACTTTTGCCTTTGCTTTATGCGAAAGTCCCAAAAGAGAGCAGAAAGAAATTTATTTTCAAGCATTGCAAGGCACGAGGCTGGAATGATTCAAAGGCAGTCGCGCGCTCGTCCTACCATAATAAGTGTTATAAATTAATATTCACGCAGAGGGTATTAAACAGTTTAAGTGCTCACATTTTTAACGTCATAAATAACATTAAAAATGTGGCCCCGACGAGCCATTAATTAATAAATATTTTTTTTAATTCAATTAGCTTACAATAGGCGACTTTACTCTGCTAAAGAACATTATTACAAATTCATTTTCCTCTATGTAAATTTATCATTCACTTGAACAACGGCACTCTAAAGCCACTAAAGCTCTTTTAAGCTTACAAATGCAAGCCAACAACAGCGTCCACGTCTATGACTTTTTTTTTGTTATCAAATGCATTTACAGCAACATAAATATTGTAAACAGTTTTATAGAAAACTTTTAAATGGACTCTCGAGAGTATGTCGACAGTGTTCCAGATTTTCCATTACATTAACATTATAATTTATATTTTTGGACATAAATTTTTCAATCAAATATTTGTTTCCTTTTCCATTATAGAACCAGCAATTTCAACTGCTCACTGTCCCCGTTTGTACGGCATCTTTGCTGATGAAGCTAAATGCGATGTTTTCTGGAACTGTTGGAACGGTGAAGCTTCAAGATATCAATGTTCACCTGGATTAGCTTACGATCGTGAAGCTCGTGTCTGTATGTGGGCTGATCAAGTGCCAGAATGCAAAAATGAAGGTTTGTTTAGTGATCTTTGTAAATAATAATAAGAAATGAAATTAATTATTCATATTCAGAGGTTGCAAATGGATTCGCATGCCCTGCTGCTGGAGAAATCACAAATGCCGGATCATTCTCAAGACACGCTCATCCAGAAGATTGCAGAAAATACTACATTTGCCTTGAAGGTGTTGCCCGTGAATACGGATGTCCAATCGGAACCGTCTTCAAGATTGGTGATGCTGATGGTTCAGGAAACTGTGAAGATCCAGAAGATGTTCCCGGATGGTAAGTTGCAACATCTTCCTGAATGAGAATGAGTTTAAACTTATTTGACTTGCTAATTGAACACTGAAAATATTTAACATAATTTGAGTGATGTTTTCATAACATAAATATATACAAATATACCATAACCCACTCCAGATAGTTTGGTAAACATAGACGAATCACATATCTCACACCTCAAATCATCACACACCTTTTACAATTCATAATTCACAATCTCATCCACCCACATCCCTAAATTTCTTCAAATAATTTTGGTTTCACTCGAATCTCATTTTTAACCACATTTTTATCTATTTTCTCTTCTACTTCTAACCATTCAACAACAAATTGAAACGACAAATAACAGCGAAGACTATTATGGAGACCTCGACTTGAAAAGCATCAGAAAGAGTGAACTCTTGGCCGGCTTGGCAAATGCTGACAGCCGTGGTAATGCCGCTATCGCGAAAACCAAAAAGAAGAACGAATAAATCTCATGAAGAAATCTTTATTAGCGTCTAGATTCTTTAACAATTCATACTTTTCCCTCTCGACAATAAATTTCATACTTTATCGGAATCATGAAGAAAAGAAAAAAATTCATTTTTATTATAAATTTATACAACAATTTTTGATTAGGTACTCGAACAGATCTGTAAATTATTTTTCCCATTTTAATGAGAATATCCACCTTCTATCTATTCTTTCACTCTATCTCTCTCTCCCATACCTCCCCCACTTATTTACTTACTTAGAACCATTTATAATTTTAATTAGATTTTAATTTTTTGTCTTTAAATGTGCGCGAAAAAGCCTTAATGTTAATTAAAATCTCTTCTTTTACTCCGAAAAAACCCCTCACCTCTCCCACCCACTCTTTTTTTTCATCCCGCCCCATTAAATAGACTGTTAAAATAATTCGCCTTAAAGCATTAAGCAAATCGTTCGTTGTACGTTTTCACTCTTTGTGAGAAATATTTTTCGAAATAAAACAAAAAACGAGTTGAAATTTCTGTTTTTTCTACTGTTGAGTGAAAATTAAATGAAAAGACAAAAGAAATGAAAATTTTTTAAATCCACATGAAGCTTTTATACACTTCTTCAATAATCTTTATTTGTTAAGTCGAGCGTTCTAAGCGACAAAAAACATTTTTTTTTCATATTTCCATCAACAAAGAACATTTTTATAAAACCATTTTCAACATCGCTTTTTTGTAATGTTTTTTCAAAAGCGACATTTAACCCGAAAAAGAAAACAGAGATAGAAAAGAAAAATCACAAATTGTAAAAAAGACTAAAAAATTAAATAAAAGTAGGAAAAAAACTATAAAACAAATTAAATCTTCTGACTTTCATAAACTTTTCTCTTCGTATTTGAAACGGAACAAAGCCTTTTGTGCCCTTAAAGCGGATTAACTCTGATAACAGCATGAAAAAAAAAGAAAAGTTTCATGAGCTCTTACATTTGTAGCTTTTTGTTCCGGGAAATCTTTTTTTATTATTTCAAAACTTTGGCTATGTTCTTAAGGCGAGACCACAGATTGTGTCTTCGTGATAGCTAAAGATGTACAAGATTGACGACCGACGTGACTGACTGGACGGAGAACTCCCAACTTCAAGTAAATGTCTACAGGAAGACAAAAGAAAGTTATACATTTTATTGTTAGAGAAATATGAAAAATCGCTTTCCGTTTTATCGCATTTTCATGTTTCTCTCAACTCTATTGTACGATGACGAGGCGACGAATGAGAAGAAATTTCTTATTAATAAATTGAAAAGCATTCAATACCTTATCGGCTTTGAACTACAACTTAGATCTTAACATATTTTTCATCATATTTTCGTATATTCATAAGTATAACAACATCACAAATAAGGCAAGCAAGCAACAACAAAAAGAAAGAAGAGGGAAAGCTTTGAAGCAGAGGGAGTGAAAATGAATTTGGAGGCAAAACGATAAAAGAAAATATTGCATGATATGTTTTTCCTTTTGCATGAGATAATTTTCTTTCTCTCTTTTTTTTCTTTATCTTCCCTTTTGACACATAAGCTCTATCATCATTAAATTATATTTCCAAGCTATTATTGCAATTCATTTTTCATGTCTTCAGCTTTTGCTTGTGTCTTCTTTGATATAAAAGAAAAGAGAGGAAAAAAAAGAAATGCTTTTGTTTTATGACAACTTTTGACAATTCATGCTATAGCGAAGAAGTGAGATGAGAAGACAAAGAATAACAGAAAGTTCATTTCTTTTTGGTTGCTTTCGTTGCTTCGTGTTCTCTTGAATGAAATAAAAAAAAAGTTGTTGCTTTTAAATGTCGCAATTGTTCAACGCAAACACGAAAGAGCAACAGACAAGTTTCTCGTTCTTTTCTTTTGAGAATTCAAAGTAAATGAAATTACACAAAAATAAATGTGCACTATAAGTTGGAGAAAGCGAGTGAATCACTACTAGCTTTATGAAATGTAAGGAAACTTTTCCTCCAACGACACTCTATGACTGGCTGAACTGAGGGAAATTTATTACTGACGGTACATTTTCTACTTTTCTTAAACACTGCTCATAATTTCTTTTCTTATTATTTTTTTCAATTTTTCATATTTTACTTGGTGCTAACAATTCACATTAAGAGAAAATGTATAAACTTAAATAAAATGTTTTGATAAGCGACAGGAGACATTTTACGAAATGTACTTTTTCATGTTGTGAAAATTGCAGCGAAAATGAAGAAAGCCAAGAAATAGGAAATGGAAAACGTAGATAAAATTGTGTAGAATGTGTGTGTTGATGCTTCAAAATATTTAACGCAATCAATCATAAGAACAGTAACAGCATGAGCAGCGTAAAGAGCAACTTGATTTGCATGGAATGGACGACGAGGATTCTACATTTATTTTATCGTTGTTCATCGTAATTTTCTTGTTTCCTGATTCTTCATTTTCTCTTTTTTCATAATTTTCGTAAATATTTTACAACTTTCTCACATTTTTATATTTTTTTTCTTTTTTTAACAATTCACAATAAACGTAAATGCAAACAGCGAGGACTACTATGGCGATGTCGATCTTAAGAACCTGAAAAAGTTGGGTCTCTAAAGAACTTTCTCACTTTCATCGTTCAGGATGAAAATGTTTTTACTTTTTATACCAAACTTGGTAAACATCAGATGTAAATATTTAAATTTTCTTTTATAATTGCCACATAAATAAAAGAACTTTTTTACCAAATAAATGGAAATAATATGCGTTTTAAATCTCAATTCCACAAAATTTAACTAAATTATCCTTTTTTTCAGCTTTTCACAAACTTCCGCAGCTAAAAGCTTTGTGTATTCATTTTTCTTCCCTTCCTTCCACGTTGTTTTTATCAGAGAAAAGAGGGAAAGAGTAAGTGGCGGAAAAGCTTTGACTGGCTTTGGCTATAATAAAAGCGTCATCATAAACCATTTCATTTTTTCTTCCTTTCTTTTTTGCTTATTTTCCAAGGAATTTAATTGCATCTTTATTCGCCACATCTTTCTTTCCTCTTCTGAGTTCATTTCAGTCCCACATCATAATCGTTTTAATGTGCCTTTTGTTTTTCTCTTAACTCTCAGCTGCTTTCACACTTAATTTAATCGAATACTTTTTGTTCTTTCTTCCTGTTCGTCGATCTTTAAATGCGTTGTTTTTTCCCGGCCTTTGTTGATAAAAAGTTTTCTTCGTAAAGTTTTCAATTTACATAAAAGGGTTTTTGGTTAAGTTGAGTTGTTTTAGGAGAGAAAAAGAAGAAGAAAGTTTAGAAGAAAGAAAAATTGCTTATAATCAGCAACTCTGAAGAATGGTCTTAATTTTATACTGGAGAACCTTTTAATCCTAGATAAAACACTCAAAGATTGCTCATTTTGCTTGCTTTCTATCTCACAATTCCAATAATTCAAAAACTTTTTCTTCTTTTTCTTTCCTTTTCTTCGATCAACAGATGAAAACATTTCAGCAACTTGTTAGGAAATTTTACATTTCAACCAGGATGATAAGCAACATTTGAGTTTTTTCCATTCTCATTCCAGTCACTCACAAAATGAAAAAGCTTCTTCATCTAGTTCATTTAGATTTTTTTTTTGCGTTCGTTGCCACAATTCACGAATCATTTTGTTTTTCTTTCATTCTCGTTTTCCATTAAGTACAGATATTTTGTTGAAGGAAAAATAAGTTAGCTGCGTTACTTCTTGGTATTACAACTTATTCGACTAAGGTTGGCGCGGGCGGAACCTTCAATTTTATTCAACCATATGTTTATCGTGCAGGAGGTTTTTGAAAGAAAATGTCTATCGTCTGAAGTCACCTTTCTCTTTAACTTTCCCCTTCCCGGAAGAAATAGGAAAGCAACACGCATTTTATATTTCTTTATTATTTATTTTATTGTCTCGTTTACCTGGTTTGTGCGAGAAATTTCCCCAACATATTCTTAACACCATATTCCACAACGCATTGAATATTATACCCAATGTGATCGTTACCATCGCCCTTTTTTCGATTCGAGAAAGTCAAAATAATATATCGAAATAGAAGCAATAAAAAATACTTTTTTTCCTTCACATATTTTTATATTCACGTTTCTATCGAAAATTATGATGAAACACGATGAAACAATTTCGTAGAGCGGTGAATAAATTTTTTTGTGCGAAAAATTTCAACGAGCAACGAAATTGTTTGGCGTATTTCGGGTTGCATATGTTCGAGGGAATAATTTTTGTTATCATCGAATGGAAGTTTTGAGAAAACTTTTTTTTTATAGCAAATGTTCGCTTTAACAGGCTGCTAATAGGTATTCAATCCAATTGCAAATTTAATCTACAAATCAAAAGAAAAAAAAGGGTTGACATATGCGAAAATTGCTTTTTCATCGAAGCGATTGAAGCTGAAATTCCTTCAGATAAATTTAAGACGAAAATCGACAAAGCTTTTGAAAAACAAAATAAAAGAATAAAAGAATGGATGAAAAACACAACCTTACGTTCTCAAATTATTTCTTTTAATATTTTATAACCACTTTGAAAATAAAAAGATCCATTATCTGATTACATCAAGCTCATCCTTTTCCTTCTTTCCTTTTAAAAAATTTAAGGTTTGAATTATGAGAAAATTAAAATTAAAATGTTTCCTCTTTCTTCCACTTTCAGGCAGTTAGAATGACAGAAGCAAGAAAAAGTTTTCAATGAAACATTGTTAAGTAAAGTAAGAAGCCCACCATAAAAAGGACACAACTTTTGTTTTAGATTGAAGAGCTTTCTTTCTTTTTTCTTTTTCTTTAACTTGAGAGAACGAAAAAGAAATTAATTACAGTGCTTAGGGAGAAACATAGTGATTTTTCCGTCCTCAACGGTAATTATTAATAAAAATGCCATCCTATTATGAATTTTTAATTAGAAAGGCTTCTATCACTTTACCTTTAAAGGAAAGGAGTGCTGTAAGCTTTTCTATTATCGCTCAAAATTGTTGTTAAGAAGAAAATGTGAAAGAAATATTTCTGATGGAAAAGTTCGTCTTCATTGAAAACCTTTTTCTGAAAGCTTCTAGCTGGCGTATGAATTGCAGTGAAATTTGCCAACAACGGGATATTGCCTTTATCAAATAAATGTTCTTTCCTTATTACACATATCCGCTTTGTGAAGAGAAGTTTCAAAAGCAGACAAGTGAAAGAAGAGGAAAAAATGTTGAATAAGAATGAATTGTTGATACTTACAACTCAAACTAAGTAATACTTTCCCATGCATATCTAAGCATCGTGAATGTGAAGATTTCAAGAACCAATTTCTTGTTGAGTTGAGAACTCATGAGTGAAGTTTCATTCAAGGTTTCTCATGTTTGCGTTTGTATTTGTTCACTTCTTCTATAGAGACACTTAAAATATGTATTATTAAAATGTAATAGCATGAAATGCTGAATGAAGGAAAAGAAAATTTTATTGATAATTAATTAAACATTTTTTATGATAAATAAATTCAATTCTACCTCAGTACTTGCGTGAAATTCCTAAATTGCTTTTTCGCTTCCATTTACCTCAAGATTGATAAGATAGGGAAGAAAAAAGTTCAAAAGAATCTGAAAAGGGAGTAACTTGTCAATTATGACAAGCTATAAAGACTCAAGATGAACATTTTGAGGCATTCATCTCCTGCTTTATTTTTTTCTTTGAAAACTTTTCTTTCTTTCCTAAATTGAAATGTTACGATACCGAGTACTGTTTAGGGACGTCGACAAATCTGCTTTTAATGTCGTAAAATGTAAATATTCGTCGGAGAAAGAAACTGTATGTTCGATCAAAATCTGCTGATCTGGTGCGCAAATATTTGCTCAAGCTTCTTGATAAAAGAAATGCCATTAATTCACATGACCGATTTACGATTTATCGCTTACAAGTAGAAACGATTCTTTCTTTTTCTTCTCATTCCTCACCATCTTTGCTTCTTAAATGATGAATTATCATGACTTTATTTGATTTGATGGTATCTCTCATAATGATTTTTTCATGTTTCTTCCTTCAACGACAGCTAGCTAAACCTAAATAAAATACATAAACAGATTGTGAGAACTTTCATCTTGATAATTTCATTTCGCTGCTCAAGTAAGCAAGCAATAAAATTATGTTTATTTTATCGGAAACAAAAAATGTTTGAATTTATTGAGTGATTTTTACTAAGAATGGATTTAGGAAGATTAGGCAATGAACCAGGAAATTTATGTTCGCTCAAAGGGAGAGCTTACAAGTAACATCAATTTGCTTGAAGGTGGTTGACGATTTGATCTCATATCGCAGACGAGTTACTTACAGTTTTACATAGCGGTTGGTAGATTAAGGCTCAACATGTCATGTTTCTTTCTTAAGTCTTTTGATAAAAATCCGGCACTTCTTCGTTACAAATTAACTTCGCATTTTTCATCGCAAGTCTTGCAAATTTTTATTTTATTTTATTTTTCAAAGAAAAACGTTTCTTTCAAATTTTCTTGCAAATTTAAGATTCAAAAAGCACTTTTCAACTTCCTTCTAGAAGAAATAAAGAAATACGAATTAATGATTTCACTTTACCTCCACTTTCTTCTTTGAATTATGCATATACACTTGAGCTCAGCATATTGTAAGTAATTTCATTTCTCCGTTGTAATAAATTCAGCAAACTTCGCTTCATGGAAGGCGAAAAAATAGAAAGAAAAAAATTCAAATTTTATTTAAATAAAAATCATGGCAGTGTAATATTTTCCAATATTAAATTTATTTTGTGAAGGGAACGAGAGCGAACGAATATATTGCCGTGATGGAAAATCGATTGAGCTCGACTCACTGTAGTTCGACTTAAACTTTTCTTTCTACATCAACTGATATATTAATGCAAAACATGTTAATGCTAACAAAGTATCCAAATGGGGTTTGTATCTGAAATGGGTAAAAAAATTGATTCGCGAAAGCTTAATTTATAATCTGACGTTTTTATTCTCATCGTTTCGTAAAAGCAGAAGTATGTACCAGCAGTGGCAGAAGCAGAAAAAAAATTAAAATTCATCATGAACTTTTTTTATTCAAATTACTTCACGGTGCTCACTTTGGGCCCCGACTCGTGTCAAGTAAATATGACGTGAGCTTCAAGCTATATTGAAAAATTATTGTAATGAAGTTAAGCAAAATTTGTAACAAGATTTTTCTGCAAATTTTTTATTTTTTGCTTTTTTTTTTCTCTTGGATCATGTTTTAGAAATTTCTCAGATTTCCAATGAGAATTTTTATCTCTTGTGTCAATTGAAACGAAATTTAAAAGCTATACACGAAAACTTGAAGCTTTAAAATGAAATTTTTATGTTATTTTTACGAGTTGTATTTATTGCTTAAAGCGGACAAAATACTCTCACTCTAAGTTCGTCATTTTAATCACAAAACATCATCATCTAAGTGCAGATAATTTCTGTTGCGAAGAAACAAAAAAAAAGTCAGAAAGTCAAATTTTATGAGTGGCCATAACAACAAGAAAAAAAAGACGGAGGAGATTTAAGGGAAGAAATATAATAAGAAGGAGAAAAGCTTTTCACTCATCTTATGACAATGAAAGACACTAGCAAGTGTACCATTTGCTGATGCTACAGAAAAGAAAATATTCCAATTCACATCTACTTACATAAGATGGAGATGATGTGTTATCTTAGTTCCCTTGAGTGGGCAGCATTGTTGGAAAATAAAATGCGGATTGATTAACTTTCTGAGATATCTCATGAAGTAAATAGAAGTACTTACATACTTTGATACTACGCATTTTGATAAGATTTTTGCCTTAAAGTGACAATTCTGGGCTGTTCATTCTTCGTTAGATTTTTTAGGATTTTTGGAAGATATTCAGAAAATTATTTTATATCTTTATCAAACTTTTTGTTTACATGCACTTTAATTAATTAGACTTTCGAAACTATTTACAAGATTATTTTACCTCAATGAATAGAATCCAAATGACCAAATTGAAAAAAATCTTAAATTGTTTTTCACGATCATGTCTGGAAATAAAAATGCATTCCGTTTTATTGAAATTAGTTTAAAAGCCATTAGATAAGTGCTGCAATATTATTATTATTAGTTGAAGCTATTGAAATTTTGTAGTGTAACAATAGTCAAATATTATATCTGCGAGCGGTTTCTGACGGTATCATAGTAACCTCTAAACGACACATAGATAAATGTATTGAAAAGTTATGACGACATTAAAATATTGATAAAAGTGTAAATTTTTTTCAATTATGAAGAATTTGAACCCAAAGCTATCATAAATCATTTTCTTTGAATAAAGCTGATCTCTAAGTGATGTTTGATGTTAACGCATTCAGTTTAGTACTCAATTGACAATTCTATTAAATATTTAAGTTTAATTTTATTTGAAATCATCAAAGTTTCAGTAAACACTTCGAAGAAGGATCAAAAAAGGATTTTTGGTGAAAAATAGCAACAAAATGAAAGACGAATTTTGAAATAAAAAATCCCCGGAATCAGCTTTGTCAGTGCGTTTATTTCATTGCTTCTTTTTTAAGCTCATGAAGCAGTAAGCGGCAAGTAAAAAGAGTGAAACAGAACATATTAAATACCTACATGATTTACTCCACAATAAAAATGTCTTGAATAACTCATTTTTCTGACAACTTTAAATTCTTCCACCTGCATGCATGTAGAGGCATAAAGCCATAATCATTTCAATTATACCTTAAACCAAATTTTTGTGGTCAATGTTTAAGCATTTTTTTCATTTCTTTTTTTGTTCTCATATCTATGTGAAGGAAAAGCCACTTTTTGTGTGAGAAAGTACAGGTGAAAGAAGGTAGGATGGAGTATTTCATGGCAACAAAGATGGAGTGGGAAAAAGAATGTTTCATAATTAGTAGCTTGATTTATGGCCACAACAGTGGAATAAATTTTGCAGAAAGAGCAAAGCAGCATTAAAAATTATGTTTAAAATGTACACTCTGTGCACTAGATGAGGGACTAATAAAGTAATTAAGAATTCATCTGTGCTTGGATTCCATGCTAACCTACCCAGGTCTTGTGTAATGTTCTAGAGAGGATATGATTTGAATAATTTATAGATGAAATATTTTTAATCTTATGTTGCTATTTATATTTAGTTTTGCAAGGATTCAAGATTTCCTTCGGAGATTTGAAGAATTAAAACTTTGTTAAGTATGATGTTGGAACATAAAAGCGACATTTCGCTTCTTTTTTTTATTTTGCTCGCCACCGTCGCTTATTTATGTCCCTGATTAAATACATAACACCGCAGTTAATACAACAAATAAACACATGATTATATGCCTTAGCCGTTTAGCAATAACACAGCTTTGGGGCGTATAATAATCTTATGCGTAGGAATCTGCCAGAAAAATTTTGTTTTTGCGTGCACGTCATAATTGATTCATTGTTAAGCTCGTAAATCAAACGCACAATTTAAACGTTTCATTGCAGAAAAGCCGCTAAGCTTTCTCCATACATTTCCATTCTTTCGAACATAATTTAAAAATATGGCGTTTCTTTCCATTCTTTTTACTAGTTGCTTCTTCCACCTCTCGCCGCAAAATAAAATAAAAAAAGAAAAAAGAAAGAAAATTCTTCTTCTCTTGGTTCTAAAAATTTATGACAAGATTTTTTTTTATTCCCTTTCATTGAAAGTGTATTGTTACGGCTTTTCACCTCTCAGGAATTTCTTGCGTTATTTCACGCTGTTGAATTCTAACAAATGTAACGATAATAAAATGAAAATCTTTTGTGTGAACTGCGAAAGGCTATGCTGCGATTGCGAAATAACTTTCATATTACCATAATTTATGTAGAATACTTATGGGACATCGAAGGCAAGAAAAAGGTTCAAAATCGAATTCGTAAAATAAACTGTATCGACAAATGATTAAAACTCATTACATTCTTAAACTCTCCTCCATTAATCATAACAGAATCGTTTACCTTTCTGCTTGCGTCGAAAAGGTAATTTTTGTAGAAGACCTTGGCATTGTTGGGGTGAAAGAAAGGGTGGAATGAGATAGGCAGAAATGTGTGTGTCGACCGAGCATTAAAATATGTGAAAAATCATACATAATACAAACATAATATGCCCTGAGGGCACAGAAGTAAGAGCGCATAAAGCTCTATATCTTGAGAAGAACATAATGCGGCCTGATTTGATTTATGTATTCCGAATTATTATATTATGAGGGCGAAGATAAAATCTACAACAGGTAATATATATTTTCGTTTTTTCCTTTTCTCTCTCTCTCCCTTTCTTCCCTCTCCCTCACTCGTTCTTTTTTCTTGCGTGATTCTTCGTTTCCATAACCAAAATAAGAATACATTTTCGTGTTTATATTTTCTCAACAACTGATATACTTTTATTTATAAGTACTTAAGCAATAAGAACCAGCAAAGCTGATATTAAAAATTTTTTTAGGTAACCGATTTTTAAGTATTTAAAGCTTCTCCATGACGCCTTCGTGTTTTGACTAATTATTTTTATCCTTTTAAAGAAGCAAAAAAGAAAATTCTGAGTAATGTTGGATGCTTTTTTTCTTTTATCGTATAAATTTATATTATGAGAGGTTAGTTCATAAATTATGTCGAGATAACATGAAGACAGTGATGAATTATGACACCTTGATCAACATACACGTCTAGTGTTGTGATATCAAGGGCCTGAAGTTCAAAATTCTTAACATACCTTAACAACAAATGTAACCCTAAATTTACATAACTCTTACAAATTACAAATAACGTTTTATGTTTTGCATTCTACATCGCAGTCAAAGCTCTCCTACGAGGATAATAATTTAATTTTGAAAGGATAAATATTCTATCATATTCAAACGCGATGGAATTTCTGCGAGACTTAGAAAATTTCTGCGTGTTTTGTGGGATGTTTATAAAGGGAATCCCACAGAGCGGTGAGAACAAAAGTCTTGTAATGCTTCTCGCTTGAGGATTAAAATTAAAGCACAAAGCAGGTGTAAAAGGTACACGATCTTTTATAATCGAAGAAATCGTGAAACATTTTCTTTTGAGACTTTCAAATGCTTTTCTGCGTGGAATGATTTTCTATTGCGCTTGTTTGTAAATAATTGCTTTTTGATTGTTTCGTTTCAACCGTGAGCCGTATGAAGAATTTCTCGAAATGGAAAATTTCCCCTCAATATTTCCACAATCTTAAAAACTTTCATGTGAAGAATATCACAAAACATTGTCAAATCGAAGGAATAAGAATTCCTTTCGATTGGAAAGTGTTGGAAAATGATGGAAAATCTAGTATAAACTTAGCACCGAATGAAAACTTCTTACTCAGTTGAATTCAAAACGTTGCAAAGATCAGACGCGATGATGATTTGCTCGAAAATAACGTGAAACCTTAAAAATAAATTGAAGTTAAAATATGATGCAGTCGGATATTGTGCTATCTGTAATCAAAATATAATTGTGTGAAGTGTGGGACGGATTTCGCAGTCTCTTACATAATTTGCCGGCATTGTTTGAAGGTGTCGTGCACAAACAACACAGTCCCTAATTATAAATTGATTGATTAGAAATCAGAATTTAATTGGGTCAGTGGCTGTGGTGGGAAGAGGAAATTAAAATTCGATTTACAATCGAAATAAATTCAGAATGCATAAAATGAAAGTGCGTGATTGTCATCATTTGATTTTCAAATTAAATTAAAATATTAAGAAGAAAAAGGAAAATTATATTGCTTATTTAATGTTGGGAAAATTGTGAAAACAATTTTTATAAGAGCTGTTGATAAAAACGAAGTGGTTTGCCAATCCATTAATATCAATGGTTTCTCAAAGTGAATGCGCTTAAGGTGGATGTTTGAGAAAGGAAAATTGAAAAAACCGCAAAATAACAAGCGAAGGCAGAGAATGTGAAAGAAAACAAAAACAAAGTTTTTAACAATAAAAAAAATTCCACAGCATAATTGAAATAATATTGATTATATGCTCGATAAAATAACATACACAACTTCAGCCCCGCAAGCGTGTAATAAAGCTCCGAGAACGTTTTGGCAAAATTGAATAAGAAAAGCAGAAAGTTTTTCTTTCTTCCTTAGGATTTTTCTCTACAACGCGCCACGCGGCAACACAAAATTTCCCTTCAATTTTAATTTTCCTTTTTTGTGTATTTAAGTATTCTTCCTCCACTCTTGTCGGTTGAGCTTATTTATAATAAAAAAAAGAGAAAGTTGAATGTGCATGTGAAGATTCTTTGAAGTGTGACAAACTGAAATTTGAATAAGTAGAAAGATACTTAAAAATACAAATCTACACATATCCATGCTAAATATTATAACTGTCGCGTTTCAATTTAGCCTCTTTGTGTTAAAGAAAAAAGAAATGTTTTGTAATTCGAACTTAATGAAAATAATGGAATAAAAGAGCAGATTGCATTTGCAGATTGAACAGTAAAATATAAATAAATAGAATGTTACGTGCTAAAGACACATGCAATGTTGTAGTCAATTTTGTATAAACTTTTATCTAACTACATGTGAACATGATATAAAATTATAAAAGAATTATTTAAACTAGAATGGAAAATAGATTTCAAAAGGTTTGATTAAAAATATAATGATGAGGAACATCAGAAGAAACAGTGTTTCCAAAGCTCAACAGTGAAGTTTGTGTTTTAACGTAGAATTATGAAGTTAAAAGTCATAGTTACTTCAAGAGTGTATCAAAAATTGTTTATTCTTGTTCTTCTGCTTCAAAACTCCGTGTCAGGTCAAATTGACTGGGCCGAAGATGATGACGATCCAGGTTTGTATTTTTAACTTAACGCTCATTATTATGAATTACTCATGAATAAAAAAAATGAAGAAATGGCAAGCTAGTGATTCATTTTCCTATAAATAAATAAGTGACGTCTTCTTGAAGCGTTTTGAAATATAACAATTGTCGTCTGTAATGACAAGGATATTGTTATAAAATATTTACTTTAATTAAGAGTCTGTGTTGATTGAAAAAAGTCAATGGAAAATAAGTCATCCTTTAAAGCCACTCGTTCGTCTCATTTGGCTTTAAATGGATGCGATCGACCGAAGGAGACAATAAATTGAATTACTCTTGATAGTCTTGGAGAAAGTTGAAGGAGCAGAAAACTGAACGATAGCATTAAATTGTTAGAGAAAATGTCAAGCAAAGACAGCACTCGCGTCATCTCCAACACTTTCAAATGACATTGAGTAATAAGAATATTAAATTGTTTACCATCGGCTGCAGGCAGGCAAATATCAAAGACATCGAAGCTAACAAAAAGAAAATAAACAGCAATCTTGTTCTCTTCCTTTGAACGGAATCAAGGGAAAGTAGACGGCAAGACGAAAAAAAGTTAAGGGAAAGGAGAAAAAAAAACTGTCATGATTTATTAGGGTGAGAATGTGGCAGTGGCGCGGCAGAAATAAACACACCAGATTATGATTTATTTTTTATGATACATTTATTCGCACTTGGCATGAGATAAAATATATAAAAAAATTGTTATAGAAAGCGCGAAAATTGATTTATATAATAATTTGCATTTCCTTTTCCCTTATTTTTTTCTTTTGTTTTTCTCGACGTTAGAAAAAGTTAGGAAAAGAATGATGACAGTTGATTTGAAGATTAGGGAAAATCCTCATTGATAATCGAGCTTTTAACTTTGTCATCTTCCTCACTCTATTAGCGCATTAAATTTGATAAAAGTCCCATTCAATTACATCATTTCTAGCTAGACTGCCTCCACTTGCTGCTACTAAAATATTTGTGCCATTTATTATGAGACTTTTCTGAGATGATAATTTTTTGTGACAACCGTAAGACGGAAGACGAGAAAAATTGAACTTCAACAAAAGTAAATTGAGGGGAAGAAGAAAAAAAAAGAAGCTTTAATACACTTTTAAAGATATTGAGCGTAAAGAATTTCATTGAATCGATTTAAAATGACAACCAGAAAATTTTAATATTGTAAAATTATTAAATTTATGGTAATCAAAGTGAATCTTTGTAGCAATTAAAATATTTCTTGAATTTCACTCAACATATTTATTTAATGACTTTTCCAACATTTATCAGCAGCATTTCAAATAGAGATGAACAAACATTCATGTATATATGCATTCTGTCCAAATTATATATAAACATTATGGTCTCGTGCATACTGCACAGACTAGAAATTGGCAGAAACAATATAGAATCATTTTTTTTCATTGAGGGAGGTAGTCGAACATGATATTGTGTGTACATGCAACATAATGAAGCTAATACAATAATTTACCAAACCTCAGTTGGTGATATGGTTTTACATTTCCTCAGCCGTTGCATAGCAAAATCAATTTTCAAAAGTATCAGTCCAAACGCAGTTGCAGACAATCACTTTTATGAGCATAGACTCCAAATGAATTTTCAATTGCCATAAAGTTTAAATTGTATGCTCACAAAGGTTTTCCTTTGATTTGGGATATTTTTACACAATGAACAATTCAGTGTCACTAGAAAAGTTTCAATGTTGAGTTTTTTTATTAAAGAGAGACCAAAAATTTTAAAATCATATCTAATTGTAATTGAACAAATGGGATTGTTTCAAACGAACGTAATTGGAGATTTAAAAAAATTCTTTTTATCTCACGGTTCGAAATCTCAGTTTCATGAAAGCAATCACGTTCATAGTTATGTACACATATTTATATTTCAATATTGATTTTTGGATTCACGTTTATAAAATGAAAGAGATTTTCAAAAACCTTTAAGTAAGTAACAATGGAGTCAGAAGTCACGTCTCTGAATATTCAACATATAATATTTAAGAGTAATTTCTCAATCAAAGTTTAATTTTTTAAACGGGAAATATAAAACTTAGAAAGTTAAATATAACTAAATTTAATAGGAAATCAAACTTCGATTATCAAAGTTCAAAAAGAAAAATTCTTCATGAATAATTTGATTTGAATTCTATCAAAGCAGCGAGTAACTTTTCCTTCTAAAACGTAAAAAGCTGCTTATAAGAAGCTTAAGAAAAGTTTTAATTTAGTAAGTACAAAATATATTTGATTTATGAGGAAAAAGTTGTTTAGAAAACCTATTCAACTATAGTTAAAGCTAATTAAATTCTTAGAGAATTTCAAAAAAGTTTTCACTTGTTCACATAATCAATTCATTGCTTTGAATCTTATTTGGTCAAAATTTTAACTAAAAATCGAGCACAGATACTCGAGTTGTTTAAAATTTAATAAACTAAAGCATCCTTTCTCTCTTTCATTGGTTTGTGTTTGCTCAATGTTGTTTGCACAAAATAAAAAGCTCTGTTTGTTCAAAAGCTTGTTTAATCTTTTTCTTTCAACTAAACATCACCCAAAGCTCTTTCATTCTGAAAAGAAATAAAATCCTTTTCCAAAGATTTTTCGATTTTTTTCTATATCAACAACAACATTTTTCCAACCTCAAACTGGAAAGAATTCATGCTTCGACTAAGTTTGTAATTACAAATTAAAACCCCCACATAAAATTCCAAACCTCGTTATCGTGCTTTAAGCTCTTATTGATAACATTTTCCCGGCTAAATATTGGAGTTTGTATTAAAGACTTTTTTTTCTTTCCATCATGCTATTTGCAGACGTTGTGAAATTGAAGTGAGTTAAATATTGATTTTCTTTTATGTATGGTGTTGGGTTAACATGAACATACACCTAGCAAAAGCCGTTGTATAAAGTCAGTGGTTTACTATTTCATCGTGTGAGACAATCTGCTCCTGAATTCTGCCACCTTGTGAACAAGAAAGGAAAAGGGAAAATTGATATATTTCTTTTCAAGCGCTTCACATTCAGGTATTTTCTTTTTTTAAGTGGATATCAAGAGGGAAATTCTTTTGTGACTAGACTCGGATCTAACAAGATATGATGCAACATATAATTTGAGGATGATTTAAGAATACTTTACATACACTAAAACCCTGAATCGTGTAAGCATTTCCCATGCTTCTCCCCCTTTTTTTTGTTGAATAACAAGTGTTAGCTTAAAATTTTGTATGCCTCTGAGGTTTAAGTATTTTCTTCTTTTAACGTACATTCCCATGCAGCGATTTATGTTGAAATAAAATTCCTTCAGCTTTTTTACGACTTTCTTATGAAATTTCTTTACTTTTTAACCACAATTTTACACATGTTTCCGATAACGCAACTTTACTCTTAATTTCACAGTATTCAGTCTTCTTCTCAACTTTATTTCATTCTTGAAAAGTTTTTTTTTTGTGTTTGGTTGATTCTTTGCAGATCTATTTAGAATACAAGAGAAAGTTTTACTTTTTGACTTCATTTCACATTCTTTAAAAATTTCCTTTTATCATGCAAATAAAAACTGGTGTAATCTAATAAAAGTACGCTGGGTCACGTCGAAAATTTCCATACAACAACGGGTGTGCGAGCGGCATGTCATAACTTTAAACTTAACTTTTTATAAAAGGGAAATTTTTTATTACTTTCAATGATAAATGTTTGAAGAATTCTTCTTTCAATTCGAAGATCAAAAACAGTTGAAATTGAAGTTGTTTGTAAGCTTTTAGTTCAAATCAAATTCTTTTCATACTTATTTAATCTTGAATCATTGAATCGTGCTCTCGAACAATCCAACTCTAAACACTTGCAGCACGCATACCAAAGTTCACGTGCCAATGATGGACATTTTCCATTTGTCTTACTCACCTCGACTACTTATGATTATCCAGCAAAACTAAAGATTGCTTTCAACCCCAAAATAAAAGAAAGCAACAACAAATTTATTTCTCGTCTCTCGTAAGCACTAAAAATGATTTATTGTTAAAAGTTTGTTAAGTTTAAACAGAGGAAGAAAAAAAATACACAATCCAAGTTTTCTATTTTGTTTTTTTCTTTTGTTTTGTTCTTCAGATTAAATCTATTATTCCAACAAATATATTTTACTGTGAAGGAAGTTCCGTTCGAAAAGTAAAAAAAGAATTGAAAACAAAATGTTACTTTCCACGATTTCTTTCATTTGTTTTGTTGTGTTGAAAAATATTGGGTCCATTTTTCATGATCACATAAAATTCTCTATTCCCAAGACGACGAAGAAAATCGTTTAGTGTGGATTGGTGTCAAATAAAGATTTTTCCTTTTTTTATTTTTTCATCTTTTTTCCAGTTGCTTTTTCTCAAGCCCTTCCTGACGCACACAATTCACTTGGGGAGAAGCTAAGAGAGAGAGAAGAATAAATGGGTATTTTACGTAAAACACTCTTCTGTTGCTGTTGTTTGTTTTTCCGATTGCCTCTTTGGACATATTACGCAAATTGCTAAAGCTAATAGAACAGATGTAGGAACAAAGTTTACGGGGAAACTTTAAGAAAGTTACGATTCTTTATTCTCGGAAGAGATTTAAAATGCAAATGTGTTCAATCCCAGCTTGGGAATTGAATCGAAGTGTAGAAAAAAAGTTTTTTCATTCTCTGATTTATTGATGCAAATTGTGCAATTAAAATCCAATTTCAATTAATTAAAAGCTCTTAATTTTTTTTTTTCAATTCATTTCAGTTTCAACAGTGTCTGTTGAAGCAGTTTTGGGACGAACTGCGACACTTCCTTGTGATATTGAGCCAGGGCCAGAAGCCCGCGATGATCGAGTGTACATGGTGCTGTGGTTTCGTGAGAGTGCTGGAAAACCTTTGTACAGGTAAATCATTAATCGTAATCATTCTAATTTGTATCCTTTTCAATATTTCCCATAACTTGATATTATTCTAAAATAATAAATTTCAACCTATCGATGGAGAAGGCAAAATTCCCTTTTTTATTTCAATACTAACATGAAAAATATGAATAAGATTCGTAAGCAAAAAGAATGTAATTGCCCTAATTATGTCAATATATTTTCCATTTCGGTCGTCATTTCAATTTATAGATATAAATAAAATTAATAGAATCAGCAAATTTATATTATAAAAGCAAAAGTTTGAAGTTAATAAAGAGTTCTTTTTAGTTCACGTTTCGACAAGAAAAGAATTGAGTTTCAACAAGACTAACATTGACTGACTTATTAAGCTATAGTGAACGGCCAGTATAGGTTTTAGCTATTAGCAAACGGTCAGTTCAGTGTCTAGTCTTGAGTGTTTTTATAAAAGCACTTTGTTTCCAGGAGATTCACAAGCTCCAATCGAATCAAATATTTGAAAAGACAAGTTAAACGACGTTTATGTTTATAGGCAATTTGTATTAAGGATTATTAGATACATAAGAATATCATGAAAAGTTGAAAGTTTTATTCTTGTGTAATGAAATTACACATATTCATGTTTACTGTTTCTTGATGAAAAACAAACAAGATTTTAGTAATAATAAAATTAGACAACATTCAATACGTTTGAAAATCCATACGTCTGTCATCAATCTGGGTTAGCGAAATACATATTTATGCGTGCTATTAATAACAGGAAACAATAATGTAGGCAACGTAAGCTCGTTACGGTTTAGATTTTATGCTCTTGCCCCTTTCCACGCACATTCAATATTTTTAACGCCCACATCAACATTCATTGAAGAAATAAATTTTTAACGGTGTAAACGTTTTAATGGCGAAAATAAAAATAGTCCTAAATATTCATTTTTCGTGTTTGTTGTGGTTGTTGGCAGCACCAGCTCCAGCAGTGAAACTTTTTTTCATGTCAGCCTTTAAGGATGTATCAAGAATTTTTTTACGACGTCAATAAAAAGTCATTTTGACTTTAAAAGTTCATCATTTTGCGGAATGAAAAAACCATGAATATGGTGTCGATGAATACATGTTTTCCTCGACGTGTGTTATTGACGTGGTATAGTTAAATGAAAGGAAAAAGAAGAAGAAAGATCTGAGGTAAGTTAAAGACACTTCAAAAGTAAAGTCGAGCTAAAAATAAATTTTTGGTTTTTGTCAACAAGCAGCTTTTAAATCGTTAACGATTCATTTTGACAAAACGTCATGTTTAAAATTTAAAGGAATTTGAATCGTTCTACTTGACTTTAAGACGGAAATATTTTTCATAAAATAAATAAGACGAATTTATATCTTTAAGATTCCGTAAAAAAGAGCATAACAGTTGAATGCTTCCATGAACTCAAACAAATTAAATCTAAATTGTTGGAATCGAAAATTTGAGCACTTTTTCAACATCATTATTGTAAATTGAGTTCTCAAATATCAACGAAAACATCATTAGAAGAGGGATTGACAATATTTATTAATAAGAAAAACATTATATTTGTTCTCTAATTTTTTACTCAAGATTTGTTGAGAAAATTTGTTTGAGGTCGCGTAAGCTTTTTAAAGTTGTAGTCTGAGTTAATTAATTTTCATGAATAGAAAGCTTGTGTGGAAGTACTTACTCGTGTATTTCTTTAATTACGTTGAATATCTGAAAAATTTCAATCACCCTTTTCAAAATCACAAATTTTCTCACATGAATTAAAATATAATAAGGGACGTTCATCTAATTAAAAGTTAAAGCGATTATTCTCTTTACATAAATATTTTCAACAAAATGAGATTCTAAAAATCAATTTCTGAACAAAAAGTTGAAAAATCAGGAACAAAATCTGATGTTCTTTCGTTTGTAAGGGATATTAAAACATGGAAATCACCATAAGGCTTTATCGGATTTAAGAATCATGAGAATTTAATCTTCTCTTTAAATGAATTCTTGTTTGCATAGACTTGACTAAACTGAATTTTAATTACAGTTTTGATGTTCGCGGACGAGCATTCTCAAAAGCTTTGTACTGGTCGGATACGAACGCATTTGGGCCTCGAGCTTATTTTCTAACTGTGTCGAAGCCAGCCACATTAAGCGTTGATAATGTACAGCTTGATGATGAAGGCGTGAGTATATTACACATTTGCATTTTTTGCTAACCCTTTTTAGTCCCAAGTCTGTGTCAGATTAAATTTCCATTTCACTATGTTGCGCTGAATATCCACAGGTTTATCGCTGTCGGGTTGACTTTCAAAACTCTCCAACGAGAAATCATCGCATTAATTTGACTGTTATAGGTAAGTTTTTTCCTCTCTTTTTTTTTGGATTTCCGAAACATTGCACGCTCAATGTTCTGCTTCAAAGAACTTGCCCGAAAGCTAAAAAAATCAAATTAGCTTTCAGAAAAAAAACGAAGCTCTCGTAATCTGAAAATATCGTAGGTTACATAAACATGTAGCATGTACATACACAAATTGTCATATCAAATGATTCCGAGTCTCCAATACCCAGGTCACGATGGAATGAATTGAAATATTAAAGTTTAAAGTCAAATAAAATTGGTTGAAGTCTCGAAATAATATCAAATTTCAAATTATAAAAATATGATTAAAATAAACTCATTTCTGAACTGTTAATAAAATATTCAACACCCACGCGCTGAAAAGTCTGACTTAAAATTTATTTTCTAAAAGTAAACATTTAGAGAAAGTTCTCTCGAAAAGCTTCTTTTGAAACTAATTTCATTCAAAGTATTATCAAAATTTCAAACAGAAACCTCATTAATGGGTTTATTTGTTACTTTTTATATGAACTCTAAAATGTTAATTAATCCTTATTATATTATTTTGAAACAGAGTTAAAAATTTATGATTTCATTTCATTAACTTCCATATTTAGTTAAAAAATCTACACATTTATATGCAACGATTTAAAAACGAAAATTGAATTAGAATGTAACACATGGTGACACCAATAAGGAGAAAAAGTTAATTAAACTTTAAAAACAAATTCTCCATCCACATTTTATGTAATTACAGAAATGAAATCTTATCGATTTCTCGTTCTAAATAAAAGTCAGAAAAATAGACAATAATAATTCTGAAATTTATTATCGAAGAAAGTTTAACTTACTTTCTGTTTTATTACAGTCCCCCCTCATCAGATTCTCGTGTACGATGCATCAGGGAGAGATGTAGCAGGCTCTGTGGGGCCGTTACTTGAAGACAATAACCTCGTTTTGACTTGCGAAGTTCGTGGCGGTGAGTAACATTTATCAGATGATAAGATTGAAGTCATTTTAATAAAGGGGCAAAAAGAACAAGGAGAGATATGAAAGTTTTCAATCGAGAATCGAAACAAAAAATCCAATTAAAACTTTCGTAAACCAATTTTCGCTTAAAAGATGCAAAAGGTCGTCTTGTCTATCGTCCTGATGAATTAATTTGAAATGTTAGAAGCTCGTATCAGATGCCAATGCCTCACAAATATTTACACAAAGTTCAATAAAATTTTACCTTCATGGTTCTTCATTCTGTAGAAGTTTTGATTATCAGAAAATTTAATTAGAATAAATTGTATAAAACTTATTTCCTGGTATAGAAATGATTACTTATTAAGCTTAATACGATTTTATTGAAATTATTTGGCTGAATCAAACATAAACTTTTACTGAATCTTTCTAATTACATACTGTCTTTGATTTTTAAGCTCTTTTTTGTTTCCTATGATTGATTTTAATTCTTTTGCTTTTACATCAATTAATTTTTCTTAGATTGCTATTTGGGTTATTTATATAATTTTAATTAGAATAATTACCCTCATTAAAACAACAAAGAAAGCAATTAGATAATTCTATAAATGAAGATTAAAGAAAATCACTTTCCCGTGATTGAAATTTGAAACCTATAAGCGATCCTCGAATTATTTGAATTCTGCTTATTTTATTGAATTTGTTTACTTACAATGTTTGTGTAAATTAAAAGCTTTTCTGCTTCTTAAGTGTCTCGAGGCTTTTCTTGCATGAGGAAAAGCTATTATAAAATTAATAAAGAAACGCTTCTCAGCTTCACGTCATATCTAAATCATTTTTCTTTACTAATTTGATAAAACTTTATGACAAACAGTCCAATCAAGCTTTCTAATCAACTTTATGTCAAAAATATGTAATATCAAAATATTTTACAACCACATTCAAGCACATAAAGTCAAATGGAATGTTTAGAAGCTACGTAAAATGAGTAGAAATTTAATTTTCCGCAAAAAAATTTACATTCATAAAAATTTCCTTTTTAATATCAAGAGTGTAAAGAATTTTCTTTGTTTTAAAGAAACAACGAGAAAAGAGAGAAAGAAAAAGAAAAAACTGTTAACGGGAAACGTTCATTTCATTGTTGTTATGTTTCGCGTGGTAGATCGCGTGTTTCATATTTAATAAAAGCAACTCAGGTTTAGGTAGCGTATAGAAGCGAGGGGGATAGAATAAGAGCTTGAAGAAGTAAAACTAATGCGCTAAGGTTCTATTTTTATGGATTTTTTTTATTTCTACTTTCTACTTCTTTTTTCACATTTGAAACACTATACAATTACTATGCTAATGAAAATCATACTTACGTATGAAACACTTACTTAAACGTTACATTCTACAAGAACCGGTAGCAAGCAAGATAAATTTGTATTCATATTCGTATCGACATTTTTATTTATTTTTTGATGACCTATTTCCACTCATGTCATGTTTAAACTTTTCTAATTAAAAAACTGAGATAATTAAATATTTTACTATCAATTATGATCATATCTGCAACAGATTTCTCATTTGTCTTGACTGTTTCCAGTCGTAAGACGGTCAAATCTTTTCTGACTTGTACATATTTTCATGCATGATGGCTTGCTTCGATAAACTTTCAGCAACTATTCTAAATAATTATGCAAATTTCCATCGGAACTCAAACGGACGAAAGCTTCCTACATTTTAGAATATTCATCAAACAAAATAAATTTGTGTTAGTTATGCTATCCGATCGTCGATAAAGCCTTCTTTTTTAAAAGCATTTTGTTCTGCTAGAAACAGTACATCAATCTAATCTATTCATTCTATGACCTCTTGTATAAATGAAAGCCACCAGAAAATGCACATATTATAGGAAGTGTATTCAGCACACACATACATACAATATCCAATATGTACCTGCTGCTGCTATAAAATTTGTATCACGAAACAAACATTGGCAATGAGAAATAAGTACATCGTCCCGTTCCGAAGAACGTTTTCAATATTTACGTTGGCGGGACGTAAATATGTGAACGTTACCTAAAGTGATATCGTTTTAAACAATTCTCCATGCATCGCTTTGCTTCTACCCTGTCTGAGGCTATGATCGGTTTATGTAACTTTTTATCTCTTATGCGAAAAACTCGATGGAGAAGCCATGAAACGTTTTCATCCTTGTGGGTTGTCTCATACCGATTCATTCACTCAATTCACTCTTCCATCGAGAATGTTTCCATGTTTTCATACATTCGCAGCAACTCAAATGTAAAACATGTACAAATTTGAATTTATTCTGTGGTCAAATTGTATGATTCCGGTCATTTCAGTGGGAGCAGGAAAAAACACCAAACAAACTTCCTTTTTTGGGTAGCAAGTTGTAGCAAGTTATATTATATGTATATATGAATTTATGCTTCAACTTCCTTTCCAGATGCCCTTGCACCCAAATTCTCCTGTGTAGCTTCTTACAATGAACTTGCTTATGAACTGTGAATGCTAATAAATATATGCATGTATCTACTTTAAATTCTCATTACGAGGGATTTCCTCGCTAGCTGAAGGAGAAAAGTGCAAAATCAAGAATAGATATTTGATGTGAATAATACTCGCTTGTAAAAACCATAAACAATTCAACGGAAGTAAAATTTATTTCATATATATGAATAAATAAAAACAGCGCTTGTGTTAAAAATGATATCAAACTTGAAATTTCTAACATTTGTTTGATGTTTAAATAATTGAGCAATTTCAACCCACTCAAAGTTTATTAAAAAATTTATTTTTAGAATAAATCTGTCATGGAAACCTTAATTAATTAAAATTTAAAATGCTTCTACACACTTAAAAATGATTTTCCAATGAAAACAAAGCGTAAAGTTTTTTGAACTTTAAATGGCCAACTTTAGCCAACGAACGATGCAATTTATCTAAAAATTAACATTTCAAATTTAAATTTGTTTGCATAATTTTTTTTTTCTTGAAGTTGAAGAAGTTTAAATTATTCGTAAAGTACTTTGAAGAGTTTAAGAATTCATTAAACATGATATTTTATTAAACGCTCAAAGTTTTTAAAAACTTTGCTACCACTAATTGAGAAATAATTAGAGTCAGGTCATGAGATACTTTCATGGATTGAATTTCGTCATAGTTCACAACTTGAACATTGCCGTGAAAATATTTGAAGAAGTTTCAATCGAAACTCAAAGCAGTCCAATTAAATTGTTTTTTAAATGACCAACCAATCATCATTGTCAGTTCAATTAAAATCATAAGAAGTTGAACTATTAAAAGTTTGTTCAAGATTGTCTAAAGGTTGATTGATTAAATAATGTAAGCGGATATAATTGAAAGCTAATCGAAACTAGAGTTCAATTCAAACTATCCAAGAAAATGTTGAAGCGTTAAAAGAAAATTCCACAATGTAAAAGAAATTGGATGACGATGAGTGAAGGAATTCGATTCCATTCATTTGTTCATGTTCAATGCTGTCAGCTTTCTTTCGTTCTTCCGTATTTACAAACTTAAAACGAGAGAGATTTTATGTGCAAACACATTTACTCAATATTCAAATCAACAACAAAATCCAATAAATAAACATGGATTGTAATGTCAATCGCTTCTAAATAGCGAAATTAAGATTTTTTTTATTCTAATGTCAACTTCGTTTGTCTGTTTGCTTCTTGATAATTTCGAATAAAAAATTCAATGAAATTTAATGCACAAGCGGTGTGGAAATTTCGACTGCGCTCAACAAAAGCTTTTTTTCTTCTTTGGATTGAAATTATTTCAAGCTAAATGTAAATGAGTTTCGTATTTCTTCCGCTTTTCCTTTTCTTTTTGACAACTAAGTAAGTGAATTGATCATGGTTGAAATTCAACGAGCTTTTATATATTTTTAAGTCGATATCATTTTTCACTTTAATCGTTTAATATTCGTTCAACTCGTCTTGCATTTAAGTGTTGAAAGCGTCTTATTTTGATACAATCCGACATAGTGTCAGACTTATGAATTAAAATTAATGAAGCCAATTAGATTCATTTACATTGTTACGAAAAGAAAGTAGAAAAAATTAACAACGCCTGACCAGTTCCATTTCCATGCTATAATTAAATTCTCTTTCCAAAGATCACATTATTTAAATACAAAATGAAACCATACAATCGTTCAAAGCATTGACTCTTAAAAGCAAGTTCAAATGAAGTTCTATTACTGTTTTACAAAGTGAACACGAAAGTTGAACGATTATTCAACTAAACATGCTTCAGATATTATGTAGAAGTAATATGAATTCATAGTTTAGCTTATTGAGCATTTCTGGTGGGCAATGGATGAGACTGAAGCCTGTTAAGTCACTTCCTTCAAATCCCTCAATGGAAACGTAAAACTCTCGTTGAAACAATAAACTTTATTCATATTGTTATTCAATAAAATTGAAACACTTTTTGTTATCGACTCCTGAGCACTAGAAGACATCCTTTAGTGAAAACTACAATAAATGTGCATATGTGCTCTCAACCGATAAATAATAAAGAGTTAACTAGCTTTTCAATGAAGGATTTTCTTTGGTTTTCGTTGTCTGTTTCAAACTCCGTACCAACCATGAATTGTTCGTACGAGAAGTGTTCGTTTTGAATTATATTTATATTAAGGTACTGACATAAACCATTCAATTCATCTCGTTTCACTCTTTCTCAAGTAGAAATAAAACGCTTTTGGTTTACTTGGATAAAAACCAGATTTTTATTCCTTTTCTTCATTGCCAATATTTTCAACAGAGTTTTTCTGACGACTTTGCAATTTTCTTCTCATGTTGCAATGTATCTCAAGAATAACTAACAACCAGCCGCTCACACACATGAGTGTGGTGTTTTCTTAATCCCCGACAATTGAATTCGGTTCTGCTGGTTTCTACAATTCAAGCAACAAGGACGATGGGATAATCCTAATAAATTTGCTTTGGTTATATTCACCCACAAACTTTTGCTTTGCCTCCCAATTATTATTGCTTTTTCCGAAACCAATGTGCAAACAAGCAAAAATTATATTATTTTAATGGTATTTGGTATTTGCTTTCTAAATTTGTTTCATCGTTTGAATCATAGAATAATCTTTAAAAGAGTTCACAATAACTTTTCGAAAAGATTTATTAAATTAAAAGTTTAGGAGATTGAAAGCTTTCATGGAATCTATAAGAACTTTTGCTATTCCCTTTAAATAATATGAAAATCCTTCTCAGAATTTATTAAATTTTCAATTTATCTTAAAATTGAATTCAACATTCCTATGTACTTATATTTGATGAAGAATGTTTAACCTTTTTTGTGTAGGACGACCTGAACCAGTAGTTCAATGGTTTAGTGGATCTACGCCAATTCCAACTGGTGGAGGAGTATCTATGGGTAGACACGTAACTGTCAATCGACTTGAAATCCAACATGTCAAACGTGATGCACTCAACAACACTTACGTGTGCCAAGCATCGAATACAAAGCTCGTTCCGCCGGCGGAACGGACAGTAAGGGTCGAAATGTTATGTGAGTAAAAACAGATAATTCAACGATCGAAGTTCAAAAACTCATAAATTTTCTTCAGAATTTAACCAGAATCACCATTCAGAAAATTGCACACATAATCACAATGAAAAATATTTCCCATCCATAACCTCTCATCCTCTAACATATTTGAGAACTATGCAAACTATTTCTACTCTTTTTCATTTCACCCAACCCGCTTCTCTTTACAAACTCAACTCGACTCAACTCAACCAACAGTAAGGCCGATATCAACAAGTATAGTTCATAAACCGAAACAGTTGGCGACGGAAAGCCAGATAACTTTATCGTGTGAAGTTGAGGGCTCAGTTCCCGATACCGACATCAAATGGACCCAGAATAATCGAGTTTTTGAACGTGGAAGTGTAAGTTCCAAAGATGTTGCTGTGGTGATCAGTGGAATAGAAATTTTTTCCCCTTTATTTACTCTACGATGTGATGCCAAACCCAAGAGCAATTAATTTTTTTTAATCTAAAAAGTTTTCTTCTTTTTTTTTGATATTTCAACCAGAAAAAAAGTGGAGAATTTTCTCTGTTCTAGAGTTGCTTTGAAGCTGCGGGTGAAAGCAAATGTTGGGAAAAAGAGATAATTGTCGATAAAGAAAAAAAGCGAACCTGTTATGTCAGAATTAGATCGCTGGCAATTAACATTTTAAAATTATAATTAAAAAATATTTCTACGCAATATTTATAATCATTAGAGTTTTAATAATAAATTGAACTTTCTTTTANGATCAAAACTTTGTATAGAAGTAGTTTGAACTATCTACTCTACTTCTATACAAAGTTTTGATCCATTTGAATGCAAAATAGCGAAGAAAATCGCATTCGAAATTACGTGTGTTCACAATACCTTACAAAAAACATTGTGTTCACAATTAGTGTTTCTCTAGGGATCCCTCCCTAAGGGAAAACCCCAGGGATCCCTACGGCTTAATCCCTTTTCCCTGATCCCTGCTTTTTGATAGGGATTCCCTGTTTTATCCCTGTTTTATAAAAAAAACGGTAAAAAATATTTGAAATGAAAATTGTAAAGCAGCGAAGATGAAAATCAAGGTAATTCAAGAAAGATATTAATCAATTTAATTTTTAAAATCACAATTTACGGATT